ACTGTTGGGTTCAAGGCCATCTGTCGTACAAGATAACGTGGCGTAAACTTGGAGGTACTCTATCTGATACTACAGTGGAAGATGGTGCGCTTCGAATAAGCAGCGTACAAAGGTCAAATTCTGGGTCGTACATGTGTACAGCTCACACTGGTTTAGGAGTGTTCCGAATAATAAGTAGATTACACGTAAAAGGTAGGGTGTTTAACTTTTGAGCGATTTTCAGCTTTGCTTTCAGTCGTTCGAAAGGTAAAGAGACCAGTGTCGTTTGTTTTGCGAATAGGTAATACCCCTAATATAATCATCATGGTTATTCAGTTTTATGGATCAAGTCTTTTCTAATACCAAGAAAACATAACCTGAATGATTCTTGTGTGCCTTGGTTTCGGTAAAGCTGCTTGTCAAAGAGTGAAATGATTATGATAAGCTTTGTCTCGTTATCTTTAGCTCAGACTTTTAGGATATTCACCACGTTTGTTTTTTTCTGTTAAATCGATCTTTTTTCATTTTCCAGAACTGCCTAAATTCACCAATAGACCCCCTACATTGGTCGGTGCATTTCCAGGAACTAATGTAACCCTGTGCTGCGAGGCCTCAGGCTCTCCTCGTCCAAAGGTTGAATGGTTCCAGGCCCAAAAGTCTTCTATCTCATTTCCTGTTTTTCGGGAAGATGGATGTCTTCTATTTAAAATGTTTAAAGAAAACGACCGAGTAGATTTCATCTGCCGGGCTAAAAACGGCTTCGGATTGGCAGAGACAACAACCGCTGTGATTGCAGCACAATTAAGAGGTATTATTTATTAGTTACCTTTGCTGCAGAACTTTAAAAATATGTAAATGGAAGATAGTATCACTTGTCTTAATAGCACGTAATGTTTGGTTAATAAAATATCCCAAAACCGCACTTGGTTAGCTCATGGTGAAGAGCGCCGGACTGCCGTGCGAAAGGTCGAGGGTTTCACGCTAAGGGTCTTAAAATAACTGAGGAGAATAAGCTGCCACCACCACGACATCTGCAAGTGACTAAACATTTTAGGTTTCTTTGATAAAGACGATGAACTCCTACGTTTCTCTGTACTGGTTAGCGGGGGACGTTAAAGAACCCACGCACTTCTCGCAAAGGGTAGTGAACATAGCTACTGCTGTTGTGGTCTGGTCTTGTTATTATTCATACAGGCCCCATTTGACAAGCTTTTCAAGTTTCAAACTAGGCCAGCAAGTCTAACTAATCACAATTAAAAAGATAAAATAATAAGTAAAATTTGCTGTCATTCGTGCTTATTCACTCTTATTTGTTCTGGGACCAAAACCGGAATTGATCCCTTTTAAATTGGGCAATTGAATCAGCTGTAACTCAAGTAGTTTAAGGCCTGGGTTCTATCTTGGTTCGAGACCCCCAGCAGAGTTTCAAGATATTCAATCGAAGAGTAATAACATGGCGACCGATCCTCGGTTTGAGCGTTCACGTTTTCGAGGAAGTTAAGCTCGATTTCTAGCCTAAATTTTTCAAAAGACGCTGTTTTTTCGCAGAGGTCAGGTTTACAGTTGAGGTGAGTGGTGGTTTCGTGTTTTTTTTTTCCAGAAATTAGCGCTAATTTGCTTTAGGTGCGAATTTACTAACGCGCACACCATTAATTAAGAGCTTTCAAGGAAATGCATTTTTTTGGTTTTTTTTTTTATTTATTTATAAACCTCGTTGCGCAACCTTTCCCATAGCGTAGATCACATTTGTTTGTTTATCAAATATAAATACCGTGGTACGTTCAATCCCAGTGATCTGCGGCACAACATTTTTCTAGGCAACATTAAAATGAGAGAGCTGTGAGTCCTATGAGCTTCAACAAAGAGAAAATTTATCAATCAATTAGGCGACAATGCATGTACGTTTCGAATAAATGAGGAAAATAAAAGCGATACTTACACAGTTGTGTTCTTACATGAACAGCGAAAAATAGATTTTTGCTGAATCGATCACACGAGAGTTGTCAATATCTTTCTTTTCTGAATTCAGGTTTGGAGCAATCAGAAATACTGGCATATAATGTTCATTACCTACGCACTTTGAGAATTTGGTTAAACCCTGTTGTGCAGAGCCAGTCCTCTTACTGGAAGCGCTGCTGGCGAGCATCAGTGGATGGTTGGGCCAGCACTACCTTCCACTCAAAGTGTGACAACAAAGGGCCTACAGTGACCATTATCCGTGTGGGAAAATACATCTTTGGTGGATACACCAGCACATCATGGTGTAAGTGAATCAATAAATGCTTATACTATATTTTCCTCTACAGTGAGACCTGCGTCCACTTTTTTACATTTGAAACTACACGCAGTTACTTATTTTCCAGAACTGGTGTAAGCGACATAAAGTCTCTCCTCTAAAATAACTTGAACCTGAAAAGAAACTCTGGCATAAAGTTTCTGTTGGCTGATTATCTGATTGGAATTAAATTTTGACACAAGATCGTGCTCGATCAGGAAAAGTTGCACCCTGTATTTACGCCATCATTTCTTCTACCATAGAGAAAGGTTGAAGTCAAACGACTGGTGAAAAATTCATTCAATAAATTTTTCGTTTTATTGTTTTTGTTCACTTAAAAAACGCTCTTAAACGCAATTTCTCGGCTGTTTTAAATTTTCCTCTAGCCAAGTGTTACAAATATTCACCGTTATCTCAGTTTACTGAAATAGTTTGTGATTTTCTTTTTATCATTTTGTTTATTAGTATCCAATTGTAGACCCCAGTACAGTTCAGAGGCCTTTTTGTTCTCATTAGTTAACAAGCCAGGCTGGAGACCAGTGAAACTGTCTCAAACAGGAGAGCGTAGTTCTTTTCGCGTTACCATATACAGTTGTTCTAAATATGGACCCATATTTGGTGGAGGAAACGATATTCACATTAGCAACGATGCCTCATCCAACACAAGGTCTTACTCAAACCTTGGACACACTTACAGTCCACCATCTGGCCACAGTTATTTACGCTCCTTCACCAAATCATTCCTAGCCGGAAGTTACCAATTTCAACCTGATGAAGTTGAAGTGTTCTATGAAACTACTTGAAACAAACGAACTGAAGTAACGATGATATTCAAAACTCCTATTTAGACCTATTTACCAACAATCCAGACAGACGTTTCTGTCTGGGTTGCCTGTGGGTTAAGGCCACAAACTGAGATAAAGCTTGAACAGATCAGTTTAGGTAGTAGCACTAGACTGTCTAATTGCGTAAACAGGTATCATCATTTTTATTCATTGGAGAGAGTGCGCAAATTAATCAAAGTGACGCTATGGTGAACTCGTGGATAAACTGTGCAGAATATTATAGGAATATGTAGTGATTGTACTAAACTGTCAATTATTCTGTGATTCCAAGATACAGAATAAAGCCATTTTCTCCAAATTGATCCGCCTTATCCAACAATCAGTCCGCCGTCTTTAATAAGATGTAAGCAACGTATTTCGACCTGATGAAGTTGAAGTGTTTTATGAAACTACTTGCGCAGATGAATTCCTATTTACTGACAATGGAGATAGGGTTTCCTGTGGGTTATGGCCACATAGATAAAGCTTGAACAGATCAGGTTAGGTAATAGCTCTAAACTGTTCAATAACGTATACGGATACTATCATTTTTAGTCGACGGTGAGGGTACGAAAAGAAGATGTATGCTCTCCCCAGACTCCTTAAGCCGTGCTAACGCCATGATATTTGCATATCGAATCTCCTGAGATTCTCATAACCACAGTTAAGAAAGGGCCAGGTTTGTGTGTACTTTGTTATTAGAGGTACAATGAAATCGCACGAAAAGGATAGTTTAATTCTAATGAAATATTTCTTACACTATGATATTTGCCAAATATCATCGTGTAAGAAATATTTCATCAGAAATTACTATCCTTTTCGTGCAACTTGGCAAGTTGCGCAGTATTTTTCTGAGTCCAGTAGGAACGAGGGAAAATATATGAGCAATGGACAAAATGTCAGTTCATATTATTTGTCAAACCATCGAATGAGAAATTTATAATTACAATATTATTCCATTTTTTATTATTTCAGTGTAACCTTTGTGTTGCTCAGCTTTCCGTCCGTACTTTTGCCTTAACTTACAATGTAATGTCGTGGCACATTTTGCACGTTCCGTTGCCCTTAATTATATGGTAAATGACATAAGATGCCGTATGAAAGTTTGAAAACCTGGGCCGGGTTGTTCAAAGCTGGGTTAAGATAACCTAGGGTTAGTATAAAATTTGATTTAAGATCTGAAAGCTTGAAAAAAAAAATTCAGCTTAAATCTTTTTGTCTTCAATTTGTTGATTGAATGCTCTAAAAATAAATGAAGAAAATTACCCTCAAACAGCTTTTGAACAAAGAAATATAGAAACCTAGATTAAAATTTAACCCTGGGTTAGCGCTAATCGGCCTTCGAACAACTGGGCCCTGACGTTTTAAAGGTCGACTAATTACCAAATGGAAGAAACGCAAGACCAACGCTCGTGTCTCACTTTGGCGGTAAAATACAGCTACCTTTAAACCTGTAGTTGTTAATCAAAAAATAAGAACAGAGGACGTATTTTCCTCCGGTTTTCTTTTGAACCTCCAGACGGTGCTCGTAGATTTGGAACCGAAGATAGTTAAAAAAATCGACGAAGGTGGTGGGAATAGACAAAGGTGGGAATAGACGAAGGTGGGAATTACTTCTTTACGGCCAGCTTACATCAATAACAAAGAAACTAAAAAACTCACTTGATAAGCCCGTTTATCAGGTTCAAAGCCTCAGGCAAATTATTCTTCTCTAATCTTAACGAGCGAAATTGAGTAGGGCTGAAATTTTTACTTAACCCCAAGTATGTTGTTCTCTAAGACTGACTGAAAGAAAAACTGACAAATTAAGGTATGATTGATTGGAATGAAACAAGACATCTGGCCATTTTTTATTTCATTTACCTTTCTCTTTTTTTTTTACTAATAAAACTTCATAGAGACGTTTCATACAAATTTTAATTCTCAAGTTAAAATCGTTGGTAGATGTCGAGGGACTTAATATTTCAGGTAAATGAGGTAAGAAATTCGTCAGTCCTCAGTCAGCTTTTTTAGTACTTCCAGAGAATAGTCCTTATCTGAAAAAAAAAACAGTCATGTAATCAAAATATGTCCTCTACTTGGCTTGAAATACGCTGCACATTTGTCGTGGATGTTAATATCTGTTAAGAGAAACAAACGGTTGTCCGACTTTTGTCTGACTTTTGTTGTTGATGTATTTGTTTTGTTATTGTTGTTGCCATGCAGATGGCTGTGTCTTTATGTGTGAAGGGTAATAAAGAACAAAAAGCGGTACAATTGGAAGAGGGTTCAATATATAGACACTTCGATTTGAATTGGGTTTGGTGTTCGGGCAGATATGTTTTGCACAACCAGCCCTGATATAAACAGCTGAAACTTTCAACCTTTGTCTTTTGATTTTTTGACTGTTGGTTGTAATCCCACGTAACTCATTAAACTTCTGAAAACTTTATAAAACAAGAGAAATAAATACTGAATGTTCAGGATTTTCTCCAATACAAGAGAAACTCAAAGAGTTTATACTATCTACCTTATTGGCTAGTTCTCATTGCTTTTCCAAGTAACCGGTCCATATCACGTCCATATCCAAAAAAGTCCTGATTTGAGTTCTCATATCAACCGTAAATTTAAGTCCCATTCGATTCCAGTCTCCCCTCGGTGGAAGCGGACTATAGCATTCTGCTCTCTCAGGACCCAAAACCTGTACTCTCTAGGTGGATAATCAAGGGGGGAGGGTTTACTGTAGATTTAATATGCTCTTGGAAAGCTGTTCAGTCTTAAACTTGTGTTTCTTTGTTGCAAAGGACCCTAACGATAAACCTGCTATCTGAGTTCAATCTATTAGAACCTTTTAATGCCAATATCTTGAATTAGGCGAACGCTTGTAAGTGGTCTCGGGTATTACATGTTTCACTTAAGGTCTTTATATGAGCAGTACCCTGTTGTTTCTCGGTGTCTTCCATAACTTCGGCGGTGTGTTTCCCAAGGGTCTCCGGAAGTAACCAGCAAAAAACTGCGGCAATGAATGACAAGCTTCCCATCAAGGCGAAAGGAAAAATGGCGTTAATACGAGTCATCTCCACCACAAAGGGAGAGCTGGCTGCCCCAATACGACTTGCTACAGATACCATACCCATCCCGCTGTTTCTGAAATGAAATAATGAACAATTGACTTAAAAATTCCTTGCTCCTCGTTCGTGGAGCCTGTTACACACACTTCAGTCCGTTCTTTCTTTCCCTCCTCCGCTATTCTTAATTCTCTTTTCCCTATTCTTTCTTTAGAGGCAGTTTCGCCCCATGCCCCGCTCCCCGTCCCGCGTTCCTATTTTTCCCTTTCCGCTCGCCTTTCCCATTATTTGTTGTCATTTTTCATACCCACTCCCCGTTTACCATTTCACTTTCGTCTTTCACTATTTAAACTGGCTTTTCCCATTCATCCTTCCCCATTGCAGGGTTCATAGCCTAGAACAGGGACGCGCGAAAAATGACGAGCAAGCGGATGCAGCTGAAGTGGTTGTCAAGGAAACATTTTTCTTTGGGATCCTGCTAATTTCGCGAGGTCCATTTTTCGTGTGCCCACATTTAGCTCGTTTCCGCTGACTGAGACTCTTCCAACTGCCTCACATACAGCTGATAAGTTTTTCTGCTCTCTTAACAGGTTTAGTGGATAATGTATGAATTTTGTTAGAAGAGGTTATGAGTCAATCACATCTAGGGGCTAGATCGCTTAACCTTTATCCAATTTTATTGTAAATCTCACCTGACAATCGTTGGGAAAAGTTCAGCCGAGAAAACGTAAATAGCGTTGAAAGACGTAGTAATACAGAGTTTACCCAGAGTGCCAAGCGTCACTCGACCAGCGATGTAACCTGGGAAGAAACAGACTAAATGGTTGGTGAATATTCACGAGAAATTGAAACTGATATCAGTATAAAATATATCCTCGGGTCTCAAATACCTGTGTTATTAGTGCCATTTGGGATCAAGGAAACAGCCACCACAGTGACTCCTGCTAGAACCATGTAAGCTACCAACGTTTTTCGACGACCAAACCTGGAAAAAGAACAAATTAGTTTTAAAAGATCTCTCCTATCTAGTGAGAAAAAAAGTTGGAAGAATTCTCGTCAATAGACTCGATTTGGCTCTCCCCAGCCCATTCCGGAGTCTCTTCCACCTCGAATAAAGAGTCTTCGGGGAACGAGTGTGGGCTCAATTGCCGAGCAGCGGCTGGTTATCAAATCAATCTTTTTAAAGTGACTGAGCGGTCAAACGTCGGTCATCCATAGAATAATCAAGCACAGGAGGATCAGTTTTGGGCGGCTTCAGAACAAGACTTAGCACAAAATACTAAACAAAAACAAAAGAGGCATTGGCTGTCGATCAACATTTAAAGAAATCTGAACAAAGGCAGAAGAAAAAAATTCAAGACTATTCTAACAAAAAGCTTTTATCACAGCCATTTTGTTGATCTACCACCTGACAGGAACACGATGACAGGGCGCCTCAAAGTTCGATCATGTGCAGAAGTTTGACCTATTTGTCCTCAAAAATTCTGTTCATTATTACTAAACCGTCTTAGTACCTGTTACAGTTGTGGATAACCAGTATATTTCCAGGGATTTCTACCAAACTCGTCAGAACAAAATTCAAATAGATACTTCCTCCAAATTCTCCTGAACTCAGTGACAGCCCGTAATACACCATGCCGTTCACGAACCTGAACAAAACATTTAGGGGAGAAAAAAAACTTTCAACGGAATAGAAGATGAGTCGATAAGACTGTGACAGGTCTTCAAAAAATGCTGACTCTTCCAAACTTGAAGAATAATATGGAGGTTGAAAACGAACTTTGAGCAGATCTTTCCCAATAGTGTTACTTCCCAAGCTTAAACAAAACCATCAAATATTGGTTCTGTGAGATGGAAAAACATAAAATGGTTATTATACGCCAAGAAGCAACGAACATATCTAGGATAGAAAAGAAAAGATCATCTCAGATTCCAAATGAAGAACTTAAAAAAGTTAGTCTTGATATGTACAACCAACCATGTTCCTAAGTTTTTTTCCGCCTCTGAGCTGTCTGTCATATACCCTGGGATTGAAGCGGGGAGAGGGGCGGGGAATTCTAACTCCGAGCACTCTGTTCCTCACCTCGGGTGGAAGGGCGTAAGGGGAAGGGGGGAGAAAGTGAGAATTCCAGCTCCGGGCACTCTATTCCTCACCCTGGGGTTGAAGGGGGAAGGGGGGAGGAGTGGAAATTCCGACTCCAAGCGTTCTTATTCCTTACCCTGGGGTTGAAGGGGGTAGGGGGGAGGAGTGGGAATTCCAATTCCGAGCACTCTATTCCTCTCCCTGGGGTTTAAGGGGGTAGGGTGAGAGGAGTGGGAATTCCGTCTCCGAGCACTCTATTCCTCACCCTGGGGTTTAAGGGGGTAGGGTGAGAGGAGTGGGAATTCCAACTCTAAGCACTCTTTTCCTCACCTTGGGGTTGAAGGGGGGAGGAGGGGGTGGGAAGAGGAGACGTTTAGGGAAGAGGCTTTGTTCATAACTAACCAAGCATAACACTGGATCAAAGACAACTTTGCCATATTCCATGTCTTAAACAGCTCAAAGATCCCCTTGCTCGCGGTGGTTACTGGGACACGTAGTTCTTCGCTTGGCATCTCCTTCTTGTTCACTTTGGCGACATTAGACAAAATTTCTCGAGCTTCCTCTTTTTTTCCCTTAACAAGAAGCCACCTCACTGATTCGGGAATGAACCTTTGAGGTAAGAGAATTACGTTTGGTGATGAAAACACCTAGTGAGGGTTTATATCGAGTATCGAATGTAAAATTAGACGTAAGTGTGAAAATCCTAATTGAAAGTGGGCAGACCATTTGGCCATTTAAAGAGTTGAACTTTTTACCGAGAACAATTCCAACAAGTGCAGGAGGGAGGATTTAAATCAGGGACCATCAGATTACAAGCTTTGCTTCTTAAACCAATCAGATGCCACACCAAACCCACCCGCAGGTTTCTCAAAGGGTCTCAATTGGGTTAACCGCTAGCCATAAAACGGCCAAAAAATTAGCTGTTGGGCGTAGAAATTGAAAATTTCTGAGCGTTAGTCGTAAAAATTTAATTATAACAATTTTTTTTTTAATCACAAAGGAAAGAGGTTAATATTCTATCAAGAAAACACCGTAGACCTGATGGGTCTGTTTATTCTCATTACCCACTGACTGGATATTGAATTGATACTGTGAAGAGACGTTATATATTGATATATTTTTAACTTACTTCCAGAATACGAGGATGAAAATCCACGGTGCTGATGATACAATGAGTAGTGTTCTCCATTTACGAATAAAAAAGGCCTTCAGTCCCAAAATCATTAGGGCTGCGGTGAAGTAGAACCAAACAAGGGTCCCAGCTAATGCTCTTCTCTCAGGCCCAACCAGTTCGGTGGCCAATACGAACATTGACAGAAAACAACCAGCCTCGAAAAACCCGATAATTACTCGGCAAACAGCAATGATCCAGAACGCCTTAGCAAACGCCATAGCAAACGTCACCAGCAGCACTATTAACACGGAAGGGAACAGGACACTTTTTCGGCCATATCGGTCGGCGATGAAACCCAACACGATGGCACCGACTGCCCAGCCAATGAACAGCATGGAATTTGCGAGCCACCCCAGCATCCCACGGCTACACACCAAGTCAAACTAAAAAAACAAACAAACAAACAAAAAAACAAAAAAAACGGCGGTTTGATGAACATTGTTGGATTTGAGGAAAATTTACCATATACGGTTCACGTTATTGTATGTTAATCAGTCGTATGCAGATCCTATCGTGTGGCGTTACTTACAGCCGATTGGCCGTGAAAGGTCTAGGTACGAAACTAATTGCATGTTTAACATGCCATTACGGGTGCACGCTCGTACAATACAGGCCGTTTAGGGGTCGGTCGGCAGATATGTACATCTAGTCTTCTTCCACAACTATCTCTAGTGTGTGTAAAGAAAAAGCGTGTTTGAGGGAAATTAGTTCAGTTTGGCAACAAGTACTAAGCATTTTGTTCCTCGCAGAGTCCAAGTCTTCGTATATCGTAGGCGGGTGGGGAACATCAGAGAATCACCGCGTCGCTTAGATTAAAGTTTAGATTGTGGGATCCAAACAACGACAGTCGATTCTTGGAACTAAAAATGTCCACGGAGAAGTATTCGAGAATGATTTGCACCAAGTTGAGAATACTGTATATATATATATGCACTACATGACGCCGTCTCGGACCGTAATCCCTTAGAGCGTGTATATTAGAAGAACACGCTTCCAGCAGGCAAAGGTCCAGTAGCTGTATGCTTGTGTAAGGTTTCACTAAATAATTGCTGCTTAATATATACAATATATATAAGACAATTTTCAACCACCCCGAAATAAAAAAAGTGTCGTGACATATTTCCTTACGAAATCATCTGTTATCTATAACGTAACATATCTCCGTCAGGGGGAAGTATTCCATGACCAGGCTTCAACAGGGTGGTGCCCCATAGGTGCGATGGGATTTATGGATCTTGGATCTAAGATATGGCTTTGAAATAAGTTTACAATTTATCGTCAGGAGTAGGGTGCCTTTTCAGATCAGAAGCCTTGAATGAGGTGTGAATGTTGGTGGCGTTGCGAAGTACTGCTAAATATTTCAGTTAATTCTAGATATTCCTCCCGGATATTTTAGAGGTGGCTAAGAGGCTGATAAGGTGCAATCCAGAACGGATTTTTGTCTCCAGCGGGGTAGTGAAATGAAAAGACTTTGTCTGAAACTGGGCGTAAGGCCGCGGTGACATACGATTACAAGTCTTCTTACTTTCCCTCCCGAATTCTGCTTACAGCATCAATTTCATTGTAACAACAAACCTTGTTTTTACCTCGGTTACAATAGTCTCATGTGGTCCTTCATAGAGATCGTACTCAGCAAACTTCCAGTCGCTTCTCTTCAAAGAACATCTTCTTTCATAAAGCTGTTTAGGTTTGGTAGATGTGCTGTAAACAGCACTCTCTACTGAAGAGCTGTTAGGCGATGAGTTATTTGATTCCAAACATGCCACGCTGTGCTTAGCACACATCCAAGGAGGCTCGTACGCCACAAACACCATGATCAGCGTTTGATATGTGATGGGGAAGAAGATGAACGTGAACAGAGCTAAGATGCGAATCTGATAAGGACCGAATTGGCCGATGCGTCTCAAAACCGAATCAACATCCAAGCCGGCCATGTTCGAAGGAAGGAAGAGAAGTTGAAGCCGGGCCGGGCGGGGAGGGGTAACCTTTGTGCCGGTTTGCTTTGTGAACGGATCAGATTTGCGATAGTCTGGTAATATTAGAAGAGCTGGGTCAAACTACGTTAAGTACTTTTCGACGATGAGCAGATTTCGCGTCAGTATGAGCGAATCCACGAAATAGAAGCTTTGTATGAAGAAATAACTCCACTGAATGGAAAAAAATGTATGAAAAAATAAACAAGAACAATTGAGAATGGAGAGGATCGACACGGATTGAAAATGACTAACCAAGAAAAAATTTAAACTTAAATTTTGACACACTTTCTTGATCCTTTTACTTCCGTAACTAAGACAGATTTTTTTCCTCATAATATCAACACAATATTTACAATATCGAGCAGACAAGTGATGAGAAAAAAAGAAAAACATCAAGTAGGGGATTATTAGTTAATCCAATACCGAATTCTTCGAATTTAAATCAGAGAATAACTAATGAGATCTTGGGACTGAAAGGGTTAACTTACCCATCTTAAAGAGATCATAGATAAAAAATACAATTGCTGAGGAAAGCAAAATATTTTGCTTAAAGAAACGCTTTGTTTTGAAAGGAGCTTAGGTTGTTTTTCCCTCAAAACGACCCCGGGCTATTTCTAGCGATAAGGAAACATGACCCTTACGATGGACATAAAAAATTAAAACATAGATTAACATCGACGGTTTTAATGACAAGTGCGTGGCGAACAAAGAATTCTTTGAGCCTTAGTCACCAATTGACGGGTGTCAGAGCCCAAGCAACGGGCTTGAGTTCTGCACATGTCATATGAAAAAGGTTTTTAGGGGCACAATTCGCAGTTATTTGAATGGATGTTTCAAATTTTTAGTACATTTTGTCCCCTTTCGCGGCGACTAACAGGTTTTGGTTGCGTGACAATCCAGGCGCCGCATGCCATCGGCACCAATCATTTCTTTTTTTTTTTTGCCTGTTTTTGTGAGCAGGGGGAGGGAGTTTTTGGAGTATTTTGGTGGATCACATGGTTTTCAGCGGGGATGGAGTGGGGAACAGTTGTCGCCAACAGAGAATAGAGAGACTCAATTCAATTCAATTTTATTTAAACATCAATATAAAGAATAAAGTACAATAAGAAAACGGAAAAAGAAACCAAAATAATTTACAATTCATTATTATCAAGGATATCTAAGAAATGAAGATGAACAGGAAGAAAAGAATATTTAAATACTATGTTAACTGTGTGGAGTTTGTGACACCCAAATAGCTCTAGGAACTAATCGAGTGGGCGTCCCAAAGCAAATAATTCAAACAAAAGAAATACTGAGCTAATAACAATTTAAATAAAAATTATTACTTTTCATACTAACTAATAAGAATTAAAATGTATCTACACAAACCATTTAAGAATTAATAACACTATATACAACTGGTAATTTAGTGTTAACAACTGAGTTGAAAACGTAAATTGGCCACCGTAAAGTGTAAAAAAGCTGACGTTTCGAGCGTTAGCTCTTCGTCAGAGCGATTGAATATTTATATTTTGAATCAGAATCGAATCTTTATATTTTGACGAAATCTAAAGAGACAATAGAAGATTGACTAAAAATAAATTGCTAATGAGGGGGACAGGAGCCCATTATCCGGAACTTCCATCTTCCATACTTAACCTCTGAGTCAACCCTGTCTCCTCTGAGTCAACCCTGTCCCTGAGCACCTCCCACGGGGTTTTTCGCGGGTCTTTACATAATAGCCAATCACAAGAGAGCTCAAGCCTCTATTGTTTACGTCACATGAAAGTGACGTATTTCAATAATGGCGAAAAGCGCGGAAAATTTACCATTTTTTTTAGGGTGTTATGCGAACGTCAGCGTGTTTTCGCGGGAAATTTAAGAACCCCCCCTTACTTATTACAGTTCTAAAAATAAAAAGATACGGGACAGGGTTGACTCAAGGGTACAATTGGTATGGAGGCTCCGGGTAATGGGCTCCTGGAGGGATCATTGGAATATTAAAGAACCTTATGAGGGTATTAATAAGTTTTATCTTGACACAATCAAAATCATCCGACCTATCCTCCTCTCCCCCTCCGGCGAAAAATAATTAATGACGGGTCCCTTGTGTGAAATCCCAACAAACGACCGCGAAGGAGAGCATGTGACCTGTTTCCAATAAGACCCATTCGCTGTGCAAAATCGATCTTTGCCGATGAAGGCGAGGGCCGCGAGGCTACTTAGCGTGGATAGAGGCACGTGACAGAAATGACAGAGATGGCGTAGTCTTCTCTGATAATTTAGGTCATAGTTTCACTCTCTTGTTACAGGTGGCCTAAAGGGGCATTGACTTCCGCGCCTTTTATTTTCTTCTACAACTTTTACTTCCACAAATTTTTCTTTCCATCCGCGACTTCTTTTAACATCCGTGAGTCCTGTTTTCTGTTAAAAAACTTTTGACGGGCCTGCGCGCGCGCGACTCCTTGCCATTCGCAAGAGATGTTGAATCCTCTGCCTTCAAAGTTAATCTTTGATAAGGATATCTTTTAATGACTTTTCTTTTCAATATGATTACAGGGGTGGTAAAGTATATTCACGAGTGCGGTGACCTGCATGGGATATCGAAGTTTTTTTCTTGATCTTCATTTCCTTCTGCGGCTTCTTCTCCTCTTCCGCGTTTTTTTTATTCTACTGCGTGTTTTCTCCATTCTTCCACGTGTTCTTTTTTTTCTTCCGCGTGTTCTCTTTTCTTACACGACTTCCTTTTTATTATTCATAATTTTTTTTTATCATTTTTTAAATTCATTACAGAAGGAAACGTTCTTTCAACTTCCAGCTATCTGCATAATTTAATTCGTGCATGCAGGTGCCTGAAATAGGGACAGGACCCCCTTTTCAACCCTCGATATAAAAAGATAATGTACAACAATAAATTCGACAAGCCTAATTTTTTTGCTACGATTGCGATCATTTGTAGTTAAACTTTTGAGCGATTACTGGGCTTTCAGAAACTTTCGTTTAAAAGGGGTGGGAAGGGAACTGGCGCAAGGCCTTCATTCACCTCCCTTCCCCGTTTCTGCTCCGCTGCATAAGAACACAGCAAAGCAGCTTTTGTATATCGTGAGAAACAAAAAGGTTGGTTTCCCAATCTACATTACAGAAATATAGATTATATTCTATATTGCAGTTTTAGTCACGCGATTGCGCTCGTTGCATGACGTTGCGTGACAAGATCATTTTGGGGGAAAGAGTTTTTTTTCGCTCTCCTACTTTTCGCCTCGCTTTGTTGTTCTATTCTCTATGCAGCGTGGTTCGCTGCACTCTAAAGTTTCTAAGAACAAGTAAGTTTTTGTCATTGAACGCGAGATAAGACTGTTTTGTTTTACTTAATCAAATTTCTTGTAATTGTTTGCGGTTAGACACATTGGAGCCGTGCTAGGGAAACAGAGGTTTTTGTGGCGTCAAAAGTTCGTAGGGATCCTCGTCTTTTTAATCAATCAACGGATTTACTGGACGCGATACTCTGTTTGATCCCGTCTGCAAATTCAAAGAACTTACCCTCGAGAAAGAAAAAAAACTACTTCCCTTTTGTAAGCCCTTCGTAGATAGAGCGGAAGAGGCAGATAATTCTAATTGGATTCGGAAAGAATATTGTCTTGAGAAAGATTAATTGGTTAAGTAGTCAATTAGCGAGTACACTGTTGGCTCTTTTTCGGGAAACGATTTTTTCAAGCCAACTAGAAGTAGGATTTAAACGATGCAAGCCATTCCAGACACTTAAGACATAAACGTAATAAGATGACACGGTCAGTGCTTCAGGTATCACTTTATTTTCGTCAAACCAAAACAAATGAAAGAATCGTGTTGCACAAACACTGCGCCATATTTCAACAGGAACGTAAGGATAGATTTCTAAAAGCCTCGAGGGATTTGATGTTTATCGGCCACATTCGTGCTTACATCTAAAAAATACCGAAACGTAAGGCTGGTTAATTATGGAAAAGGCATAATACTAAGTAATAGAAAGCATCGAATAAATACCAATATTGTTTTCGTTCGAATTCCTAATTGAAAACATAATAAAAGGTAAACCATGAATGGATTAATGGCTATTAGAAAGAAAAATCCCAAAGAAAAATAACAGGCGATGGGCCTTGGTAATTTATTTTTAGGCTAAGATTTAATTTCACCAGGCTACAAAAGATACTTCTCTTGAAAACTGGAAGAAACTAGAAGCGAAGGTTTACATTTTTTGGATTACTATTATTGTCGTATATAGTATGACTGTACAGTTTGATTGTTGTAGTAATGCAGTGGAATTTTATCTTTTTACCTATTACATTTTGTCACGAGCTTGCGTCGAGAGAGCGCGAATTTCCTTCGGCTATAAAGGCGCATATTGTTATGTGATTTATTTGTTCGCTCGTGGTTAAAATGTCAAAATCAAACTGGGTGTTCATTTTACATAATTAACACCACTTGCCACAAAGCTGTCACGTAATTAAATTACCAGATTAATATCGCTTAGCCATTAACTTTTCCCTTCTGTTGAAGCGAGCCACTGGTACGGCGGTTGAGTACAATAGCGTTGTTTTGACATAACGCATTCATTCAGCATTACGCGAGTTCGATTGCACTGATATGTGAAACTCTAAGCTACGGAGCATTCGTTGCAGATTGTCGGTCACAGTTAAAACATATGTTTATTGAAAGATCGCAGGAATAACTCTGTTGGATTTTCCATTGCTTTCGAGATGATCACGATGCTATTGTAAGGATATTTTGTGCTCCTTACTCTTGAATGTATCAATGAAAGATTTGCATCTACGCTGTTGGAAATCTCCGCGAGGATTTTGAAGGCTGTACGGTGTTTGTTGCTGTCCGATGAGCGATCAGCGATGCGATGTATTATACGAGCAAAGAGATTGCGTATCTCTCAGAAAGTGTGTTTGGCTGTAATTCCCGCCGCTTGGTTGGTGTTTTTCATCGCTCTCCTATTGTACAATGACCACGAGGTTGCAGGTATGTTGAAGGAGTTGTCGTGTGTGATAACTTCAGCGTAAAAGCTGTTTGCGGAGTCGCCGTAGTGGTCGCGTTAGGGACTCTGCAGGCATGCAGCGAGTGAATGTTCGCCTAAGCGTAGAAGAAGAGCTTTTATACAAACAATGAACTCTTGAAATATTGTTGTTTATTCATCTCCTTGCGAAAGAAGTAGTTTGTATAAGAACTACTGAGCTGAGGACTAGGAAATCTACTTTGAAAAACATGTTCGAATCCTTTGTGAAATGGTGTATTTTGAGCTGTATTCCGTTCGTAAAATAAGGCATATTTTCAAGAAGAAAACTGCTGTTGGTCTAATCAGGCATTTTTGTGGTCGTGTTAAGGTATATTTTGCCATTCTTGCAGTATAGACCGAAGTCTACGCCATGTTAAATAAAGTATTACTCACATAAGATTAATGAGAGAGAGATGTTCAGTTCGGCACGTAGAACTTCGTCGCACAATTGTTTGCACGTGCCTGTTTGGCCTTTGTGAACGATTGTAAGGTTAAAAGACTTGCTATTTAGTGGCTTAATTTCATGACACTGGGCTAATAAGATGAGATTTGCAATCTTTGGTTTATTCAGTTCCTCTTTAGTTTGCATCGGTAGGCATTGTTCAAGATTTAAAACGAGTTCCGCAGAGGGGATTTATCGAAAAGATACTTTCGAATTCTTCCTTTCCTGCTAGTCTGTGCTACCGGTTATGCTTAAACGGAACAGAAATGTTCGCGGTTTGTCGGTGGCCATTCTGTTTTGAACCCATATGTTGACAATAGGATTTCAGTTTTGTGGAATTGCAGTCATAATATTATTTGCACAAAATCTTAACTCGGCTTTTTAAACTAACTTAAAAGACTGAACCATTTGCCTTAATGCATCAAAGTTAAAAAGATTTATTAAGCTGTAAGATTTGTTTTCTTAAGGCAAAGATACGGTCCTTCTTGGAGGTCAAGAAGTTTATAAATGTGGGCTAGTAATTTTAAAGTATTTTTAATCAATTTGCGATCCACTCAGATGTTTTCTAAATTACGCACGGTAGAGATATTGTCGGCACTTCTGAAATGTTAGAGCACGAATGTAAATTACATTTATTTTGCTTTTTGAGGGTTTTGTTTATTCAAGAGTTGACTCTTTTTTTCTTCTGAAAAGATGTGAGTTTTAGTTGAGACTGGCTCTGTTTTCAGGTATGTTTTGAGCAATGATCGCGAACTGTGCCACTTCTAAATCGGAAAAAATAAAATATTTTATCGCTAGCGATTTTGAATTCCTTTCTTTGTTTTCGGTAGATGTTTGTCCGTTTTTTTTTTTTGAAAAGAGAAAAAAGTCACGGAAGAAGCGAATTGTGGCAAATGGATCTGTAAATGAAAAACGATATCGGGAAGGAAAGGAAACCACCTTTGAGCCCTCCAACATACTGCTTATATTAGAGATGTTTTGGTTTTCAAAAGAAAAACATCTGTCATTTTGCAGAGCGAAAGATTCAAAACATTTTGCGCTTGGGTTTCACAATCGGATGAAACCGGGAAAACTTTGTCTCATATCGCGATTTTAACGTTTTCTTAGCGAAAAGTAAACTGTGTACCGTAAGTTGTAAAGTAGAAGGCCATTCAATTAAGCTAAAACTCCTTAAGTTTCTGGAATTGTTTTCTTATCTAAACTCACAAGGTGTTGTTTACATAAGTCGCGTCACGTTGCCGCACCGTCTCGCAATTTTAAAACCTCTTCTTGAAAATGTTCCACGAGGCAGCGCGACTTTCGCAATTCTGATTTGCTTTAAGACAATAATTGCTCGACACAGAGATCGCGTTTTTGTGGAGATTGTTTTAAGCGACAGAGTAATTTTCAATTTCAATACCCTATTGTAAACGAGCGATATATCTGACAAACCTCTCTGCGATCAATTTGTCAAACTTGATAACCACAGGAACTCATTAATAGATCGATTTTTGTGCTTGTCAGATGTTTTGTTCCTTTTTTTGATTGCAATCTAGTTGAATTACAGGCATTTTCATCTTCTCCATTCTCGAAAATAGTTACTGTAAAGTGCTTTCAAATGTAGCAGTGTTGTCAATTCCTACTTTTTTATTCAGGGAAATTGTGTTCCGGATGTGATGAAGCGGCTATGCCTTGCGCTTTTCAAAATACAATCGAGTATTAAAAATTCTCGATATATCAACGATGAGATATTTTTGCAAAGCAAAACTCTTCTACTGATTAAACTTGGGTGTAGTCGAGAAAACCAATTAGCATTTCATCGTGAAAGTGAAAATACAATGACAGTGGCAAGATGTTGTACGACTTGTGTTTCTCGGTCTTTAAAAAAAAAGGAAAAATACAACAAGCGAACCCCCTCTCCATACGCAGAAACGTTGAATACGCACATAGTGAGCTGAAAACATAGCTTGGCGTTTTTTTTTTCCTACAGAAAGGTGAATTTGTCAGCTAATTTAATCGGAAAGAAATGCACACCCGACTGCAATCAGGAATGTTCCGAATATAGTGAAAAAAACACGAAGGTTGTTGTTTTTGTTTGACTTTTCCGCTCTGTGAACAGATAAGCTCGATAGTTCAAAAGCTTCGTCGTAGGTGGTATTTCAGATAGATAAATCAAATTCCCCGTTAGATTTATTAGATAACTGGATCGATGTTGGCAATATTTGCTCAGCAATCAAAATTATGTCCTGGAGTTTGGTAGATTTTTTTCTGAGCATCAAAAACAGCGGGTTTCTCGAGTTTCGAAGCTAAACATATGCTGCACTTTTTACTTTGTGACGATAGTAGGTACACAGCGCTACTCGCAAACAAATTTTTTGAAACTCAGTAGATGAGGGATTTACCCGTAAATTTAGAACTAACTGAGGTTTGAATCCGCGCGTTTTATTCTAATTTTTTTCTAATTCTGAGGTCCTTACAAACATTTGATATATTTCTCTACCCTGTACACTCCAGCATCTGTATAAGTATTCTTCATTCTGTTTCCCACACATTTCCTGTGGTACTGACAAGGAGAATTTGTTTGTCGATCAAGAGGTTCTTTAGTTCAAGATCATTTTTTAAATTCTCATCACTTTAATGTTCGATTTAGCAGTGATACTTTAAGGAGAAATTTTATGTCAGTCATTCCTCGAAGCTGAAAGGTTAGCTTTTTTTGTCCACAGACGACGTCATTGCGACAGAGTTAACCGAAGTTGGCCGGAAATCGACGTCTTCTTATGGAAACAAGGAAATACTTTTGGACGATGTTATGCTTACGTCAACACAGTTTGGTAACAAGACTTTCCAAGTACAGAGGAAAATATTAGTAGTTCATAAATCTTTGACTAAGGAACGATCGAAACTCTCTCACTTTGTCACAAGATTTTTAGACGGTCTTCGGGCCCCTTACGTCGTCAGCGAAGTAGACGACAGACCATTTTTAAATTTAAAAGAAGATCTTAAAATGGGTACAACAATCGGGCGATATTCGTTGGTTATTTTTGTTGACATCAAGGCATATTTACAACTCAAACCCAACGTTCAACAAGTTGTGAAATTATACTGCAAGAAGTTTGCGACGGGAATTTTATTTTTTATCTCGAATCACGTAGGATCTATACAAGAATTTGGCATTGAAATTATCAAACCTCAAAAAGAACGACAAAAGATCGACGTTGAACTTAATGGAAACTCGAAACTTTTAAGAACGACACGTAGAGGCGGCTCGGTTACTATGCCGTATGTTCAGAAGGGACAAGGCACAAGATGGTGTTTAATTCGTTATAACCCAGAAAAATTTCCCTATGAAACAGTGGAGTATGTTGTTAATCGTAAAAATCGGCGGAAGCGAGACCTAGAAGTTGCTGAAATTGAACAAGCAACAGTACTGTTGGACGATGGTCAAAAGGACGGTGTGAAAAAGGTATTCTTCGGTGGAGGGTTTCCGTTTTTCCTTCACACTTTGTTATTTATGGACAGTTTAGAATACTTATCTCCCGTCAGACCGACAGTGTTTTCAGCAGAAAGATATCTTCAAATTGACATAGATGATATTTTCATCGCCAAAACTGGGATAAGAATGAAGAAAGAAGACGTCCTGGTAAGTGTGTGTCCCTTTTACTTTTGGAATCATTCATTAATGTACATCGCGGTCTCTTTTCGTGACATGCGGCTATCTGTCGTGACTTTGATACGAACATTGCGTGACTCACGTAATATTAAAGTCACCACAGATAACCCTATGGAGCCGTGGTAAAGTTTTAGGGAAGGGTTGGGTAATGCTCAATTTTCATAGAGAATTTTTTTTATCAAAGTTTTTCTGTAGGAATTAATTCTGTGCTGTCTTTTGCACAATCTTTGTTCATTTGGTAAAACTTTACTTTTATAATTGGGGAATTTTCCTTTTAACAACACCTTTAGCGCGTACATTCACCATGCTAGATCTTTAGTTATTAAAAGCAACAATAATTTTTGTGTCTCCTAAAACCACAAAGTTTGCTTGAAATTTAGCATAAATTTCTTGACTGAAAGAACGTATAATCTTGCATGCCTTCATACTTACTTCGTCTGCTTTCCATCCTGGTTTTATATCTGACTCAAATTGCTTACAATACAATTCATTTTACGTCGGTAACGTAGGGGGTGGTTACCCAATCCCTCGAGCCTAATGGCTCATGCTTATTCGAAGCTTTTTTATATTCTACTGTTACGAAAGAGCAATATGATTGAGAAAAGAAACGCGGAAAATGTCTTTTTTTAGCAGGAACTTTTAATTGCAAAACAAATGTGTCTGAAAATCTAGAAGTTTCTTCACAGCTTACTTGTCTGTCATATTTTATCATAATGAGATTTCGTAAAGTTGTATTACCTTTAAGAACTACCGTATTATGATTTTGTTGTTTTCAGACGTTGCGGTTAGGTAATATAATTAGTGAATAAATCGCATTGCAATGCAGGTTTTTGTCCGCACGAGAACAAACATTTTGTCCAAGCATATAAAGCGAATATAAAAGTTCTAGCAACGCTTTCGATTCATTTTATAACACCAATAAAGTACATGTTTCTACATCTTTATCCCGTCCATGTTTTTATGTCGAAATTGTGAATCCTTCACTACCACAAATTTCGTGACAGTGGGTTGGATTAAAGTTGTTTGCTACATGATTTCTTTTTTTTCTTTTTCACTCTTTTATAATATCGCCATATCCCATATCACAAAGCTTTTCCTAGTCTGGTCATTGTTGTCTGCTCTCGTCACTAAGTCAGTTTTATATCGGCTATGTACTACTGTTTGAGCAGAGAATATGCACCATGTCTAAAATTAGACTTTGTTGTTATTGTCCTCGGTCGTAACTCGCGGAGAGGAGTGTCTTTTAACAAGCTTTAAAGTCCAGTTTCGATAAGCACGAGATGAGGTGCGAAATTCTTATTATGATAACGAAGTCTTCATTTTCATGCATTTTTGACATATTTCGGAAAAAAAGATTTTGCTCATAGCTTCACTTTGAAATTGAGGGTTTAGTGAAGAACTCGGAAATTGTCTTTTAATTGTTAAACCTGTAAATACGCTAGTTTCGTTTGGTGTTCTCTTGAGGCTGTGTCTATTTTCAATCCTGCTTAATTGTAATGTTACGGTGTCTTGCTGTGAAAGTAACCTTTCCACGCCCAAGATTAAAAAAAACTCACTCTTGCTTCAATTCTCTCGCTTTCCGTGATCTCTCCTCGACACTTAAAAAATTCCTTGGTTTTAATACTGTTTGAACAGAATTCGTCCCAGTTAGTGAGCTCAAATTGGGCTCTTAAAAATGTTCTGTGGCCCCTAGGCCATGCTAGTCTCTTGGTGGCCTCTAACGTAAACGCATTCAAGTTTTCCTGAGGAAAAAGCGCCTAAGTGAGATCTGGGGCCGAGTGGACCAGGTCGAGCTTGTTGTCGAAAACTTTATAACCCATATTCTAGCTTTTGCATTAAAATCAGGTTGCATTTTTCTCTCACAACTCCCATTTAATAATAAGTTCCACGCTTCCTATCATGTCATCGCTACGTTCTGAGCCCGTAAGATCTCGACGAAACCAAGCTTAGTTCAAAAGCTCTTCTGGGAATATATTCCATTAGAGAGAGGTAAGATCCTCTTATGACCTCAAAGGATAAAGTTCTCCGTGGGATTTCTTAATCTCTGCCTTTATGTTAGCTGAGATGTATTTACCTTTGAAGACATTTAAACTTTTTCCGACTAAACTCTTGGCGCACGTGATGCGTGAAGTGCCGTTAAAGTGTGGAACATTTGATCCTCCGCTCGCATCTGGAATTTTTCTGCTGGCAAATTTGTTTTAGTCACGATAAGGCAGTTGCTAGAAATTTTCCTTGTGTCTAAAAATAAGAATTACTTTGAAAAGTCTCATAGATACTTTCTTGAAAGACATTTTAGGTTAATATTATCTAAGAAAATACGTGCGCAAATTATTGCGTGCATGTCATGTGTACAGTCGCTAAAAGGGTTCTAATCTTCAGATAATGGGATTAGTTGTAAAAGCTGTTTAACGCCATCTGTATGGTAACCTCTCTTTAAACCGCGGTTATACATTTTGTTTAGTAAGGTTTCATTAGTAGCGCCCAGCTCTCTCTCAGTCGCTGTTTCCTTAACCCTTTACACCCTAACATCAATATTCATATTCTCCTTACTGTTATTCGTACAATTACTAAGGTGCTGACAAGGAGAATTTGTCTTAAATGAAGAGTTTCTTTAGTTGGTGATCAATTCCTTTATTCTCATGACATTAATGTGTGATTCAGAGGTGATATTTTAAGGAGAAATTAGATGCTAGTCACTCTTAGGGGTTTAAGGGTTGATACAACATCTAGGGAGGTCAAACGACCAAAATTAGTTTATTATCTGACAACTGGATCTAGTCATCGTTTAATAGATTGTTACTCGTGAATAGATAAATAAATTATTTCGGTTGGTTGTGGACAAAGATTGGAAAATAAGATGAGATGTTACTACGCCCCCTAATCGCTAGTCTCGTCAGACTTCACCAAATGTCAATTCCTTAACAAATTAACATCAGTATGATTATTCTCCATACCGTTCTATATACATTTCCCATGGTGCTGAAAAGGAGAATTTGTCTTACAATCATAACGCTCTACGCCTCCATTATCCATACTCTCTTTACTGTTCTCTATACATTTCCTGTGTTATTTGTATGGAGAATTAGTCTAACAATCAAGGGTTTCTTCAGTTTGCTATCGTTTCCTTTAGTCTCGTTACCTTCATTCTGGGGTGACATTGTAAGAAGAAATTAGATGTTTATCACTCTAAATAGTTGTAGGGTCAAGCTTCTCAGGTCATTGATCGGTTTCTCTATTCTCATGACTTAACTGTGCGATTTGCCATTGATACTGTAAGGAGAAGTTGGACGCTAGTCACTCTAAGGGGGTGAAACGATGATCTAGCATGTTTTATTTCTTTAGGAATTGATATCAGTACAAGAGAGGCTCGCGCAAAAGATTCCTGGATTCAAATTCAATCTTGGTTTCTCTGGGCGTGGCTTTAGACAGGGTGACGACGAAGAAGATGCGGGGGACCAAGCTCTGATAGAGCATGCGCATAAGTTCACGTGGTTTGGGCATTTGTACGATCATGAGCAGCCCCATAAACACACCTACAAAGAAATAGTCAGGTCACTTACCGCGAATGAACAGTTTGCCAAGGTACAGTACTTGAGAGTAACTTTGATTCATGATAAAGTTACAATAGTCCTTTAAAACGAAGTAAATCTGTCCACAGACCGAAGTATTATTTCAACTATCGCGCATAGAGATCGCAAACAATCTCATTGTATAGGAAAGATCTAGCTGTCGTTCAAAACTGAACGCCAAGACAGGCTCGTGCTTCATTCTATTTTTTTAACAATCGTTCACAAATGTTTAATGGTAGACTTGAAATTCTAGGCTTATTTCCATTTGAGATGCGGTGACGGGGAAAAGCCTTTTATAAGCCATTTTTTTTACATTGATTCGTTCTGTTTCCGCAGTCGTTCGGTATTCCTATGAAACAGTCGTACATGGTTGCCCCACACCACTCCGGTGTGTATCCAGTGCACGACCCTCTTTATGATGCCTGGTCAGCTGTTCGAAACGTCCGTGTCACCTCAACTGAAGAATATCCTCACTTGAAGCCTGCGTGGTTTAGAAGAGGATTTATTTACAAAGGCGTTAAGGTAATAGAGGATTTTAAAATACGTTATATAAAGAAAGACAAAATTCCGTAAAATACTGCTCAATAGCTTTCATTTGAATTGTCAAACGCAAGGGTCTTATCAACCAACTTAACAGTTCAAATCACCTTTCATGACGCGATAAACAATACCACATGTCAGTACATACTTCTTACTGACCGAGGTCGAGGTTCGTTACGGAGCTAGCTTTTTCGCACGGGTTTGTGGCCGAAGCGCGAAACCGATAAACATGGTTACGTGACTCAAATTACGGACCGAGAAAACGAGATTTGTAAGATATCTATTATATCTCTGGGTTCAATTAGAGGGGATGGTTTCAATTCGAATAAACTTATAATTTAGCATGGCCCGCTAAATAGACCAATCATAGCGCACATACTAGCTGAGAACTAGTATGGTGATACTTAATAGCTTTCATCTGATTGGTCACTTACAAGGCTGTTATTCACTGACTTAACATTCGGCTCGAACCACCTCGTGCAGCGTAATAAACTGTATCATAGGAAAGTACAGCTCAGTGGCTTTCTTGTGAATACGCAGGGGTGTTATCCTCTGAATTTAAAAGTGCGAGCCTCCAACTGTAAGTTTTACAATTTTTAACCTGCTTTTAAGGTTCTACCTCGACAAACTTGTGGTCTGTTTACCACAACTAACTTCTTCTACGAGATCAAAGGAGGAAAGACAGCATTGGATAGAAGTATCGAAGGTGGAGAATTGTTCGAAACTCTTCTGAGAAATCCGGTAAGTTTTTAGATTTGTGTATATTCTGTTGTACTTCGCCCAACAGGCCATTTTACAGTTGTGTACTTAGTTGCCAAGCCTTTGATTTGGAGTGAGGCTGAAGGTGACCTTGCCGTGATAGAGACCAGTATCTAGTTAGCATGATAACGAAGTAAGTTGCATTTGAAAAGAAGCAAGGTTTGTATCATAACAAGGTCACCCTTAGCCTCATTCCTGTTCAAAGGCTTGGTAACCAAGCACACAACTGTAAAATGGACTATTGAGCAAAAGTTACATACACCAAGGATGCGCCAAAAAAAATTGCACAATGACACTTGAAAGGAGGAATAAATCCTTGGTTGTGCATGATTTTAGAATAAAAACTTGATTAAATGGACCAGGTTCTATGCCCCAAAAATCTAATGTAAAGAGGTCTTTTGTGACCAGAGCTTTTTTTTTTTCGATTCGGTATAAATGATTTTTAATCTTCTTAGCTAAATTGAATGTTTTCCCTCAACAGGTTATGATTGTGATGACTCATATGACAAACTACGGTAATGATCAGTTAGCTCTGTACACAATTAGCCGCCTCGTGGACTTTGTTTACCGCTGGACTAACTTGGAGTTGAAATACGCTTCGCCGCTTGAACTCGCTGATATCTATTTCAAGTTGTTTCCTCAGGACAAAAGTCCAGTATGGTTGGTAAGTTGCAGGTGGACGATGATTCTTCTTAGGAGTTCGATGGATGGATCAACCACTGCAATGTCGGGGGGGTTGAGGGGGGGGGGGGAGGGGAGAGACGCGACAGTTTTGCTTATCCCTGTGGTTGGGATCCTCACACCCCCTGACATTCCTGTCAACGGGGTTGAACTTTCTTTCCCAATTCTTTTTTTTTTTAATCCTTTTTTGATGGGAGGGAACAGCTGCAATAAGGTCACCCATAGAAATTCGTCAAATTTCCTTGAATATTCAGGTATCCATTGACACTATTGAGCGGAGAGAACCACTGCGGGGTAAGAATCCTGCCCAAGAACACACCTCAATGATTCGGCGCTGTCTCGAACCAGGACCTCTCGGTCAACCTGGTAACCGTAAACAAAAGCGTACCCAATGACCTCTGGGAATTAAACGGCTAATGTACCCAACTTCTACAACTTTTTGTTGAGGAGTCTTAAGTCAAAGTTGACATTTTTTATTAACTTGGTACGTATCTGTTACTGCAGAGCCCATGTGACGACAGCCGCCATCTTCAAATCTGGCCAAAGGACAAGTCTTGCAACAGGCTCCCCTCGTTCCTAGTGATCGGGCCTCCGTTTGGAGGCCTGGACGTGCTTGTGACACTTCTCAAACTTCACCCAGACTTCTTGCACACTGTGAACACAAATAATATCACCAAAGGAACAAGATTTTTCAACACTGATAATTACATGAGGGGATTAGACTGGTAAGGAGATTTGGAAACGAAATGTTGAAATGGTCTTTGATTCAAATCATACTGTTCTTGGTTTTTTTTTTTTAGGGTAGTGGGTGGTGGGTAGTGAGTTTTTGTCGTCATTTCATTTAATTTTGATTTGATTTACCATAATTCTTTCATTTTTAACTTCATTCCTGGTTTTCTTTTATGGTTCATTTTGTTTCATTCGGCTTTACTCTCCTTTCTTCAAGCTCGACAAGAGAATTTCTAGTGAAATAGGACACTTAAATTTGCAGCAGTAACATTCTTAAAGACAACATTTTTGTTTTACTTTATTTCTTCCCGAGACGCTTTTGTGTATTAGTTTTTGAAAACCTCCTTGACTGATTTTGTTTCAGGTACATGAATTGTTTCCAACAACCGAGGAAATTCGAGCAGATGTCCTATGAAGTTAGTGATGAGTATTTCACCGACAATAAGACACCGTACCGTGCCAGCAATCTCCTCAAGTCCGCTAAAATACTTATCATTCTGGAAGACCCCGTGAAGAGAGCTTTCTACCATTATCAGGTGCTTGTCCTGTGCACGAAAAATTTTTAAAACCTTGCTATGAAAACCTTGTGTTTAGTAATTCGGAAAATCTAAATCGATTTCAAAGGCGACATTTTTTTTAATGCGAAGGACCTAAATCTCCTTTATCTTAATATTCATACTATGGAAGAAACGTTATTACGTAAATATAAACTACAATTATATTTCTTCAATTAATATTTGTATTCCGCATTTTAAAAATATGCTTTCCATACATTCACTTTTCATACAAAGCTCGGGTGACAAATTCTAGAATTGACGGAAACGGTAAATTTTACTTGTAACCGATCATGTGTTCTGTTTGCATGTAGCATCTAAAAAACGTTCAAGGATCCAATCTACCAAGCTTCGATGATCTCGTCAAATCCAAGGGAGATGAACGTTTGTCGGGGATCCAGCGGGCTATTTTAGAAGCTGGGCACTACTCTGAACACATTGGTCGATGGATGAGACATTACAGTGTCAAACAGGTTGGTCCAGTTTAGCACAGGGTAGACCAGTTTAACAAAATCAAAATATGGCTGAACTTCGAGTTTGTTGGCGGTTTTCTTTTCCCTTCTCTACCTTTTGTGTGACAAGTGGAGGATTTTCCTATTTGGATGAAAGATCCACTTTCGATATTGAACCTCACAATTGCCAAAGCCTTTCTCGGTTTCCTGAGCGGTTTCTCCGCACCATGTCAGTGAGCCCATACAAAGATAGATCAATATAATAATATCAATTATAACTTCCAATAAAACTTTAATTCTTAATTTCGCGCAGATGTCAATAGTGAGCGCCGATGATATAGTTTCCAAGCCCTTCACGATCATGAATACACTTCAAGAAGCTGTTCATGTAGAAACCCGCCAGGAGTATTCGCAAATACTAAGGTAATTATGCTTCTGTTGCTTGGAATAATTTATGAAACGTATTGCTCTGTGAGAAGATTTGGCACGACCCGAGATTAAGTTTCATAGGGAAGCTGCAGATCAATGTCAATTCATTGATATTTAGTTTCGGACTAGAAATTGCAGAGAATTTAGCTTCTCCTGGTGATATTCTTGAACAGGTACGATGAATCGAGTGGTCTCTACTGTCCCAAATCCTCCGCCAACGTGACAGATTGCCTGGGTTTCAAAGAAACAAGACCAGTTTATATGAGTCAGCAGACTGAACAGTTCCTGCAGCGGTATTACTCCAGACATAACCAGAATCTACTGCGCATGAACCAGAAGATTGAGTTTCCTCTTCCTAAATGGATTCATGGGTAATCAAATCCTTGTAGAAAAAAAAAGCAGATTGCGAGATAGTGGGTTACCTGTGTTAGTGTGATTCATTCTATAAGCTAACGAGAGAATGGCACTCGCTATTCAGATTATACACTCTGAGCCTGAATTGCTCTTTGTCACGCTTGTAACGAACAATGATAGTTTTGTGCGCGATCGGTAACGCAACGTTTATCGTCTCCAAGACTTACTGAACCAGATGAAATTTTTTTATGTCACGCGTTTCTTTACCTGTAAAACAGGCGTATCAAGCTAAGCTTCAACTCAGACGCGACGTACGAGACTATGAACAGTATTTTTATATTTATCCTGTCGGTCTCTGTTGTCATAATGAAACAAAATTTACCTCCGATCTTAAGGTCGTCAAAGAAATAGTAGGCCTGTTCAACGAAAGGTGTCTTATTCTAAAACTATTTTTACATACTAAAATGTCAAACTGTCACTCAATCAATCAATCAATCAACTAAGCATATTTTTGACTCAGTCAAGCTACTTATTTTTGACCATTCGAAAATTGTCAAGTTGGAATAAAAGAAAATCTATTAATATATTATATATATTAAAAGATATATAGAGCCTGGCGGTTATTTTAAGATTTATACAATTCAAGAGGAATATATTGATTTTATATAAAGAATTTATCAGCATATATGAAAGACATGAAAGACGTTTGAGAAAATAAATATATTGTGTTCAAGATACTGGTGTCTTTGTGATGATATTGCGAATGACTGTCCAAAATAATAATAACCAATCAAAGCAAAGGAAGTTACACTATGGAACCAATCAAAAGTGAATCAATGTAAATAGCTTTAAGTCCCGGGGACTAAGCCGCTAAAAGTTCTAGCTTTAAACTGATTGGTTTGTAAGGCGGCTTACAAGATTAGGAAAGGTTTTAATGCCCTCCAGGTTTGCCTTAGTTTCGGTGATTCGAGAGTGAAAACGGCGTGGGTGTGGGAAGAACTATGGCTCTGTAAAGTCCACCATGCGTCTTTCCATCGCTTGTCCCGCTTTCCCCGCAAACTGGGTGTCTGAAACAGGCACGGACTACACTACTTGCCTACACACTAAAACTTAGCAATTATTTTCTTTACCTGACAACCAAAATTATGCACTGTAGTATTTACATGGTCAGCGTCAAGATCGAACGTAGTATTAAAGGGGCAGCAGTAGGCCATTGCTATGTTAACTCTGGCCTCTTTTTCGAATCAAGGCTTGGAGCTTGACCATTTGTATGAAAATGAGTTTAATTTGCGTGTGAATGACAACTCATTATCATATGAAAGGAGAAGCACCAGGACTCGCTTTGAAAAAAGAGGCCAAAGGTAAATCGGAAATCGGCAAAAGTATTGCTCAGCGGAGCTCTTTGATAAGCTTCCGCAGTTGTTCTGATAAGATTTACAACGGGTGTTTTCAATGAGCCGCCTTCTAAGAGTCGTGAACTTTAGATAACGAGACAAATCCTGTGAAAGAAAGTCCACCGCTGAATGGAAGTCTCCTACCTTCGTGTAGCTCTCCACTTTAAAATCTCAACTGTCGATTGAACGAGTAATGAAAAATTAAATGTAAAGTTGGGCCATTAAAATTTTTGGCCTTGAAAGCTATCGGTCGATAAAGGAGTTGTTTTGATAAAGAGGAAGTTATTGTTTACTAAAATAATAACGGGAGATAATCGGATATGAAGATCAAACATATATCTCTCTAAAGAACGCACTTCCAGAAAAAAAAAATCCCAAACCTAGCGCATTAGTTTAAGTTTGACTTGATTAAAAATAACTTTTCGGTGGAAAGAGAGGTCAGCAGTCATTCGATATTACGCTTGGAGTAAGATTAAGAAAAAAATTATATCGCTTCTGATAAAAAACTCATCATCTCATTTATCTGTTCACTTTTTTTTTCTCTGTGTATGTGACTCACACATATTTGAATGGACACTGGAGGAAGAATGAAAAGCCTTCACAAAGACTTTCCCGATCCCCGCTGTTATCAAGATTGGGATGAATTTTGATTTCGTTTTTGGCGCCGCAGTCGGGATTTGCGTGCTGTTTTCAAACCTTTCAATCAAATTATTCATCTCTGGGAGGGGAGGGTGAGATCAACATATATATTTTATCGTCTTTTGCCGCTAAAATGCCACAAAATTTATATTAATTTTATTATGTCAACTTAAACTATGAAGCTTTTTTTTTAATCATTCTTTTGGACTTAAAAAATAAGGATCTCTCTGGCTATTGAGTTTTACTCTTCACCCCTCCCTCCCAAAGAAAATTTCGAACCGCTCTGTTGACGTTTGCACATGCGACATCGCGTTATTTTAGGACTTACTGTAGTGGTAGTAGACAATGTAGTTGTACTTCGTGGTGATGCTATCAACGAATGTCTTTCGCGGCAAAAAGAAGGATGAAGTGCTGGAGCTTAAGAACTGGATCTATACTGAGGACTTTTATGATTGGATTAGTGATTTTTACTATAATTTCGTGTTGGATTCTAGTTTACCAATCTTCGCGAGATTTGACCGTGAAACGCGCTCCAGTATTTGTGGAGGAGAAATGCTATCCTCTGAAAAACGCACTGGTTGGATCTAGAATATCTAAAGAATTTAGTCTCAATGCAACGTACAAAGTGAAAAAAAGAGTCTTACTGGCAACACGGAGAACTTCAGTTGCTTTTCGGTCCGAGATCTCTCGTGTTCTGGAGGAAAGTCGTATTCCTTACGAATTTGTTTATCTCGAAATTGGTGACAGAACAGTTTTTCCAAAGCTCACACACGGAGAAATCGGACGCTTTTCTGCAGTTATTTTTGAGAGCATCAAGTTCTACGCAACATTAGATATAGCAAATAGACATTTCCTTGACCATTACTGTCGCAAATTTGGCATCGGAATTGTTTTATTTACAGTTCAGGAAGCGCAAGAGCCTAATACGCGCATATTCAAGGAATTTCACTTCGGCATCAAGGCTGGAGTAAGTGATCTTCGAAATGTAGAATTGAATCCTTCGGCATGTGTGCTTCGCCTTACTAGAGCTGGTGGAATTATTGAAGAACCTCCAAAGTCAAAATGGAGTGTATTCTTTCCGAATCACAGCACTTACGAAGCAGTAGAGTTTGCTACAAAGGAAACTGCCTATACAACATTAAACACGAATAAACAAACCAGCTCCCATAATGTGAAATTTGAAGATCTGGTCTTGAAAGAAGGAGTTTCTTCGACGCGATTCACTACAGTTTTAACAGACCTAGGGCATTTGGATGGTGTACGACGTATCTACTTTGGGAATGGATTGTCTTTTTGGCTTCATAAGTTATTGTTTCTTGATGGTTTGGCGTTCGTTTCAAGAGGCAATTTAGCTCAGTCTTTGGAACGAAGAATCGTAGTTGATATTGATGATATTTTCGTTGGAAAAGCTGGCATTCGAATGACCAAAGAAGACGTGAGGGTAAGTTATTCACTAACATTTTATAACACAATATTGCTTTATTCTCATGGCTAGCTTGTAAATTTAAAGAGAGCGAAGCTGTCGAATGCATCGTTTCCAAAGTAATTTTGGATGTGATGGAAAGCACGTCAATGTTAGGAAATAATAGTTATGTTAATGTTCATTGTTGCCATTGAATTGAAAAGTTTCTTTTTCTGATACTCTCCAGCTGTTTTAATATGCACTGATGTAGTATGTACATGTGGCACTTTCTAATTGAGTTGTTCAATGAATAAATATTTAGAATAAGTTGCTACTATAACATGTATATTACAGATTAGCCTGGCCGATTATGAAGAATCATCTCCAAGATAAAGTCAGTTTATGAGCAAGATGACCCATAACCTTGTCCTTAACCCTTTCACTCACATGGGTGACCAAGACAGAATTTCTCCTTATAACATCAATACAATATTGAACAAACGAGTGATGAGAATAAAGAAAAATATCAACATGTCACTTATGATTTGTTCCAATACCAAGTTCTCTGAACCAACGCCATAAGAATTGAATGGCGGACAATAAGGAGACTTATGTATGAGATCTTAGGGGTGAAAGGGTTTACAAGGTTACGCACCTTTCCATATGTGCATCTCTTAAGGTTTCCCTGACAGGTTACCAGCAGTCAATAAAACTCCTCTTAATAAACTTTAAGAGTGACCAGAATTTAATTCCTCTTTACAATGATACTACTGAGTCTTTCATTGAGATCATGAGAACAGTGGAAACAATCACCAACCTGAGAAGCTTAATTGTCAGACAAATTCTCCTTGTTAAAACCAAAACAGATGTTAAGAGAAGAGTATAGAGAATATCGATAATGATGCTAGAGTTCATAAAGGAGAGACAGAAGAACCCAGGAACATGATATAATTACCCAGCCAGGGTTTGATCCTGGACCTTAGGCTCCACAGGAAGCCCAAGCTGTGGGGTAGCACCAATTTATTAAAGACTATGAAAAAAATTTTAATGTATCAATTTTTGTCTCAAGTCAATTTACTGAAGATTATGAAAAAAAATTTTAATGTATCAGTTTTTGTCTTAAGACAATTTACTGAAGATTATGAAAAAAATCTTGATACATCAATTTTTGTCTTATGTCATGATATAAATTTTTGAGGTACTCGATGTTTTGTCTTGTTATTCTTGATAAAAACCCCGGACAAGTTTCAGCAAATGAAGTCAAGTTTTAACTCTTTTTTTCCCCCTCACATAAAAGATAGTATGGCTGGCGGCAAAGGCTTTAAGACTGTTTGCAAAGAGGGAAAGATAACTGGCTGAAACTTGTTAAGGGGAGTATCAAGAACAACAAGAAAACATGTTTATTTTACACAACATTTCCTTTTCAGAGACTGAAAAGGGAAAATATTCAGAGGTTCAAATGTTTCATGATAAACTCAAGTGAATGAAGACTTTCCTGCTGCTTGGGTTATCTTTGTTCTAGAATGTCATCTCTGTCACTGGGGTGCTTAACCCTCCTAGGATTTCTCCCTTTGACCCCTGAGATCACTACAAGCATCTAGTTTCTCCTCACAATATCACCCCTGAATCAGACATTAAGGGCACGAGAATTAAGGAAATGATCACTCACTAAAGAAGCTCTTGTTTATTAAACAAATTCTCCTTATAAGGCTCTATAGGAAATGTATAGAAAACTGTAAAGAGAATATAAATACTGATATGAGAGAGTAGAAGGTTATTAAGTCCTCTAAACAATATGTTTATTGTTATGCATATAGGCCATGGTCTCTGTACAAGCAAAACTACAAGAGCGTGTGCCAGGCTTTCACTTCAACTTGGGATATTCTGGGGGTATGTTTTTGTCAGGGAATGATGAAGAAGATGAAGGAGATTGGGAACTGATAAAGAATGCGGACAAGTTTTGGTGGTTCAGTCACATGTGGCTTCATCGTCAACCACACAAAAGCAACACACTGGATCAGATCGTTGAGGATTTGAAGGCAAATCTTGAGTTCGCAAGGGTGAGAAAAAAAATGAGTGAAGGCAGCACACATATTGTTGCAAAAGACATTTTAAATAGTTTAGGATTAACCTTATATTTAACGAATGGCCATTACACAGTTGTTTCCATTTGGTTTGCCTAAAATTAGAGATGGTTGTAGTATTTCAATATTAGCAATAATGGAAATAAAGACAAAAGTAGCTGGCTAAAAATGGCATTCTAGCCTGTTGTTTAGGCCTGCTACAGGTTCTTATAGACATCACTGATATGGATCATTAAGCTATTGCATTACCCTTGAATGGGTAATAAATTTAACATGAGTATAAAATGTTTCTTTGGAATATTTAGGAGCACAATATTCCAGTGAACACCAGTTATGCAGTTTCACCTCACCATTCTGGAGTGTATCCTGCTCATGATTTTCTTTATGAAGCTTGGAAGAGAGTTTACAACTTAAAAGTGACATCAACAGAGGAGTATCCTCATTTGTATCCTCCCAGGTTCCGTAAAGGATTCATATACAAAAATATTAAGGTGTGCCTTTGTTTTTTGGGTAGTCATTTTTTAAATTTATGCAATATATACAAATAACCAAGATGTTCATAAGACTTTTTATCACATCTCTTTGTTGGTTCATGTGCTGTGATTGGTCAATTTCACTATATGGCCTTCCACATACAGAAGTTTGTTTTGGTCTCCAAGGGAGATGTTGTAAATATCTTACCAATGTCATTTTCTCTGTCCGCCATGATAGTTACAGAACCTTGTTTTTCCCTTGGATTTAAGGCCCGCATGTTAAGCACTTGGGCCATGAATCTTAGCACAAAAAACTTGGTCCATGACTTAAAGTACTTGGTTAGTAAGAGGGGTACAGATCCGAGAGTTAGATTTTTCTGGCTAAATTTTATTTGCCTCTGCTGTTTTTTGTTTGTTTATTTTTATTTTGTTTTCCTCTGTGTTTTGTTTTTTTTTCCAAGATAGATTATGGTATTTATAACATGAATGTTATGATGACTATAAATTGTGGTGATCTTTCTAGGTTCTCCCACGGCAAACATGTGGTCTGTATACTCACACATTATTCCTGAAAGAATACCCCAAAGGGCAGAAGTGGCTAGAAGACAGTATTCATGGGGGTCAACTTTTTCAAGTTGTTGTTGATCATCCTGTAAGTAAAAACTTTTAATGGATGAATGCACATGACTAGCAAAGTTTGTTATTTTTAGGCAATGTCGTAAAGATATTCAAAGATGAAGAAAACATAAACTAGTTTTGTGAATGTATTGACATGCTTCCAAACAAAAGTAATATGAAGGCATGGAAGGGGTTTTGTCTCAGGAAACTAAATCCTTTTTGCTATATAATAAACCTTTATTGATCAGTCACAATGGCTGGATATTGGCCCCATTTTTTTTTTTAATTTGTATGACCTCAGCTTTGTCTTGGTGTATAAAAACACAAAAACAAAAAAAGTTGGCCAATATACAGCCAGACTTGGTCAATAATGCATATATATGGGGTTGATAATTCGACAAAGTTTTTCAGATTATATTTTTTTTGGCAGATTTCCATCTTTATGACTCATCTTTCAAACTATGGCAATGATCGCCTAGCTTTGCTTGTGTTTGACAGCCTAGTAAAACATTTGCAGTGCTGGACAAACATTAAGCTAAGTTCAGAGCATCCAGTTGAATTAGCTGAGAGATACTTTACAATGTTCCCTGGGGAGATGGAACCAATTTGGCAGGTATTTCACCTTAATGCTGTTTAGAAAAGATATTTAGTAACAAAGTAAATTAAGATTGGGACCTGTTGGCCACTGGACAGTCACATTTTCTTCACATGTAATCAAAGTGTACTTATGAAATATTAAGTGAGGTGAAATAGTGTTAACCCTGTACACTGTAACATCAGTATCCACAGTCTCCCTACTCTTCTCTACACATTTCCTTTAGTGCTGACAAGGAGAATTTGTTTAGCAATCAAAGTTTCTTAGGTTGGCAATCATTTCCTTTATTCTCATGATCTTAATGAATGATTCAGCTGTATAACTGTAAGGAGAAATTAGATGCTGGTCACTCTTAAGGGTTTATAGGGTTAAAGGAAGAAAGGTAATAATTTCTTGAGTGTGGGGAACAAAGACTCTAGAATTTTGCAGTTGCTTAACCTCTCAGCTAAAGAGAATATTTGGTGAGAAATGCTACATCCAAGGTTTTTTTTAATGAAATAGTTATGTACTTATTATAATAACCCTTTTCATTCCTTGCAAGGCAAAAGGCAACAACAACCCTTTTCCCATCCTGTGATAGCTTTCAAAATAATTTCTTTGTTGTAAATTAATTTTGTTTTTTCTTATTATTTATACTATTTGTCTTTCATGTACATCGTGCAACTTGTATAACTTCTCTCTTACCCTATGTTCACTGCAAATATGTCAACATTAATTCTTGATTGACAGAATCCTTGCTCAGACCCACGGCACAAGGAAATCTGGTCACCAGAAAAGAATTGCAAAAAGCTACCATCCCTTCTTGTTGTTGGCCCTCAGAAGACTGGCACGACAGCTCTGTATGCATTTCTCAAAATGCACCCAGACATCATCAGTAATGTGCAAAGTGCTAGCACATATGAAGAGGTACAATTCTTTGGTGGACACAATTACATCAGAGGCTTAGACTGGTAAGTGCAGGGTTAAATCATACAAGGTCATGAATGTTGGGGAATATGATGTTTAGAGCCTGCTCATTTTCATTTGTCACAAAGGCAAGAAAAAAAAGATCAAAGTTCTCTAAGAGGATTTTCAACCTCATACCTTGGGGATTGTGCAGTCCAATGCTTTACTACATACTCATGAACTTAAAACTCCTTAATAAGCAAGGCCATGACCACAGAGCTCTTAAGTTGATTTCCTGGCAAAGAGTGAGATTTTCAACCATATTAGCCACAGGCATCACCTCAAGTAGTGTTCCACTGTCCTATTATTTGGTAGCCATGATTATACCTCTGGCATCTGTGACTTTGATTGGTAAATGGGGACCTAAAGTTGAGCATAAAGCCTGGTCATCATCACCATTATTGTACACTTCATCATCACCATTTTCAATAGTTATGTAAAGTGCCTCTAGGCCACCATATCTACAGAAATTTGTACGTAAACTTGTGATGCTGCTTCCTGTGATAGGTACATGGATTTCTTCCCCGATGTTAGCAACCACAGTAACCAGATCTTGTTTGAAAAGAGCGCTAACTATTTTGATGCTGTCAAGGGGCCAATGAGGGTATCTGCATTGCTCCCAAATGCCAAGATCATCACAATTTTTATAGATCCAATGAAAAGAGCATACTCATGGTACCAGGTGAGTGTTAGATATTGAAGAAATGTAAAATGGTTTCCGTGTTTACATAGCCTGATGTAAACACGCAGGAGGTTGGGAGAACACGAGATAAGTGTAGGAAACCACAACATGAAGCAGAGTGGTTTCCAGCTTATCAAGTGTTCTCCCAACCTCCCAAGTGTTTACATCAGGCTATGTAAACACGGAAACCATTTTACATAACTAATGAAAGAGGAATGAAAACCGTGTTTACATACGCTCATATAAAATGGTTTTATGGCCAATCAGAGCATGCGTACTATTTGAATTATTTTATAATATCCCTTTATTGCCCAGGAGCGATTAACATGCAACTTCTCCCTATATTATCTTTACATTGATATCCAAACAGGTAATGAGAATACTCAAACAGATCAAGTAGAAGTTGTTATCTTGATCTAATGCCAAATACTTGTAACTAGGTTACAAAGAAATGTGCAACAGTTAAAGAGGGGAATTAACAATTATATCTTTAGAGTTAAATTTGCCTACATTGTTTTTTATATCTTCAGCACATGAGAAGCCATGGTGTGGCAGCTGCTATGCACCCATTCTACAAGGTTATAACAAGTGTTAACTCTTCTGAGGACAGAGGTGTCAAAGCTCTTGGTCTAAGATGTCTGTTACCGGGCTTGTATGCTCAAAATTTGGAAAGGTGGCTGAAGTATTTTTCTCCATCTCAAGTAAGTTCCCACCTCAATGTTACATGTCCTTGTGAGAGAAGGGATACCTGTTGGACACACACATAGACACACTATCTGCATTTCAATATTTTAGCTCCTTTTTCAATGTTATATTTCCTTGCTAGAGAAAGGATACCTGTACTGATACTGATGTTAGGGTGTAAAGGGTTTATTGAGTTGTTCTGTTTTTGCACTGTTCAGATTCTTATTCTTGATGGGGAGAAGCTTAGGACAGATCCTCCCCAAGTGATGCTGGAGGTGCAGAAATTTCTTGGTGTCAACATTTATGACTATAATAAGAGGTTAAGGTGAGTCATTTTGCTATTAATAGTGGTAATAGGACCGAGTGAGTGAAGACTAATTCAGTCTGTAATCATAGGAGTGATTAACAAAAGGGAATGACTAAGAAACAGGAGTTCAATTTGTTGATCACAATTATGATTACAGACAGAATTGGACAATACAAAGTCCTGTTACCAATTAATCAAAACTATGACAAAATTTGAGAAAGAAACTAGACCAATTATATGTTTCCATTTAAAAAAAAACAAAAAAAAAAACAGTTAACTCAATGAAATGTGAGACAACAGCGCACATGCGTGACGTGTTCTGTCCACTTACACAGGCACGACATGTTAACTGTCCCTTAACTGTCCTATTACACTGTCCAATTACAAGCATGATGTGTACACTGTCCTATTAGTGCTCAAATCAGGCTGGTAATAGCCAATCACATTTGAGAATTTTGTCATAGTTTTGATTAATTGTAAAATCAAAATAGCATGGTACTTCATATTGTTTGTCATTTTGTAACTGAGAGACTCATCATGACCATGTGGTTAGCAAAAGCAGGGTCCTGATTGACGTACCCTGGCTGGCTGGAGAATAGTTTTGTTGTTGCCCATGAAATTAGAATAAGGGCTGCAAATAATAAGCTACTGTGTCCTGTAATTCTTGACCATGCAATATCTCTATGTTCTGTTCTCTGCAAGGGACAGGCAGTGTCCTACCTGGTAATGGTTTTTACTCTGGATGTTGGACTGCGGGTCGAGAGGTCTGGGTTCAAGACCTGGTTGGGTCAATGTGTTATTTTCTTGGGCAAAACACCTTACTTTCACAATGCCTCTCTCCACCCAGGAGTATAAATGGGTACAGGAAAATTTTCAGGGAAACCTGCTGAAATTCTGGGCAGTAACCTCGTTATGAACTAACATCCTACCCAGGGGGGAATAGTGACACTCCTATTCACTTTTTCTCTAAGGGAGCTGTTATATTTGATTATTTGATGCCAAAAACAGAGTAAAATGAAAAGTGCTCTCCAGGTCATATGTGCAGTGGGGGGTTGGGGGAAGGGGGAAGGGGGGTAGGTTGTTTGAAAAGTTTTGTGAAACTCATTTATTCTCACATGTAGCTGGAAATCATAGTCATTTAAATTCTTTCTTATGTTTCACTGTTTATGTCTTCCCTCTGATGCATAGATTTGATAAGCATAAGGGATTCTACTGTCAAGTCACATCACAAGGTGGTACTCATTGCCTTGGAAAAGGAAAAGGCAGACATTATGTACCCATGGATGAGAAGTCACAGCGTTTCTTGGAAGATTATTACTCAAAACCAAACAAAATTCTCGCAGATTTGTTACAGAAGTTGGAGAGACCTCTTCCCAACTGGCTGCGACCTGCTAGATAATAAATTAATCATATACTTAGGATGAAAATTTTAATAATTTGTGTGAAAGTTAAAATGTTATTGTGAGAAACATTTTAATGTTTTCAGGCATAGTCTTCAGGCAAAAAGAAAAGTGTTTGTTAACTTTTGGTTTGTTCATGTGAAGTAAGTTTAAAAACTGCTCAATCAACCCTGAAAAGTACTTAGTATGTTGACATTCAAAATGTTTCCTTGCATTCACATTTTTATTTTCACTTAAATTTATATTCAAATAAGAGGACTAAGATATTATAGACATATATTCTAATAATTATTGTATAGGGTTTTCAGACCAAGGAACTAAATATATAACCTTCATTAAAGCTTTACCATATAGAGTTCATAACAATTTTATATTATTTATGTGGTGTGTGGATTGTGAACATCTATAGATATGATACTATAATTTAAGAAATTAGAGGTCCTCTTTTGCTGTCTCTGTTGAAAGAGATGACTTTTCAATTTGACTAAACACAAACTGGATGTACTCGAGATAAAATCAAGGCATAGTTATACAAGTCTTAATATGGTTGTTATTCTAATTACGTGTTAAAATTTCATATACAAGTGAAAGTTGTGAGTTGAAAGGCATGTGAAATGCATTTGAAAAGCATTTGAAAGATGCTAAGCCTTCCATAGACTGTTTTCACTTGCCTTCTAACTAACTTCTGAATCTTCCATGTCAAAATCTAGGACTGTCTCAGCCACTTTAGAGCTTTGACTGCAATTTCTGATGGCATGAATGAAATCAACCCTGAATTTTTTACTCAGATCTCTTAAAGTGGGTTTGATTTAAAATATAATTGCCTGTTATCATTGAAATACATTTATGTATTCTTCTACCGCAAAAAAGACAATCTACAAAATGAATTTACTGGAATTCAGATTTCAGAGTATATCATTTATTTTTTTTCCTGGCGTATTAATTTTTCATTTACCAGTGCTATGACTTCATACATACAGTTTCATAGGAATTTTACACAATCTTAGGATTGAAGAAAGGGTTATAAAGTGTACCACCAGATACAATTATTTTTGTAATATTTAGTATCTCAAATGTATCAAAAGCTTCTAACAGAACAGAAAAATCAATGGCTATGTGTAGGTTAGGAGTATACTGGCTAATTAGGATTTAAGTCCCCTTGGGGTGTTGTGCCAAGGTTGAGTGTTGCATGGCACCCCAAAGATTCGATGCAAAGGAGGTTAATTGTCTATTCTTAAAGCACAGTGTGAGAAGATCAGTGAAAGAAATAGGAATTACTGTAGAGAATTTTTGCAAGTGGGGCTGTTCATCTGAAAGGGGCAACACCCATATCAACTGCTAGGTTTTTTGGTTTGCCTTGTCTTTTTTTTCCACATTCACTGACTTGTGGATGTTATCCTGAAGGTTGCAATGATAGTAGAAACATCATTTGACATTTCACCTTGCCCCAGTTGTTTGAAGGTTGATAAGTGCTATTCTCTGGACAAAACTCTTATACAGTTGATAACACTATAAGTTTTACTATCACTTATCTGCTGGAAAGCGTTTTCTTCCCTTTATACAACTGGGCCCAGGTGAACCAAATTAGGACCAAAATTCATAGTGTACAAACCTAAGAAAGATCATCTCCTTTCCTGGCACTTTAAAATGCTGTTTCCCCTTACAACCCTAACTAGCTAATTGTTATCTGCTAAATGTCAGTTTTTTGGTTGCTATCACAACCTGTTATCTTAAGGAAGCTAGCCTTGTTGTCAGAGGTTTCTCCATTTTCCCTTTAATCAAAAACCTCAGTGGGTAACAATTTTATAAAAATTTTTAGTGTAAACTTTAGCTGTAGAGTGGAGGGTGTAATATATTTTGATAAGGCATGGCTTTTGTATAGATATAGTAAAGTTAGGGCTTAAGGTTTAAAAAGTACAGTGGACACTTGGCAAAGGGAACTATGAAATAAAAGAAAATTTTAAATTATATACCCTTTCAATTACAACATCTACTATTGCTGGTCAATGTAGTGGACCTCACTCTACTGCATGATTGGCATAAATTTAAGCATTGTTTAGTGTAAGTTATGGGTCCTTTTGAGTGTCAATTAGGGTGCAGCCTTTTTCTTGGGGCATGGATTAATGGGGGAAGGACTGACAGGATGAATCAAACAGAAGCAGGAAGTATGAGGTAGGTAACAAGAAGTGGCCACCTCTCAGTTATACCATAACAGGCTTCCCCCTCCCCCTCCCTTTAAAAATACCCTTAGAACCACCTTTCTCTGTAAGTACCGAAACTCTATTCGTTCTCTGCAGTTGCTTCCTCGTTATTCAACTTTCTTTGTACTTCTGTCAATAATATGAACCACTTTCCCTAATCCATCAGGATAGGGGAAAGTGAAGACTGCTAGGGTTACCTATCATTAACCCTTTAACTCCCATGAGTGACCAAGACAGAATTTCTCCTTACTATATCTACACATTATCATGCAGACAAGAGATGAGAATAAAGAAAGATATCAATCATGGGGGTACTAATTGATTCAATACCAGTTCTCCAAACTAACATAATGAGAATCATTTGGTGGAAAGTAAGGAGAATTACTAGTGAGATCTTGGGAGTTAAAGGGTTAACAACAAGATTAACTACAGCAGTTCCTCCTTTTTGGGGAGGTCCCTTGTACAAGTCAAAGAATTATCAGTGTAAAGGAGACTGATGTTAGGACTAACAAAATTTTCTCTACTGGAAAATAAACTCTGTGGAAAACGAAGGACTGCTTGTAGTCTAAGCCAACAGAATTTGTATTTTCTAGTTCATACAGGAAAACCAAGCAATTGGGTTCTTTATATACCAGTATTTATTACTGCTTTGTAGTCCAACAAAAATTTTTAAAATATTTTCAGTTCTAGTCTGTATTCATTGTAATTTTAGATTTTTGTCACTGATGAAAAATTACAAAAATATCATAGAAACAAAATTAAATGCTAAATACAATATTTCAAACAACTGCAGTTCCAAAGGATTGCCTATGCTGCTCGATTATAGTAATGATGAATAATAAATATGGCCAGTAACTGATCCATTGTCCTTTAACCACGATTCCACACCATGGTAAATATTTCCAAATCTTTTGTGCTGCAATATTTGTGAATGAATCTTGGCTGGTTTCCTGTTTCACTTGGCTGCAGTATGTCTCATCAAAACACTATTCAGCTTTTCTAGTTTCTTTATATCCTGTTGTTGCTCTGTTCTGTATTTCAAGCACTGCAAGATGATGATAATTAACAGAGGAATGACACTTTCTGATAATCATTACGTTCCAGTTTTCCCAGAATTTTCAAAAGAAGGAATGTCTGAAATAAACTCCATTGTAGCAGTGTCTATTTCTGGCCAAAAACAAACAAGAACTCTGAACCCCTTTTCCCCAAATATTTCCATTCAAATGTTAAATGCAAAAAAAAGAAAAACTTTTAAGTTGTCGTAATTGTTCATTCATTTAATATAACTTCAACTTTACCACTTGGTCATCTGTTCCCTTAAGAACAAGCTTCCCATCACAATGGCGATACTTGACGACGAACCGAAACTGAAATAAAAAGAAGAACATGAGAAATATAACTTTCTCTTTTACACGTCATCTGTTCTCTTAATTCACGTGTATTTTTCGAGTGTAAAATGAGTCTAACTATTACCAACCTTTTTCGGCTCAGCTACACACAACTGTTCAACTGCTGCTGCAAATTCATCCCACGAGTCGAAATAGACCATCTTTCGCTCTGTTTCTTACAAAGTTCGACTAAAACCGAAATTTTACGTGAAAGACGCCATGTTCTAAAATTTCCTTTATACTCGGAAGAAAACGTTGTATATGACTAAATACAATGTCCTTACCAAAAGTTATGTGAACTGCAATATATTTGTACAGAGGTGTGTTTAGCCAAAATAATATATTGTGTAATTATCACATAGTGCTTTGGCTGGAAGAAGGAGCATATAAGACATTCGAAACACCAAAATCTCAGAGACTCCACATAAGCTTTTACGTTGTATCAAAAACTTCTATTTGATTTCACATGCTTTTTTAATTTTTTGTTACATTTGGTGTAAATTTAGGCGACAAAGCGAAAGAAGGTTTGCACGGCTTTGTGGGTAACCATTAGTCACCAGCAGTCATGTGCCACGCATATGACGGAAATTTCGCTACAACAACAGCTGAGATCGTCGACAATGACCACAATATATAAATAGAAACTCCGGAATTCAAAATGGCTAGCTGTATGAGAGGATGCTGGGGTGTATTCAGCGAAGAATTAAGGAAATTACGCCGGCCGGCACATCTTCGAGGAAGGTAAATTGTGATATAGCCTTGTTGAAATTGCAGTTGTTGTATTTTTGTAGCCGGTAGTTCAAGTTGTGTCATCGTCGATTCACAGGACTTACAGACGTGCAAGATATAGTGAAAAGGAATTGAGTATCGAGGTAAGATCCCTTGTTAGTTACGAGTTAAGACTGGATGTCCAAACATAATGTAATCTTGCACAAATTTACGGTTGTATTGAGCAGGACTTTCAAGCTGACTTGATTGACTCAGCTCTTTTGTATCGACTTGTGAGAAAATGCAAGTAATTAACGCAGTAGATAGTTGCCTTCATGAGTCAAAATTTTCCAGGGTTAGAAGGGTCAAGTGTGGTATAGTGGGGGCAGGGAAGAGGACTGCTTTTACAGCTGAAAATAAAAAAAGAAAAGTCGCTAGGTTTGGAAATCTACTAGAAAAACCTTTGCAACATGTTATCACCCTCCCCTTCCCAGAGCAATGCTCCATGATAAGTTAGCAAAACTGAGGGGGGTGGGGAAGAGTGATTTTTATAATCCTACCCCCCATCCCTTCTTTTAAAATGTTACTCATTAACAACATAGAAATGTCCACAATTTTGCTTTACTCTCCTACTTGCTGTTGTCTTTCAACTTCCTGTTTTCACCTCTCACCTCTTGTGACTCTCCCATCTAACCACTCTCTCCCCCCCAAAAAAAAATGTTTCCTCACCTAGTTCCATATCAGACCTTCTTCTCCCTTGAAAGTCAGTTTGCTGAAAGGTCAAGAGAAATTCACCTCAAGCAACCTGTGATAGACCACTAAATTCTCCTTAAAAAAAACTCATGTTTTATATTGGAACACAAGGAGAATATACAGGTGCATTAAAAATCACTTAAAGCTTTATCTGCCTCTCACCCATTAACTTAAACAGAAGTGATCCTTTAATTTTACCACGTGACTCCACCCCTCTTGTCAGAAAAAAATTGACACCAATTCTGTGGCATGTTTTCATGAGTTGTTTTTTCTTAAATGGCTCTGGAAAGGCAATTAATATTGAGTATGTGAAAGAGCTTCTTAGAATCTCAAATACTGGTACTTCTAGCGGTGCCCTAGAGGCTTGCCTTCTGTAGCACCTCTATCAGTAATTTAACCCATAAATCTTCCAAATGTGAACTGATCATCATAAAAATCTTTTTTCTTCCAGTTTGAAAATTTGATTGATGAGGTATGCCTTCCAAGTGTTTCCTTGTGATACAATAAGCCTGATGAGTGTTTTCATGGAATATTCCTTCAAATTTTTAATTAAGCAGTGTGTATAATTGTTAATTAGATTGTAGTCCTCCTGTGTGTGAGGAAGAAATAATTTAATTGGGAGAAATTTATTAATCACTTGTAGTCACTCTAGAGGACAAAAATCAACTTTTATTACTGATTAATAATTGGTTGATCTCACAAATAAATCAGTAAATGAAGGGATCCTAAAATATATCTTTGAAATAACAAATCTTCTTTTTTAATTTTCAGGAGGACTTCAATCCCCGTCCCAGGTAAGTGAAAAATGAATGTCAAACATTTGGTTTTGTCAGTATACATATTCTCCATACTATTCCCTGTACAATCCCTTAGGTGCTTAGGAGGAGAATTTGTTTCATAATGCAGAGCTTCTCTAGTTGGTGGCCATTTCCTTTATTCTCATGACCTTGATGTGTGATTTGGGGTTGATATTGTAAGGAGAAATTAGATGCCAGTCACTCTTAGGGGTTAAAGGGTTAACCCTTTAACTCCCATGAGTGGCTAAGACAAAATTTCTCCTTACCATATCAGTAAAATATCAAGTAGACAAGTGATGAGAATAAAGAAAAATATTAACTAGGGGATAATTTGTGGATCCAATACTAAATTCTTCAAACTAACATCACAAGAACTATATGACAGACAGTAAGGATAATAATTACTAATGAGATCTTGGGAGTTAAAGGGTTAAATAACCCATTGAACACTAGGAGTGACAAGAATCTATGTGTTGTAGATGTAAGCTGGATATGTGATGTTTTTCCCGTTTCTCATTTCCAGACGGATTTTAACGGAAACAGAAACGGAACTGATCACACAGAAGAGATACAATGACTTGGTTGAACAGCAGAAGAAAGTAGATGCAGAAATTGATGCACAGTTATCTCGACGAGAAGAGGATTTACGACTTGAAGAGGAGGTGATTTTGATAGTTTCTCACATCTTAAATAATTGATTGCTATTTATATCAAATTCTCACCTCGAAAAACTCCTCCTCCACCCCATCTAAATCCTTCAAAAAGTTTATCTGAATGTTTATTAATTCATGCATACATTGGTTTTTTAAGGCGTACTATGAAGCTAAAAGAGAAGCAGCACGTGTGGCTAAACAGGCCAGACAGATGGAGGTAAGAAAATTCTTCTGACTTCCTATTTTGCCACCAGTGCAGGCATTTTCTGTCTTAACTTTTGCTCTTATTCAACACCTAATATGCCAGTTTTTGAACCAGGAAGAATGTCAAGGAAAAACTTGCTATTGGTGAGAACATAAGAAATATGTAAAAGTTTCAAGGGAAGTTATCTTCAAAAAATTTTCCCTCACAAATCATTGTCAAAGATAAGTTTTCTTGTCTCAGTAGATGTGGTTAGGAATAATTTTTTCATAGATTTAGAGGAGTAAATGCTTTTTTAGCAGTAGTAAAACTATGCAATAATCCAAGGAGGCCCAGAGGCTTGTAGTGGGTAAAAAGGAAGATGAAACAGAAGTTTTGGATGTATAAAAAACAGCTGTCTGCTTATTTATCTCTGGGTCTCCCAGGATTATATTCAATAGGTTCATTAATAATTTTTACTTGTGTAGGAAAATAAAGCATCAAAAGAAAAGGATAAAAGAGTACGCAGAGGTTTCTTAGAAGATTCATCTTTATCTTCTTGGCTGTCAGATGATGGAGTTAGTGTGGACAGGTATGAGATATTCATTGGTGAGAAAGGCCACATTCTTACTTGGCCTGAACATGTTTGAGCTGAGTTACAAAGTATGGTTATTTTGGGTTTAAACTGGGTCAGTTTCATGGCTGCATGCCTCTTGAGGGAAACACTCTTTAGCTCCACCCTTCCCCCCCATCCCACAATCATTTCATGTGTCAATGTTTTAAACATGCTCAGCAAGTTCTGCAGCAAATCTAGCTTGTGAGCAGCCCTCATTATTAGTGCTGCAGGAAGTCCATTTTCTCCACCTGTGGGAAGAGTTTAGGTGATTCAGGGAGAGGCTTGCCAGGGGTCTGACATAAATAATGATTGCTAGACCCCTTGAAGACCTCTTGCTGGTTCATTTTGCTTATTGTTCTGGGATGCAGAGAAATTCTTGTACCATAGTTTTTTTTTTCTTTTAATTCTGGGGTAAATAATGTTATTTTTTGCTTCTTTCTTGGTGTGTTCTTAGCAATGATCTCGATGTTGAAGACTTTGACGCCTTTCTAGAGAAAGTAAAAGCACGATCTCTTGGGGGATCCAGTCCCTTCACTTGTAAGTTTGATATTTTGAAATTATGGACTTAAATTTACATCTACAGCTGCTTTTAATCACTAATTTTGAGATATTTCATTCCAATAAACCACACATTCAACTAGAAGAGCCCATCAATCTGGCCCAATTGAAGTGGAAACAGTGTCAGATATCAGGGAGTTTGGGTCGGCTGATTAATTCTCCTTTAGGGGATTGCTTAAATTTCGCTAGTGCAAAGTTTGAATTAACTCTGTGTGAATCCTTTTGAAATAAAGTACACATTAGTTACTGGTACCGCAATGGTTCGATTAAATGCCACCCTCGAATAAACACTGCATTTTAGGGCTGAAATATTAACAAATGCCATCCTTGAATTAATCCCACATCATCATGCAGTATTTATTTGAATAATAGACTCAAAAAGCACACAGTGACCAATGCTTCAATTGCAGTTGGAAATTTTGAGGGAACCAGACACAAATCCTTTCGAATGTACCAGCTCTGATGTAGAGAAAGCTTGTTCAAAATATCTTTATTCACTTTATGTATTGCAGTAGTATTTACATGCAAATTGTGAAATTGAGAACCATATGAAAAATATATTTTTAGACAAGCACTAAAATATGTTTCTGTTTTTTAAAACAAATACCACCCTCGCATAAACACCATCCTTGAATAGACACCTTACTAGAATCACAAAAATTTTATTAAACACCACTATGTTTAATCAAAGAAATACAATACTTTTGTCCCAAAGGATACAGCAGATTTCACCAGCAAGTATCCTTTCATGGCCCATTTATCACTTCATATTTTTTTTGTTTTAAGCTCCCACATCAACCTCACCAAATGCATCATGGGAGGATGCTTTAGCTCAGGGAGTTGAAGCCACCAAGATAGCAGGCAAATCCCTGGATGCCCTGAATGGGTTTTCATCTTCAGTCGATCTGGTTTCAGTTAGTGAGAGGTAGCAGTCCTAATTGGATTTTGTTAAAAGATAAATTAAAGCCTCATAACATAATGTGGGAAGCAAGTGATTCATTTTTTAGCACAAGGATGTTATGACTCTATGAGTGAGCCAATTTATTTATGATGGGTCATTATCAAGAGCATTAAGCAATTGGCTCTTTCTGAAAAAATCTGTCTGTCACATAGCAACTGCTAAGAATGGAACATCTTTTATATTAAAATTTTAGCCTGGGAAGTAAGACATTTGACTAAATTTGTCACTAAATTTGCATCATGACAAAAGAGGAGGAATTAGTTGTTTTAAAGCTTTGTCATCAAGTAAAGGAAGAGATGTTAAATTCATTTTTACTGAGTTTTTAGTTTTGTAAGAAACTGTCTTGATGTATTGGTTGGCTAGTAAAAGACTAGTTGGTTATTAATCAATTATTCACCAAAGGTGACAAAGAGCAGGTTAAATGAATTTGTCATTTGTAAACTGTTACAACTGCAGGAATATATATACATCCTGTTGTCAAATTCATAGATAAAAATAACAACAGAGACACATAGTTATAGGTCACAATAGTAAATTTATTTATGAATTAATTAACAAATTTTGTATTTAATACATCTAATAATCTCCTTTAAATGATATTGAGTGTATTGGAATAATATTAATGGCTGTGCACATCTCTATTTAATTTACTTTTTTTTATTACTGAGGAATGAGAGCAGAGCTTTGCCCCACATAAACAAACTTTAACCCTTTAACTCCCAGATCAAATTTGTAATTCTCCTTACTGTCAACCATACAATTCTTATAATGTTAGTTTCGAGAATTTAGCATTGGGTCAACTAATCCCCAAATTGATATTTTTCTTTATTCTCATCACTTGTTTGGTTGATACTGTATTGATATTGTAAGGAGAAATTCTGTCTTGGTCACTCATGGGAGTTGAAGGATTGAGCTCACAGGGCTTACTGCACTTTTCTATTGTTTTATAAAACTTAGGCGTGAAATGAGTTTTTAAACAATCTATACATAAATTTACACTGTTCTTGAAAAACAAAATTAGAAATCAGGATCTTGCTAATTACAGCCAAGAAAGTGACTGATGAAAAATATTATTACATTCTTGGAAGATTCAGTAAAAAGGTAGATGAAGTTTGGAAAGCTAATTAAGTAAATAAATGATGCACCCAAGTTACAAAAATCAAAGAAAACTTCAAAGTATTTTTGTAGTAATTAGAGAACCATTTCACTCTCAAGATATGTGACTTCTTGATACCTGTAATTTATTGCAGATTGCAATGTGCTATATTATGTCTTGGTTTGGAAGTCTAGAAAATTTGTTTTGTTCTTTATTGAGACAACATATCGTACATGTCAGGATTCTTGATTTTCCTCTTTTTTCCCAGAGCAATTAATTTTCAGAAATTTAGGTATCATTTATCAGTCTTGGGAGTAAAAGATTAATGCAAACAGAACTGTTGTATTATATTGTAACTATGTAGTGACTGTATACTAAAAAATGCAACTTTGTATACCACTAACTTAGTAAAGTTTATATTGCAAACAAACATTTCATTAATAAAAAGTAAACATCAAACAAGCAAGGAATTTGTTAATTCAATTTTTACACAAATTCTTGATTCACAATTATACTGGTAAGGAAAATTATGAACAGTTAGCATATCAGAATTCATTTACTTCAAAATGTTGTAAAAAATATTTGGTGAATTGTGGGTCCAGAGCATCCTCAAATTTGTAATGAGTTAACCAATTTTAAGAGCAGATATGCTGGCTGTTATTCAAGCCATTTCATCATTACCGGCTTATAAAACTAATACTATAGTATTTATTAGAGGCTTAAGGTGCCACTTTTACATCCAGTACATGACAAAAACTGGCCGAGTAATGGTACAACCTGGTACTTAGCCTGTCAGTGGTGCTACATGGTGTGCCTGTGGTGTGATGCTGATGTGTCCTCAGATAGTTTTTCATCACTCATTTGAAGGCCAACCAACCAATCCATTAAACAGATCAAGATCTGCACATGCTTTTATCTCAGACTGTAGTTACTGTAGAGCTGGAAGTGTTGATTGAGCTGCTAAAAAATAAACAATCCAGGTAGAGTTTCACATGATAATTCTTGTAAAAGAAAAAGTAAATGGAAAAGAAAAAGGATGTACATGTTATTGTGCAGATTTTTTCTTAGCTTAAAACATTTCATAGGAGTTTGATTTTCATTTGTTATTTGCTTACATACAAATGGTCAGAATTCTAAGACAAAACAATTTTGTCCCTAAAAATGCAAGGTTCCAAAGCTAACAACATACCAGACAGAAAATGCAATTTTTAAGTTTCCTTTTCTAGTGATGGATAGTCAAGTAATTTACTTGCCACGATCTTGTCATAGAATTGGTGATGAAAAAACAAAAGTAATTTGCTGAAAACAAAGGAACAGGAAATAACTGATAAACCCTCACAATCCCCAGTTCTGACAAGTTGATAGTGAAACAATGTAAAGTACCTGATTTCTGTGTTCTGATCCTGGAGATCAGGATCTGTCTGCTGCTCTTGCTTGGCTTCAAGAATTTTGATCTGTACCTGAAGCTCTACACAAACTTCTCTTTCGTCATGAATATTACGGCAGAGTTCTGTGTTCTTACGCTATTTTAAAAATAGGAATTAAATGTGTCAAATTTAAATAGTCAAGTTAGTGTTGAATTCATTTGGTAAGAAGGTATACGGTGAATTTTAGGAAAACAGGAATTGAAAATAAAATGTAGCATACCTCCAGTTCTGCATTTTGTGCAATAAGCTCTGCCAAAATTCTTTCAAGGTCATCCTCATTTTCCTTTATTTTATGAAGTAAAGGATAAATTGTGACAATTATTTTTATAAATTACATTGTAAAGGAAAAAAACTCCAGTGAAGAGCAATTTTCTGATAAAGTGTGTCAAATTCACCAACATGGGATAAATTTTTTTCTCTAAAATTCATGACTGTAAGAACTCTGTGTATCAGACAAAACACCCTTAAGCCTTGTGCAGAAATACACCTTGGAATCAGAAATACTCTCAGCTGAAGAGACCAAGGCATCCACAAATATTAATGAGGTTAAAAATGAGGCATAAAGGGGGAGCATTAGCCCTTCACCAGGTGCATATAGGTATTTTATTGGTATTCTTCTTAAAGTGTGTGGTGTTTGTAGGCAGAGATTGAACTACCACAGGAAAGGATACAACTTCACTATCAGATGAATCTGATTCTGAACTTCTGTCTGCAGTGGAGTCTGGATCTTGTTCCCTTACAGCCATAGCAGCTGTCAATTCCATCTGGTTAATGATAACAACATCTCTATTTCACATTACAATCTCATAAAAAACAAACAAAGAAAATACTAACAATTAGAATATTATTAACTAGCTAGCGAAAATTTCACTTGGTGATCAAACTCTTATAATAGAATAAAAAAGAAAAAAGGTAAGCACTTGTTCAATTCTTTAGCTTGCGTATCCTTTGTTAAATATTCTGGCTCATGAAAAGTGGTTTGCAGATTTCCAATCTTTCTTTTCAGGAAAATCTTAATTTGTGAATTTCAGTATTGGGCGCAATCTTGATATTTTCCCTATTACCCTTTCACTCCCAAGATCTGATGATTAATTCTCCCCTCTAGCTGCTAAACATTTCCTTGTAAATTAGTTACCAGAATTTGGTGTTAGATCAAGAAAACAACTTCTGTCCAACACATTTGGGTATTCTCATTACCAGTTTGCTGGATATTGCATGGATATTGAAGGGGGAAGTTACTTGTTAATCACTTTGGAGAGTTAAAGGGTTAAAGCCTTAGTTTAAATATGTCATTTCATATTATTGAATGATACAAGGTTATCCTGGCAGACAACATCAATCTTGTGTAGAGTAAACATAAACAGGTATAGTTGTCTGTTAAAAGGTTTTGCTCTAAAATCTTGAGGTTGTAAGAGGTTGAATGTACACACTTACACTCAATCTTTCGATCTCTTTCCTCTCATTTTCAATCCGTGTCCTTAGCTCATTTCCAATTAGAGTCAACTCCTGCCAGAAAAGAAAAGGAAAATATTTAGATGGCTACACAGATGTTCAATGGTTGATCCTCTCAATTGTTCTAAGAGAAATTGTTTGCAACTGTAAATGAAGCAGCTTTTGGCATTTTCACACTGATTTCTTTATATGTTTCAATCTGTAATTCAACTTGGAGCACTGCAAATTGAAAAAAATTAAAGATCAAAATGTTACCATCCCCTTACTTCTTGCTCAAGTAAAAGTTCTGCTTCAGAGGCTTCTAAAAGTGCAATTAACCCTGAAAATAGATTTTAAAAAAGATTCAGCCATGTCAATTTAATTTGCTTGGGAAATCAAGACAAAACTTAATGGGGTGGGGAGGGGGCCTCTTTGGCTTGCACTCTATCCTCCACAAGTCAAGAAGAAAGCTGGAGGGGCTGGGTGGGGGCTGTAAGGTGCACTCCACCCGACCTCTTGTCAGGAGGAAGTTTCAACATCACATGTCTCAAAATTTCAGTAATTTTGTTGAAATAAATAACATCAAGAAGTCAAAGTTGGTAAAAATAAAGGCAAAACAGCTTATGACAAATTTGAAATATTTTAACAGATCAACATATGTTTCTTTCCAGTGAAATCACCCATCATATATGAATAAATTACCATTATCCTCTGCTGGTTTTTCAAAAGGATGTTCCAACTTCTCAACAGTAACTTGAGTTTTCTGGTGTTCCACTGGTTGTGGGGTTTGTGGAATTTTCTTCTTAGCATTCCTAAGCTATGGGGTGAGAAAAAGAAAAGAAAAATTATGTTCTGTCTTGCAAACTAGGAATGATTATGAATATGTTACCTAAAAATATTATAGAAAACCCTGAACCACGTACAGAACCACCCTACTGTAATAATTGGATTGTCTATTTTGCAAAAGACACCCAAGTAAGACACTTAGCTCACAGTCAAAAGAACTACCTGATACTCTCTAAGAGATATATGTTGTTATGTTTAACCCTTTAACTTCCAGAAGTGATTAACATGTCAGTTCTCCCTATAATATCCATAAATTCTCCAGTAAACAGGTAAAGAGAATACTCAAACTTATCAGGTGGAAGTTGTTGTCTTTATGTAACTCTAAAATCTTGTAACTAATTTACAAGGAAAGGTAAAGAAGCAAGAAGGGAGAATTAACACTCAGATCTTGGGAATTAAAGGGTTAATAGTTTAATAGATACCTTTCTCTTGAGAAGGGTCACCTTCCGTTGGACTTCCCAGAGCATTTCATCTTGACCTGCAAACTGTAACACAAACAAACACTCCATGCAGTAAATTAACAAAATTAACACAGAAATTGTAACTTACAGTAATTAGCATCATTCCCAATGACTTTTTTTTTCCATTCGATATCCACAGTAAGAGTAATTGAAAGCAAAGACTGTGTTATATTTGATCAATGGAACCTATGGGCTTAACATGACATCTCATCCAATGGAGAGTAGCAGTACTCCTGTGACCCACTTAAAGGTTGAGTGCAAAAATAATCAATGTCATATAACAATTAAAAACTGAAGTAAGTGTTACTTACCTGCAAATTGTCTGTTTTCATGTTGAGATCTTCATGAAGTTGAGAGAGAACTGCCTCTTGTTTGGCCAGTGCTGATGCTATTGCGCTGCAGAAATTTTCACAATGATGCATAATTAATCATTTCTGTTATTAATAAGATGGAAAAGTAGTGGCCAGGAAGTGCACGCCTTAGGGTTGATGCCCTAGACTAAGAATCAAAACTTCTTTGCCAGTATTTAGCTGGGTCACTTTGTTCCGTTCTCTGACAAGCCTATTTACACCTATGGTGCCTCTCTCCATCCAAGAATATTTAAATGGGTATTGGAAAACTGTCAGAAAATTGTTTAAAAATGCTAGAGGGTAACCTGTTATAGACTAACAATTAAACATAGTGTAATTCCTCAAATAAGCACCCATGCTCTAATAAGCACCCTCCCCAAATAGGCATCCACCCCCTGGGCCAATATATCAAAAAAGCACCCGCCCTCCTCCCTTGCTTTCTAGGATAGGGATACAAGCAAAACCTAAATCTGTTGCCACATTATAATTAGAGCTTTTAAAGCTTCATAACAGCTGAATCAGTACAGGTTAAAAGATTCCTGATAAAAGCGCCCTACTTCAAATAACTGCCCTTTCATTCTGACAAAAAATTTATAAAATAAGCTACGGGTGCTTATTAAAGGAAATGCAGTACTCCTTGTCGCCTCAAAACAAAAAACTAGGAATAAGCTGGGGCAGTAGTGAGCCACTTGATCTTTCAGCAATGATCTTCCACAATCTTTAGAACTACCAGATATATTTTGACTGATTCTTAGTTTAAACCTCTTTTTCTCATAATTTATTTACAACAGTTGGGGAGACTAAGACTCCTCTAGAAAGGGAGGAAAAATAATTTGTTGAGATGCATTTCCATCTGACAGTTACAGGCACTAAAAGCATCTTAGGTGGCTTTCTTCACAGAGCTACAAACAGGTTCAAGTAAAATTGAAATAAACTGCAGTTTATTTTCTTACCCAGGACTACTGGGTAAATCTTCCTCATCCTCATCCATTCTGATGGTCATGGTAAGTGATTCATCGTACCTATCATCATAAATAAAACATCGTAACTCAAAAGAAAAGAAAGCCTTGTAATTGAATGTCTTGAACCAAAAACAAGGTGGATGCATTTATTAAAACCAATCCCTCCTCTCCGCACACCCCCCTTCTTACCTGCACCAACATAGACAACATAGAAACCAGCACAGCCACAAACTCGCTTTTAAATCTTTCCTCACTGGCCCCACCCTACTTCCATCCCACCCCACCCCCCATCCCTGGTAAATACTTTCAGGGACACCAGCAATTGTACTAGACTCACTTTCAGTAGTTCTCCCTTGGGCTACCAGCTGAGGCCATCCTCTCACATAAAAGAACCAATACTCACCTTGTAATTTTTGTATCAGGGAAGAGTTCACCAACATAATTTAGGAAGATGAACAGTACACCATGTCCTATGTTCATTGTTGGACTAAGAACTATGCCAATGTTCTGTAGATTCATTCTGTTTGATGAATACTAGAAAATGAAAGATCACAAAGGTCATTAAATGTTTAAGATGTAAACTTTCAACCTGGTCACCAGACAAAGACAAACAATGTGGCACTCAAAATGTTGCAGTCAATACATAATTAATCAGCCTGACTCTTACATTGTGAGACAAACAATCAAACAATCTTTTAATCTACGTATTTTCTGTGTTGGTTGATCAAAATTCGATTTTCAGGTATTCTTTAGTGTGACAAGGTAAACAATTGGAACTTTCAATGGCGCATGAAGCGCTCAAATTGAAATTAAAATTCCACAACCAAACCTAATAATAATAATAGCCTACACTATTACATCTCACGGAGGTTTGTGAAGTGAAGTTATAACTAACTAGACTTAATTTAACCCTAGCATATAATTTTGCCTTACAATATCACCCCTGGATCACATGAATAAATGAAGGCCACACAAATAAATGAAATGACCATCAACCAAAGAAGCTCTTGATTGTTAAACAAATTCTCCTTGTCAGCACCTTAGTAAATGTATAGAGAACAGTATAGAGAATGTGCATACTGATGTTAGGATGGAGAGAAATCAAATGTTTAAACCTTTTCTATAACATGTGACATATGAGTGAACAGCCAAGCCAACAAGGTCCTGTTGCATGCTGGTAGTTCTGCTAACAGAAGTTTGGCCTTCTCCAGTTGATCTTTTATTTCTTGTGTAGCTGTAAATAATATTCAGACAAAATTTTTATTTATCAAATATTACACATATTGGATCTAAGTAATTATTTCAAGTAATTATTTTAAAAATCAATCAAATTTCAGTGAAGATTGGAAGATTCATTTCAAGAAATCTCACCACAAGTGCCCTGAACTGGTTTTTTTGGTTAACCACTGTTGGTTTGTCAAAGTTGCCCTTCAAAGGCACTAATATCGGTTTGAGATTCATCATATCCACTGTGTAAATGCATGTCTTTTTTTTTTTTACCTGATATTTCGTTGAACTTTGGAAGCAGTGCAGAGGTGAGTATATTTTCAGGTAATTCTCTGATGTACAGCTTGATTAGGCTGGTCACAGCTTCAGCTTCATACTCTGTGAGATCCACTGACTTTCCTAAAAATAAAATGTTCAAATTATAAGGCATTAAAAAATACAAATATAATTAAATGTTTATTTAATAAATATTATCAAATCTAGTGTGGAGACTTAGTAGTTTGGCCCCTATACATTGATCCTTATACACTTCCCGACAAGGAGAATTTGAGAAAGATGTCTTGTCATGAGCATGGGAAAAAGAAAAAATCTGAATCTCCATGAGGGATTGAACCACAGACCTTTGGATTCTGCGCTCCAATGCTCTACCTCTGAGCCATAGAGACTCTACAGTAAGGGAGACCTATTACGAAGTTCATATATGACATGCATCCTGCATACTGCTAGGATCAGCAATGTTGATAGCGTCATGTTTGTACATAGAATAAGAGAGCCGGATGGTAAGTTTTAAGCCCAGTAAAGAAGTAGAGAAAGGTGTTTTTCATCTTGTCACAGGCATGGGACAAAGAAAAATTCTGAGTTCCCATGAGGAATCGAACCTCAGGCCTTCTAGGATTCCCTGTCCCAATGCTCTGCCACTGAGCAACAGAGACTCTATGGTAAGCAATGCCCATTACGAAGTTCATGAGAATTTGTTTAACCATAAAGGGCTTCTTTAGCTGGTGATCATTTCCTTTATTCTCATAACTTGTTTTATTTGGGATGACACTGTAAGGAGAAATAAGATGCTATCTTAGGGTTCAAGGGATCTATTGCCATATGCCACAATCGTTGAAGAAATGGGAACATACCTTGGTCATACAGTTCTTTTAAGGTGTCCACTTTAGACTTCATTCCAGATACTCTGTAAATCCCTTCAATTTCCAGACCTGAAGATCCAACATTATTTTTAATACAAAGTACATTAAATTCCGTGAAAAACTTCATGAGCTATCGTTAGGCAGCATTTATGGTATAAGCCCTGCCGCAGATGACCATGTCACATTAAATAACATTGAAAAATTTAAACATAATTTGTAGATCAAATGCTTGCAAAGTTTATTTTAAAAGTCCACTCAGTCTTATCTCATCATCTTACAATTTTCTTCAATGTAAACGATCCCCTCTCTGAATACTCTTGGCAGTTCTACTCCATCTGGGAACCTGGATTGTTTGACTGCAACTTCCAAAGGAACTCCAAACACAGCCTTCCCTTGGAGAAGAGAGTACAAAACTAATGTAACTACCACTTTATATTTGTAATAAACGCTCTCTTCAGTTTCCAGGTAGCAAGTGCTTCAGATATATGTGCAAGACATTAAAAAACTATTCAGAAAAAAAAAAGCTAAAAAATTTAATTCCCACTGGAAAAATGAGTTTTCGTGAGGTAGTAAATAAATTCTGTCAGAGTCATTGATGAATGGAACTAGACATATTAAAAAAGATTGTGAGGAAAGCACTGACTTGCACACAATTGTGTAAAGATTTTCTTCCCTTCTCAAAATTGTGTTTTCTTTCAGAACATAGATATTAATGCCTGAATGAGATCTAATTCAATATCAAAAATTTGTTTCTTATGTTATACATGATCTTTCAAGTAGTTTGGATGCATTCTGGTTCAAACATGGCTACATGAACGCCATAATTTCTTTGCCCTTTTTTTCTGAAAACAGCTTGGTCCTTGCTTACTTGGTGCCTGAGGAGGTGAGAGTGTTTCTGATTTCTTCTTCTTTTTCTTATCCTTTTCCTTTTCTTTGTTTTCTTTCTCCTTCTTCTGCTTTTTAGGTTTTATGCGAAGAGCCAGTGATCTTGACTTTTCTCTCTTCACTTTCTTGCCTTTAGGTCTTGGAAATTACAACAAAGAGGCACAAAGAACCATGAGACAAAGACAGTTTTTCAAACAGTATTCATCACATACCATAAAAAAAAACCCTCAGAAAAATACTTAAATGTTGAGTATAATTCACCTTTTAACCGAAGAGAGTTGATAACATCCTCCTTCAAATTCTGAAGAGTTTTTCAATCTCTTTGTAAAGATGAAACAAGTTTGTCTAATCATTATCAGTTTTCTTCTTCACCAAAATCAAACCTGTGTGTATGAATAGTTTTTGTCTCCTTCCATGTCACAGGAAAGACAAAATGAATACATTTACATATTTTAACTCAGCATGTCTGCTTAGTATTGGATTTCCTCTTGGGCAGTTCACTATTCATCCTATGGAAGTGATTAAAAGTAACGTCTCCCTAAAGTTGCAATGCATTGCAAAGTAAATGATTTATGGGAATAGATATTCTTTTCAGCAAGACAGTGTTTTCTTGATGAAATAACATAATATCCTGAATCATTTTGAGAGAAATGTATAGCAGGTGGAAAGGAGAATATCATTCAGATCTTTGGACTAGAACTCTTACCATCTGGATTTATAAGTACATGTGCTTGGGGATAAATTCATATTTATATCTCACTGCAGCTTGGGAATGAAAAAAGCAGTTTAAAATATATGAAAACAAATTCAAGTATTTGTATATGTTGCTTGGTTTCTTGTTAGAGTTTGCTCTTAGTTTAGGAGTGGCCAGAAAAGAGCTGAGAAGAAGAGGAACCTTTGTTCACACTAACACCTGTTCGGAAAGCTATTGTGCGCCGATTTTATGAATGGAAACGACGAGTGATTGCTTTTTCTTTGTTTTCGTGGGTACATTCATTAAATCAGCAATACTTTTGCCGCTTTACTTCCTGATTGACAGGAAAACGGATTTGAATATCACGCCGAATCAATTAGGGATTACACTCGCCGGAATCCCTTTGAAATTCACTGAATATTTGATCGTTATCACATTAAATGTTTTAAAACAAAAATGACCCAAAAACTGCTCCATTAGCATGTCAGATTCATCCAATATCATGCTCTCGACGGAGAGCGATTAATTGGACAAAATAAAAATTGATAAAAAATTATGTGGAGTAGAGTTACAAATTATAAAATAATACTTTCCTTTCAAATTTTTTTACGAAGGGCGAGCGAGGTCAAAATATTGATTCGTTGAGGCGTTCAAAATATGTAAACAAAGTTCGTTCTAAGGATTCTGATGACATATTTCCTCTAGCATGTAAAACTGAAAGAGTAAGAAATAAAAGCGACCAACAACCAGAAATTCAATGATCATTTACCTAGCCTCTTCTTCCTCTTCTTCGCCGACGCTGTCATCGTCAGATCGAAAGGCCACATACCCCTTATCTTTCTTGCTTTCCTTTCTCTCATAGACGTCTTCTTCACGTTCAGCCATCAAATCCGTGGCTGATATATTCTTAAAGATAACAATCGAGAGGGACAGGGATAAATTTCAGCCAGAAACTACAGCAACTCTGGCAGATCTCCAATATTTCAAAGACAATTTTACCTAATCCGCCATTACTAGACTAGCTTTCCCCAGGTCGCCGCGAAAAGAAACTTTAAGGCTAGGTTACTAGGCGGTGAGTTGTTATGACAACGTAAAGTTTCGTGCGAAACACACGCTTTACTGTTGTCGCAAAGTTTTACTAATTTTTTTACCTCATCAGTTTTAGAGACTTTCAAAATCTCGAAAAAACCTTGCTGAACGTTTTTCTTTTATAAGCTGAAAGCTTAACATCAAGTTTGAGGCAAAAAATGGCGAAGTTGGATACTAAAAACGATTTGAATCGCGTCGGCTTGTTCAGCGAGCTCGGCTACATCTCAATTGGTGATCCGTTCAAAAGGAAGAGCACAGGTAAGATTTTCAAGCAACATCCTTGGTTGAAACGAAAATTTGAATCAATGAGTAAAGAGCTGCAGTTCAAGAAAACTACTAATTCTACGTAAAATAAACACGCAGATGAAAACCCTAAATTACCATAAGCGTTGGAGATACCTCAGTAAATTAATTTGTTGCAAGTGAAAGATTAAGAAGCCTTTTTTCCGCTGGAAAAAAATACAGGAGTTTTTTTTAATGCATTATGGACATTAGAGTTGCAAATCACAACATCCCTCTTGAAGACCTTCAAACGGGGAAAACAGCATCATGTTTATGCATGTTTTTTTTTAACTCTGTGGTAAAATATTGCGGACGTAATGTATATTGAACCTTTATTGACCGAGTGTGCTTGTTCAATCATGGTTAAATATCGGCCTAATTCACTTTTGGTATTGTTATGGAACTTGACTGGCTAGTGGTCAGAGAGAGGAACTACAGATCAAAGAGTCAGTTTTGAGTTATGCCCAGATTGCTGATTGGGTACAGACAAACTGTCTAGGGAACCAGACAAATGTTGGCAGTGAAAATTAAGGGGTAACCCCGCAAAGGGCCTGCATCCTATCGAGGTTAGGTGCAGGGGGCATACTACAGGCAGATCCTTCTAGCTCCTTCACTGATTTTATTTTTTATGTGATACTTTCACCATTATTTCTTTTTTCAAGAATTCAACATGGCTGCTCATAAAGGAAAACAAATGCTACCTGGTGGGAGCAAAACACGATCAGCCCTTCAGGCAGGATATTTTGATCAGAGATTCAACAGAGTCATGGAAGGGGAGGCCTTCACTGATCCTGTAAAGCGGCGTAGACAGGACAAACTAAAGAGCAGTAAGCTTAACATAGGAAAGGCTTTTGTTCCAAGTAGTGGAGAAAAATTACCGTAAGTTTATGTGAGGCTTTGCTGCAATTTTGCAAAATGTTCATTAGAAAAGTGAAACCTTTCATATAGAGACCTTGTATTAACCCTGATAACTCCTAGAAGTGATGAACATCTCAAATCTCCTGAGAATTTCAATACATTGTGCAACAAATTGGTAATAAGAACTGAAGGTTTGATCAGTTGGAGAGTGTCGTCAAGATCAGTTTGCCTCTTTTTGTATCCTTTTAGCTGCATATTACAGAGGAATTATGAGATGCTTTCTGTTTCTCTGTGATATAACACCAAATTCTAATTTATAAGGAAATATATAGCACCTGGAGGGGAGACATGTCAATCAGATCTTGGGATTTCAAGGGTTGTGCTGATGGAAAGGGATGATCTTTAAAATTTTGTCCTGACTTTTTCAACATATACAAACAATGCAATTTAACACCTGAAATGTACCAAGTTTCTCTGCTTTTGTAATACCTGTACCATATCTCATGCATGGATTTAATTTGAAGTACATTTTTTGTTGAATGTGTGCAGTTCAGGAGCAGGAAACCATTATGGAACTTTCAGTGGAGCCATTACAGCTTTTAGCCCTGTGTCCAAGGGGAAAAAACCAACAGAGTCTGCTGGAAAGAACTTCTTGACAAACCCACCCAAGAAGGGGACAGGGTTTGGATATCTGAATGTGACAATTGGTGCCCCACCCAAGTACATGTCTGATGCTTATGAACGTGCAAGAGAGCTGCGAAAGGTAACTGGCCTTATTGTTAGGTTAAACTACCTGTATTCCCTCTTGTTCAGAAATCACAGTTAGCACAGACCTTAATGTTCTTGGTGGCAACAATGTGCATATATTTTTCCACTGATTTCTGTTGACTTTCACCATGAAATTTGCTCAAAAAAGAGAGGAGACTTTGCATGGCCATTATTAATTCATTCTCTTTAATTTCAATCTTCCAAAGCAGATATAGCTTTCCTAGATTTTGAGGAAAAAAGAGAATCTGTGCCTCAAAACATCTATTAGATCAGATGTTGATGGGCTCATTACAGATTACTTCCAGAATTTCCTCACACCACCCACAGCCCCCCTTCCCCACTAACAATTCACAGGTATTCATTCTGTGTACAAGCTGGAGATCTGTTTTTCAACTGTCTTGAAAATCTAAAGGTGTCCCCAAGTGTAATCACGGTGGGTTCCTTGGTTGTCCCAGGATAAAAATTTCACATCTTCCATTAAAAGAAAAAATCCAGACAGGCACAAGCTGATGTAGTTTGTACACCCTGTATGAACCTTTGGGTAAATAAGCACTTAATTGCATGCTCTAAATGATATTTTATTGAATAACTTTTTTAACAGAAAGAGATGGAAGGAAGCCTGAAAGCAAGAAAGGGAGGAGCATATAAACTAAATCTTCATCCTAAGGCCTATTTTGATGGAAATCCCTACAAATCCGACAGACGTAAGCAATGAATATTCAATGCCTTTCAATTAAAGGGCTCTTGAATCAAGTTTTGTTAAAGTCCTTAAAGACATGTGCAAAAGAGCACATTACACTTTCCAGATGACAAGAGCAATAAATTGGTTACTGTACTTATCACCCCCAGAAGCACACTTGTGTAGATTGTTTGGAATATGTCAGTTTTTGTCAATTTTTTTCAAACTCAAATCCTTAATTTGCTTTGTGTTATTTCAGCTCTTCCACCTGTAAAAGAGACTAGGAAACCCCCAGAAGGATTGAAGCCTTTTAAACCCAGTTCTCCAGCAAAAGAGGTAATTAAACTGAACCACTTAAATGAAGAGTTTCTCAGGCAGATCCATGTCCCAGATGGATCTCTTCTCAGTTTCAGTCGCAAGGGGCATTACCTCACAGGATTGGCATTCTTCCAGGAAGGAATGCTAGTCCATGGTTGCCTTAATCCTGTTGGACTACAAGTTGGAAATTCGAAAGAGTTTTGTGACATCCAATAAACTCTGGGAAGTGAGACTTGGCCCTATAAAGGCCTAGTTCATTGTAGACTTTCGGTAACTTGATGAAAGAGCATTGGAGTGCAAAATCCTAAGAGGGACTCAGAATTTTTTCTTTGTCCCATTCTTGTGACAAGATAAAAAAACACTTTTCTCTTCTTTTACAAGTGTGACAATTTTCTGATTCTTGCTTTTTTAAGTTTCTATTCCTCATCATTTCTTAGTAGGGAAACTAGGATAGGCTCAATCAGAAATGGGCCACTTGGCTTATTTGCCTTCCCCCATGGAAAGTTTACGGGGAAACAAGAAATCTTTCCTGAACAAAATTTGACAATGTTGTTCCTTTTCTTTATAGATTGGTGGTATGAAGGCTGGTTGCTTTGACAGTTACCCATCTCACTCTAATGATCCTTATGCGGTCAAAAAACCAAAAGGTAGTGATGGAACAGAGAAAAGGATCTTCAGACCCTCCCAGGGACCAAAATCAACACGAACGACATCCATCATAAATCAAAATGTAGAACGACGTATCAATAACTTAAACTTCAGACAACCTATCACTGTGTCCATATAATTAGATACACTTGGTAATAATTATGTGAATGCAAAAAAGTTAATTTTGTAAAGGCTAGTGTGTATTAATTCATGTGTTGGGTTTAGCATGTAAGAACAGAAAAGCTTTGAAAATAATGCAAAGTTAGATCGTATATCCAACGGTTTTACTGTACAGGGTATATTTTAATTTTAAAGTGTGAGCAGTTACATAAAGAATAATTGATCGTAACACTGTAAATTAAATTTCCTTTCTTTGTTATACCAAATAGGCCAGATACTTGATGAGGTTGTCAGTTGTAACAACTTCAAATATTTTAGAGAACAATTGAAACTTGTGGTTGCATTTCTGTCACTTGTCAAAAAGGAAGGATCTTTTAAAACTGACAAGTTAATTATTTGTCTTTTGAGTTCTTATGGATACTGTGTGCCTGCTCATCTTCTAAATATGGTAACTATTAAAACTGTTAATAAAATCTCAATTAGTTTTTTCTCACCTATTCTTGAGCACATAAAAGAATGTGTTGTTTATTTGTCTGTTGTAAGATTCTTTCAGAATACATTTTTCTACGAATTTGATCAACCTTTCTCTTAAGAGGAACTCAGAACCACTAAATATGTGACATTCATTTTACTATAGCATTTCTCTGAACCTTAAACCACCCATAAATACACCTCAGGCAAATGAAGATTAGAAAAAGTCTATACACTCATGTTATTTTTCATCAATATATTGCTAACAAACCCCAAATATTCATTACCTTGTTATCTTAGCCAATAAATAATTATGGAAACTATTAATAATTTAACAAAATTATGACAACAGTATGCACATTATTGACAACTATCCTGTCACCAGAACTTGTTTTGGCATTATACTTTGGCCTGGTTTCCATTTACTTGTCCTGGTCAAGATGATCCAGACAATCATATAGAAATCAGAATCAAGAAAGAAACGTATTTATTACAAATGAAAAATAGCAAATTTTCAGTTTGGCAAGACAGTAATAGAGCCAAAAATTCAAATGTAGTTTATATTTCCTCTCAAGAAATTATCTTATTCCTCTTCTGTAAAAAATATTTTGCTTTCCTGATTTTCCCATCCATTTCACTTTCACTTCAGTCCAATTAGGTCTTAAATGTACCATAATTTTCTACCAGTAAAATCCTTGGTCTCCTTTGCAGCCTTTGTTTGGTCACAAAACACAACTTTGGCCAATGAGAAGAGCAAATGTTGTGTCATCACACTGAACAAAAATTGCAAAGGAGATTATGATATCCTCAAAGGATTGAAATAAATAAATGTGTGTTATTTTGAATTCAATTGCTTGTTTGCCATGGCACTTCCTATTGATCAGATCTGGTCAAAATGGAATGATCTGGTTATTTAAAGTGTTAGACTAGATGGAATTAAGAATTCCATTCATTGTGTGTAAAGGCATGGGAGTTGTGCTCTCTTGCATTTTCAATACCAGAACAATAGAAAATTCCATTTGCACCACCATTTCCAGTACTGGGCTTTCCAGTACTGGGCAAGCAAGTATTTTGTGCACAGGCATGAAAAGTGACTAGCCTTTCTCAAAAGATTGGATTAGTTTGACCATGACTGGTACTGTCCAATCTTAAAACTGACATGTTCCTACCTACACACAGCTGACATGTTCACCTGGCCTGCCTGACAAACAGAAATTTTCCCTAGTCTTGTTTATCTCTTCTAAACCACTGAACAAATCTCCGCCAAGGAATTGCTTGTATTCTGTCCCAAAGCAATTCCTGATAGCTTGACTTGGCAAACATAAATGCACCAAACATCAAAAGGAACAGAGACGAGAATATTAAATAGTAGTCTGTTTCTTCAGTTGGTTTGTTTATCACTGGACCAATGTAATCTTCCTCTGAGATCTCCACACTGAAGTTGCCCTCAATACCTTACAAAAAATTATGGATCTCAATCAAATTATTTATCTATTAAGAAAGTAAATTAGAAAAGACACTAAACTGATGAACTCATGGCCCTGAGTGTAACTGCAAAAAACTGTACCTTTTTTAATTGAAACACCTCAAATGCTTCCTGGTGTACAAGAGAGAGGACTTTTTACAAGTTTTAAGAGAACCTCTTGCTGTGGAATGATGAAAACTAACTCCACAAATTTTATTACCAGTCATCGATGTAGCCTGATGACATTTACCATGGTTGCAGCTTAATCCTTGGGGCGACAGACCCTCTGATCAGTTGCATGATGAAGCCAAGTCCAAGGGGTGGTGATGGATTTCTTATGCCAGGATTCATTCAAGGGGTTTTATTCAATAGACAGCTGTCACATCTGACCACCCATTAAATAAATTATTTTTTCATTTGGAGAGGGTCAAACTGGAAATATGTCTGCATTTATAAGGTCAACCAGGCTTCAATCACTTATTTTAATTTACAAATCCCATTCAGTTAAACAAGAAGAACACCTTGTATCAAACTTACCAGTGTTGTTCTTGACAAACATTCTAAGATCATCCAGGGTTATTGAATTATTGAATTTCAACACAGGTTTTCCAGAGTGAAACAACAAGATGGTGGGAACAGCAACCACTCCAAAACGAGTATTCAGACTAAAAGGAGCACAATAATGTTATTCAGCTGATCACCAACATGCACTAAGCAGTGAAAAACAACTACAAAAATGCCCCCCTTAAAGGAAAAAAAGGAAGTTTCCCAGAAACCATTTAACTCTAAAGATTTTAGATATAATTCTCCCTATTACTTGTTACACATTTCCTTCTAAATTGGTTGTGAGAATTTGGTGCTTTATGATGATAACCCTCAGGTTGATTTGTCTATTCTTGTCACCTTGTGCTTTACTGGCTTTGGGTATTTAAACCAAAATGGGTCCTTTTCTCTAACTTTTCACTCCCAAGATTTCATCTCCCAAGATTTTGTAATTCTCCTAATTGTCTGGCAGATAATTATCATTATGTTAGTTCAGAGAATTTGGTATTGGATAAGCCAATAATCCCCTAATTGGGGTTGATGTTGGCAGTAAGGCAAATTTGTTGAGTTCTTTGTTCTAGGTAAAGGAATCTGAAAACCCACAAGCAGTTTGTCATCCAAACTTAACCTCACCTGTGTTGTTTGTAAGCATCCACAGCTAGAATGGGTAAATTGTTGTAAACTCGTCCCAGAGCGTTATACATCGGGGCAAGTTTTGCACTAAATGGACAATACTGGGTGAAAAACAAAACAACTGCACAAGCATCAGTATTATTATCTGACGTCGAATTAATTATCTTGAGCAACTCCTCTGCATCAACTATGGCCACACTCTGTGGTAGGGAGTCATTATTTTGTGAATTGTTCCTTCCCTTACAAAACCATTTTGGAGTGGTTGTAGAGTTGACGACTTCAATGTTATGTTCCGTGGTATTTTCAGTTTGAGGCAGACTTTCATTTAACTCCGTTTCATTTGCAGCTATAACCTCCGTTTTGCTTGATGTTTCATTTATATTGAATATTTCCAAGATGGTGTCATTTTCTCCTCCTGAAACGCTGTTTTCGTCAACCATTTTTTCATCTGAAAAATACAATATGATTTCGGTTTGCAAAGATTACAAATAAACTTACTACCACTCGTACAATGTTTTAACATTCCCAGTCAGTTCGCAAATTACCTTCAACTGAGTCATTCCCTGATAAATTTTCAGCTTCCTCTGCCAAGGAACTCACAAAACAGATGACAAGTAAGCAACAAACCCAAGTCACTCTATCCGCCATGTTTCCACTCTACAGCGAGCATGCCTGCTGCGACAACTCGCTGACCTCAGCGATTTCAGCGATTTTTTATATGAAAAAAATTTGGATTCATTTCAACATCATAGAGCCAAGTATTTAGATAAAGATTCAGGGGAAAGAAAATTGGAGTAGAAAAAGAAAGAAAGGAAGATAAAAACTGAAAAAGGAAAAGAATTTTCAGCAGCCCCTTGAGAGATTTGAACTCTCGACCCCTGGTTTACAAGACCAGTGCTCTAACCACTGAGCTAAAGAGGCTCGCTCGTCCGAAGTGGGCAAAACTTTACATAATTATACAACCTTTACACGTTATTTTGCATTGCATCATGGGTTTTGATGTTCTCATATTATCGTTTTTCAGACCATTGTAAGACCGTGTAACTTTAATTGGTGGAACAGATCAATTTTTACGAATTTTGATCATTTCATGCCCTAAAGAAAGGCCTTTACGGTATTTACTGAAATACTAAGAAACACGTTTAGAGAGCTGTACCCATCTTGTATTGAGCCGTCCGAAAAACAGGAGAAGATATGATGTTTAAGTGATGACGTCAATATTGGTAGCATATGTCGACCAAAGTGGTAAGAAATTATAAGTGTAGAAACCTGTTGAGTTCACGAATGACGTAGAACAAAGAACATAAAAGAGTAGAAAAAGTCTGAGAAATTGATAAAAAACAACAACAACAAAAAACCCTCAGGTGCCTACACCAAGGTAAACCCCGTTTCATCAACAACGCAGCAAGTCCCTCTCCTTTTAACTATCCAGCTTCGGCCAGTTCTGTTCAAACAGTGGTCTTCGCCTAAGTAAATTTATAATGATTGATTCATCCTCATAAAAGACGTTCATGGTGTTGTTTTATTCAAACATTCTTTCCACTCCTGGGGCGTTACCAAGGGATGTCTTGTTTTATCGATGACTTCCAAAAGCATAACGCCACTCTTTTTCCTAAAATGTCTCCTTTCAAAGTTTTCAATTTAGTTTTGATTTCAGGAACACTGTTATATTTTCTTCTTTATGTTCTTATGATCGGGCATTTACCGCATGTGCCAGTGGTGAAAATTTATTTTGAAGAGGAACCGTCAGAAGGTGATTTAGCTTATTTTCCAAGGGATTTTACACACGAAACGTCGTTGAATTTTGGAGCTGGAATAATGAAAGATGACGGATTGAATTCTTCTTCGACGCCAGAACTTTCGGTGAAAGATGAGAGAGCGTCTGAAGAATTAACAGGCGAAAAGGATAATTCTGCGAAGAGAAGTAGCCTTCTTTCATTTCTTGAAGGACTAGGGGTTCCTATAAACAAGGCCCGTATTTTAATGGCAAGCGATATTTCAAACAACGTTCTTCCACGAGTGAATCCAAACGGATTTTCTTTGGCAAAATTGATGGAGAAAATGGACAAAGAATTTAACCTGGAGAGTGGTACACCGTGTCCCACCAGTCACCTAAATTCAGGTAAGTTCAAAGAATATAGGAATAAAAAAATAAGTGAAGGAAGACTGAAAACGATCCTGTTTTCAACGGGATTTGAACCCATAACCCATTGTATCACCCATGGTTCAAAACATATATCCTTTTTTTTATTATTTGATCACGTTCAAAGAGCCTTCTTATTTAGTCTCGCATCGTCAGAGAAGAACTATGCCCCTGAAACCGAATAATTGTGATGACCGATACCAGAAAGTATGAATAGAATTATGTTACAAACAGACTGTGTTTAGAAATTCAAAAGTGTAACATGACCGATTGAAATGAGCCAAAGATTCGACCACAGGCACTGCTATATTGAATACTGCTTAGCAACCAGGCCAGTAACCTGCGACGCAACGAAGAACCTCTCTGCTTTTTTCAACCTCTTGAGTGGTTTTAACAAAATGTCGCAGGTTTGATCTTTCTCTTGGTTTTAACACCTAGAAATTGCATGCTAAGGAAATTTTGACTTGGTTGATAACTTTTCTGTCATTTCATAGTGAAGCGGCTAGGTTTTAATGAAAAGTCTTAAATCATATGACGGCTTAGATGATTGAGTATTTAGCACATTTGAAGACAATTTCTCACTAATAATGCTGCTATTTTTAAAATATAAAAGCGCGGAAAGTAGCAACTATTCGTGTAGCTTTTTGATCGCAGAAATAGAATAATGTGGTTAATGAAGCAAACTGTATCGTCTATTTCTTTATTATCCACCTTGAGCACTCACGCAAATGAGGAAGGGAAAATCCCCTGCGGAAGGAGGGAGAAGAGAAATCGTCGTAGAATATCATTTCCACGGGGACAGTTGCAAAGATCTATTGAGTCCATATTTTTGGAAAATAATTCTTTTTTCAGTTGGTTTGCTGGCGGTTTACAACAATGCACTGAAGCTCGAGGATGTCGAACGTGAGTTAGAATTTGTGCAGAACGGTGGACAATGGAAACCAGACTGTATACCAAGAAAAAAGGTTATAACGAGATTAAATTACTTAGGCGGCGAAAAATAGGAGCAAATGAAAGAATGAAAGAATGAAAGAATGAAAGAATGAAAGAATGAAAGAATGAAAGAATGAAAGAATGAAAGAATGAAAGAATGAAAGAATGAAAGAATGAAAGAATGAAAAGAATGAATGAAAGAATGAAAGAAATGAAAGAATGAATGAAAATGAATGAAAGAATGAATGAAAGAATGAAAGAATGAAAGAATGAAAGAATGAAAGAATGAAAGAATGAAAGAATGAAAGAATGAAAGAATGAAAGAATGAAAGAATGAAAGAATGAAAGAATGAAAGAATGAAAGAATGAAAGAATGAAAGAATGAAAGAATGAAAGAATGAAAGAATGAACGAATGAAAGAATGAAAGAATGAAAGAATGAAAGAATGAAAGAATGAAAGAATGAAAGAATGAAAGAATGAAAGAATGAAAGAATGAAAGAATGAAAGAATGAAAGAATGAAAGAATGAAAGAATGAACGAATGAGCGAATGAACGAATGAGCGAATGAACGAATGAACGAATGAACAAATTGACGTATGAACGAATGAACGAATGAACGTATAAACGAATGAATGTATGAACGAATGAACGAAGAATGAACGAATGAAATAATGTGGTTTCTGAAGATCTAACAATAGAGAAATACCATCGCCGTTCATTGGGGTAAGATGAAACTACTTTAATTCCACATTTCTCTCATTTTTCAGGTAGCCATAGTTGTTCCCTTCAGGGACAGACAAGAACACCTTAACATATTCGTAAGACACATGCACAAGTATCTCCGATGGCAAATGTTAGAGTACAGAATCTTCATTATAGAACAGGTAAAACCGGGGGATAGGCCTCTCTCGACTGTACTCGTATGGCGGGCAGATACATTGTAACGGGTGACTCATGTTTAGTCTCCCTCGCAAAAGTTGTTTGTTTCGTCAAACGACGAAACCCCCCCACTCCAAGTCCTCGTAAAGCTAGGAATAAGCAGCATAAACAAAGAAGTTTCTAGTTTTTATCTTTTTTTTCATGCAAAACTTAAACTTTGACTTAGCTGAGAACTAACATGCGTTTATTTTCCAGGCCGACAACGAGCGTTTTAATCGTGGAATGCTAATGAACGTTGGGTTCAATGAAGCAATGAAGGCGGATAACTTCACTTGTGTAATATTCCACGATGTGGATCTGATCCCAGAGGATGCCAGAAATGACTACAGCTGTCCCTCATCTCCACGTCATATGTCCACTGCTGTGAGCCGCCATGACTACATGTTAGTATTCATGACAGAAGGGTTTTTTGTTCAGTTTTGAGGTTTTTGTTGTTAATAGCCTTATAGCTGATCCTTTGCAGTACCCTAATAAGAGTGATACCACAGCAAATCAGATTTAAAATAATCATCCCGAGGAGCCAATGATAAATCAAGGTAAATGAAGTGTGTATATGAAAGCGCGGGAAATATGACCTTCTCATTGGTAATTGAATGGAGTGATATTTCTTGACCAATCACATGGTCGAAAGGTAAAACTAAGATCCAAGGCCACGCTTTAGACCGATACGAAACTAAAGCAGGGTGCGTCATTCGGGTTTTCGGATTTGAGAATCAGCTGTTTTGGAATTTTTGAGATTTCTGAATTAAGTTTTGTCCAAGGTTGAAATCTGTTTCCTTTTGCCAACACAGATTAAAGTACAAGACTTTGTTTGGTGGTGTTGAAGGTTTTTGGGTCGAGCATTACCGCCGGATCAATGGATTTCCAAATCGCTTCTGGGGTTGGGGAGGAGAAGATGATGATTTGTATGTCAGGTTTGTGAAAAGGAAAAAATTATATTCAAACAACACATTGTTATATTAAAGTTCATCAGCTCGGCCCACGCTCCTTTAAATCGTAATGATGGCGGCTTACTACCTGACGCCTATTTACACCTCGTCAGAAAAAAGGACAGCTAATTTGCGGGCGTATAAAAGGACCTGTCGTGACAGCGATCAGATCACTCCTGATGAAGGCACTAGACAGGGATGTCGAAACCTTGGGTCTATGAATTGTAACTTTTCGGTTACATTCATCAAATCTTTAAACCAGAGTAGCGTCAAACCATGTCTGAACACATTGTTACTAGTCAGGTTTACGGCTAGTGACGTCACCACCATTCTTTACTCTACGTCATGTCTAGTATTGCAAGAGTGGTAGAAATATCAAACCCAAGCACACTCTACCACCTTGGATTTAAAATTTTTAAATTTGCTTCAATGTTCATGTTTCCTATTAAGAATCACAGAAAGGCGCCTGAGTCTCACTCGACCGGCTCATATGATTGGTCGATACACCATGCTGAGTCATTCACACACAGAAGGAGAAGAAAATCCTGAAAGGTAGGAATAAATACACCATATCACGGTTTAACATGTAATATGTACAGATATTTTGCGAGTTAGGTGGTATTATTCCGATCGAGCCATGAGCAAAATGTCCGTTCGTATTTTATGTTAAACCATTGAATAAGGGATTTATTGATGCACTATTATTTCGTTTTCAAGTATTTTGGCTTCTAGTTCGCAATACATCCTTCGGTCTTACTGAGCATAGATCGAAATTTAGCGAAAGACGAGAACAACACAACCGAAACCATTGGAGTTTTTTTATGACTAACATGAGCTCAGCTTTCCGTCGCTATTTTCCCCTGTTCTACGGTGTAATACAGTGACATATTTGCGCGCGTTCTGATGCTCCCATGTGGTAAAATGGCGTAGTAGTGGAATGAAAAAATGTGTTGGTAACCTCTTATAAACTTCTCTGTCGAAATCTCACAACTTAAGGGCATCTCGACTGCTTGTTGCAAAACAAAATCGAAATAACTACAACAGCCAATCAGAACACAGGAATAATTCTTACAAGGAGCCATGGAGAACCTTAACCCTTTAAATCCCAAAGTCTGATTGTTAATTCTCCCCTCTAGCTGCTGCACATTTCCTTTTAAATTAGTTACAAGAATTTGGTGTTAGATCAAGAGAACAACCTCCATCTGATAATTTTTGGTATTCTCATTAGCTATTTGTGGTATAATATATGGAAATTACAGGGAGAAGTTACTTGCCAATCACCTCTGAGAGCTAAAGGGTTAAGAGAGACTAAGATGCCTGAAGCGCGGAAATGCGAGAGGCCAATCATGGTATTTCGAAGTTATTTTTCTTTGGAATAATAATAGACCCAACTAGGCCTAATCCCAAATTCCTTTAACCACTTAACTGAAAATTGAAACTGCTCTATCCAAACTAATTTTGAAATAAAGGATTGGAAATCATAAACAAGAATTTGAAATTTGAACTTCACTTCGAGATTGTTATTTATCTTTTTTTAACAGGCATGAGGAACTTCGTAGAAGTGAGGTGCTTATCGATACGGACGGATTAAACACGCTCGCATACACTGTGATAGAATTCCAGGAAAAGCCGTTGTACACTCTGATATCTGTATCACTCCAATAGGGTAGAACGAAATGGAAACAGTCGACGACGTACCATGCTAAGCCAGCGATTGTACCTCTTGTGGTCGCTTAGCAACATGAATGATCCATCCTTAAAAGACAGGTGTCCTGGCATGTCTTCATTTGACATCGAGAGAGTTCGCTGTTCTGTTACCTTCCTCAACAGCAAAGACCGATAATTGCCTCCACGTTGTGGTGGTATTAAATACAGAAAGTGAGTGACACTTTTTTCGAAGTTATGCAGCCGCTGAAAGGATTTTTGAGAAGGAGCGTGGGTTCAGCTATTTTCAAATGGTCATAACTCGCGTCTCATAATAAGACAACACAATAGTTTTGTCATCGTTTTTCTTTCTTTTTCGCGTCTGTTCTTTGTTAGTGAGATGAATTTCAATAAAAGATTTTTCGACTTCGTTGTTTTTAGTAGGTTTTCCATCTCAGCTTACAGGAACGAACAGTAAGGACAAAACTTACCTTTCGCCAACTCCCCACCCTGATCATAAAATAACATTCAAGAGTTCTCCAATCGCACAATTAGTCCTTTCAATCCCAGGATCCAATTAGTAATTCTCCCCTATTGACAATGTGGGTTATGGTCTTCTTCCAAAATAACGCCCCCAGCTGATAAGCTTGTCTGTTATCATAACCTGTTTACAAGATAACTTTGGGAACTGGAAAATTAACTAGTTAATCACCTCTAGGATGTCTTCCCATCCCACGTCAATGTTATACAATGGCGCCCTTGAGAGTGTAAGACCATGTGCTGTTGCCATTCCCCCCACACCTCAAAACATTAGACACGTCGTCATCTTTCGCAACACGGTACAGTGACCCAGACAGTGCACAAACCCACACACTTTATCATTGAAGCACCAACTCAAAAAGTTACAATCTCGTCTTTTAAATTCCTCGTTAAATTTATTAACAACTCTTCCACTAGTATAGTGATTATATGTAAATACCGTAAAATTACACCCCTGGCTCGTTCATAGTTACCCTCACATTTGAAGAAGGAATCTCTATCCAGGATCAATCTTCCGCTCTTCAACCAAAGATTGCGCCACGGTTTCCTCATTCGTAATATTTTTCTTTGTACACATTTTAAGAACAGATCTCAACCCTTTCACTCCCACAAGTGACCGAGAGAGAATTTCTCCTTACAATATCAAGTAGGTAGTTGACGAGGATAAAAAAATATTAATTATGGGATTAGTTGATCCAATACCAAATTCTCAGAACTAACATCATAAGAATTGTATGGCAGACATTAAGGAGAATTATCAATGAGATCTTGGGATTGAAAGGGTTAACACCGTCCCCTCACTTGCGACCCACCCAAACAAACGAAAAGGATTTCTTCCCGAAGAAAATAGAAACCTATCAATATAACTTATTTAAACAAAAATAGACAACTCTGAAACTATTCAGTGATGATACATAAGCCATATGTAGCCTTCAAAATCCCAGGCTAAATGACAAATCTCCTCGCGTTGGGGGTGCATCATTCTAAATCATCCTACGGGAATATATCTCTTAATCAATTCTAAGTTTTAATTTCGCTTACACGGACCTTTCTCCTATTTCTTGTGCTGCATTTCATAATTAACTACAACACAAACGGTGAGGAGGAACTGTACATACAACATATTGAATAGTTCTGTGTGTTTGAAGCTACTGAATAAATATTTTTACATCTGGGGTCGTTTTTTCTTTTCTTAACAACAAAACAAACCATGGTAAAACAAACTGCCATGGTATGCTGTGGCATGTTGCACTTCTCTTCCCTCCCGTGTAACAATAGGCCTCAGTAGAGTCTGGCTGTGTTGGAGTGAATTTGGTACAGCTCCTGCTCACAACCAGCACATAGGCGTTGTCGCCTGTCAATTGGGACGCATCGGCATTTCTCGCAAACCGGCCGATCAGTAATGACTCGCGCCGGTACTTGCCGAAGGTCTCGAGAAGTGTTCGTGTATGAATCGTCGGTCGAACCCGATTGGAACCACGGTCTCGATAAGGATGATGTGGAATAACTTTTCAGATGTTCACGTTGATGTGGTGGATTATATGGAGGGGCGGGTACATACTGGGCAGGCCGCGGACCATAAGAACCACGGGCTCGATAATCACTGTCCATCCCATCCGCAGAGCGTGCGGGCGATGGAGAACGATCGCGAGTTGTCGGGCGAGAGTTCTGAGCTAAATTTCCCACGTAAGACACTTTGTGTCTTGGCCGTGAAATCGATATACTAGGGGGAGCTTTCGGACTGTCGCTACTTCGGTAAGTCTTCGGGTCGTAAGTGTCAACCGTAGAAGCTCTTAAATTTGACGGATTCGACGGTGAAATGTAAATCGAACTTGACACTCGTCTGGTCGGAGGCGGAGGTCGGCGGTTTTCGGAAGTCCTCGTCCTGTTCACGCCGACGGGAATAACCTTGGTATGATCTGTTCTCGGTTCCGGACTCGGAGCGCGAATATCAACGTTCTGAATTCTGGCAGCAATTTCACTCTCTCTCTCTCGCTCGTAATGGACAGGATTGTAGCACAAATAGTCTGGTTTAATTTGCTGCGAGCAAACTCCCGGCCCCATTCCACTGGAGCCGGTTTTGTTCCCTTGAGGTTTGCTGACATAATGTCCACTTGAATACACTGTGGGTTTTGTTTTCAGGGGTAGACTGGTGGCGTTTCGTTCTTCCCAATTGTCTTTACGGTTAAATCTCGAATCCACGTAACTCCCATTACTGGAGGACACGGGTACTTCTTGAACACTACGTGCTGTAACTTGAGCGGATGAGTATTCTCTAACGGGTCGATCCCTTCGTTGGACAGACATCTGTAAAAACGGAATTAAAAGATAAAAAAATTTTGAAATGCGTGTCTTCAATAGCTTCTATCGACTATCATTGCTCAGTCTCTGAGTTTCCGCGACGGGGGACGGGTGAACAAAAGTGGGGCCTGTACTTGCTCCCGCAAGGGGAAAAAGGAAAACTTCACTACCCCGTATAAAAATTAAGGAGGTGCTCGTCGCTCTTTCTAGAATGTTCAATAAGTGGACTCCAGTACTTGGTTTGCTGACATCTACAAGAGCTGCCGTAAAAGTTGTCACTAGGTCTTTCGAAGGCAAAAAAAAAAAAAAAAAAAAAAAAAAAAAATGGAAATGAAAATAAAGATAGGAACCGTAACTGTACGTTTCACTACAGAAAAAGAAACTGCGTACAATTTAAGCGAAACGAATCTTCAGTTGATTTTCGGAGAGTTTAATATGAACTTGGAGCGCTAGAAATAGAGTAAACAGATCCGCTGGCTACATACGTATTGCACTGGAGGTGGTTGTAGCTGCTGAGGCATCTGTTGGTGTTGTTGTTGCTGTTTTTGTTGTTTTTGTTGCTGCTGTTGTTGTTGTTGCCTGATTATGTACTGTTCTCTTTGTCTCTGCTGGCGTAAGAGTTCTTCCTCTTTCTGCCTCGAAAGACTAAAAAAAAAAAAGGAAGAGCATTACAAGCGGTTAGAGGTGCACAGAGTATTTTGAATGTGGGGCATTGATTGCGGAAAGTTTAACGGTTTGTTTCTGTTTCTAAATTGGGCATATATCGTGGAGACACGCATCACTGAGGGAGATTTCTATAGAGGGGTTACATCTGTTGGTTTTAATTCTCAAGGTTGTGCTCAATTCTAGGAATTTTTTGCCTGCAGAACACGCGCGAGTTTTTTTTTTAGGGCATTTTTTCTTTTCTTTAGGCGAACAGAGGCAAACGCAAAGTAACCGCGAAGAAAGAGTCACGCGCCGGGGGAGTTATTGTTTTCACGCGCCTCCCCTCGCTTGTGACTCTATTTGACTGAAAAACGCGAAAAGGTTACGCCTGTTCTTCAGGCCAAGGAATTGACATCCACCATACAACTATATATATTTATAATGAGGTACACAATACCAAAAATAAGGATGCAAAAAAAAAAAAAAGAGTTCTATTTCCCACGCACGATTACGTGTCGTTGCGTATCCTAGCTGCGAGTGTGCGTGTAAACCACTTCTTCAGCATAATAGTAAGATCAACCCTTGAATACCTGACAGAAGCAGTTCCATTGTCTGTTGTCTGACTGGATTGCAATACGTGGTTCAAATTTTTGGCCCGTGCGTGGCAAACATTGCGCTTCATTTGAGCGTAGTTCTTTCTGTTTAGGTCCACACTATTATCCTCGGTGACCGTTCTAAACATAGCTGAGGTAAAAAAACACAATCATCTTTAATTAACAACGCCAAGGCCAAATATTTAGCAACTTATCAGCAAAGCAAGGCTATAATTATAATTATCTGACATGATAAAATTATAAATTAGCTACGTGAAATAAAATTATAAGATTAAATTGAGACAGTAAAAATGACATTCAATAACTAAAACTGGCATTCAAAATAAGCCTTTTGTTGTGGACCTAGTAGACCACACCCACAATAGGTTGGTCATATGGCCCTTAAATTTGGTTGGATTGCGAGGCAAGGGCGCTCTAAAACCTTAAATAAATGTTTTCCTCATATCATATTGAACACATTAATACACATGGTTGTAACCATACATGTAAGGATTGTGTTAGCTCACCACTTTGGCCGACTGATGGAAATGAACCAAAAGAGCTGTGAAGAGGAGGGCACCTCTTCCAATTCCGTGATGTCTTCATTTAAATTTTAAATGAAGAACTGATTTCTTTAATTTTCAGATAAAAAATCTCGTTCATGAGTTTCAAGGCTACTTGCTTTTCATAAAGTTTCTCGGGAAAATTTTTCTTTACGCAAAACTTTTTGTGCCTTTTGCACTTCGCCCAGCCCCTATTTTCCTAATACTCCGATAGTTGCCTTCTCGTAAATAAATACATGTACAGTCCGAACTAAAAAAAAAAATACTCACTAGCTGCATGGGTGCAATAATCAAAAGCTTTGACGAGATCCTTTTGATCCTCCCACTCCTGCGATAACTGAAGGTACAGCTGTCCCTCTTTAATAAGTTTTTCAATACGATCAGCCGTATAAGCTGAATAAATTAATGAAACAAAATGTTAGCAAAGTAACAGTATTATTCCCCAATGTAGATACATCGCCATCTTTTCTATCGGGTTCACTTGATTTTCGCGAAAAGACGTTCAGTTCCGATTCTTTCAACAAGTCTCTCCTCTCAAAATAAAACTTCGACCTAACAGGGAAAATTTTGGTTGGTTTAAAAAACAACCCCACGAAAACGCTCTCTTTTTCTAAAGAGGAAAGACTTGAGGAGGCAACTTAACTTCCAAAAGAGTTTACGTCACCACTGTATATACTTTAATGATTAAACCGCGCATGCTGAAGAACGCAAGCAAGCGATTCTGCCATCAATCTTTATCCAGAGACTCCCTTACCATTGGCCAGCAGAACAGGCGCAGTCATAGAAACAAGGAGTCTGGGAGTAAGATTGTTCCACCGGGTACGAAAACTTTTGCGAGGGTTTTCAAAATAAAAGCGTTTCTTTCAAATGTATCCAACGAAGTTCGAACCGTACATAACCAGCAATGCGCAAGCGCACTTTTACCTGGAGGCGGGGGCCAGTTATCATACTGAGAGCGTCGCCATGATTGATTAAAATCGATGAGATCTTCGTCACTACCCCCATGGTTAGTATCCGTAGAGCTGACGGACCCCCCTGCTGAGGAAGGTGTAGAACTAATCCCACTGTCGTTATTCATTGCTCTGACCTGGGCAGAGTGCAATGCTTTAGATTGTTCATAAAGTTTCAGGATCTCCATTTTCGCCTCTTCGTTCTTGGGACTGAAGGGAGATGAGGAACCAAGGTAAGTTAACAACTATCATAGTTCACTAGGCTTAGGACAGAGTACGGAGGCAAGAAAACCTAAATTAAGACAGTTATTGTAACAGATCTGAAATTTTCCAATTCTGTAACGAGCATAGGTAGTTTTTCAGCTCTTTAAAACAAAACTAACAGATGCGGACAAATGATAAATAAGATAACATCAGAGAAGCTCAACTACTAGACACAATGCACGACCTGATCTTCTAAAACAAAATGCTACTCACCTCAAATCTATAAGATCAGGGTCGCCGCTAGACTCACTGGAGCCAGTTGACGAACGTCTGGACTTTGAAGACCCTTTTTTCTTGTTCTGCTTTAAGTGAGACACAGCTAGAGCAGGGTTCATTGCACTCATGATTGCTGTTCCTATTCGTTTGAAGCTCGGCCTCTGCCTCTCCTTTCCAGGACTACTAGTTGTACTGTCTGACGCGTTGCTTGGTGACCGCCTGAGCTCCTTTTTAGGAATGGACAAGTCTCCAGAGGAAAGGCTCTTCTTTGATCTGAACAGTGATTTCTTGTCTAGTTTTGGTTTGTTACGTGATTTGGATTTTTTGGACATAACAGGGCTCTTCTCGCAGTCACTTACACCATCAGCTGTCCCTCTTTCTGTATTAAGACCTTTCACTGACTGCTTCCCTTCAGTTCCCTTCTCGTGAACTGCACCATTGATGAGAATTCGCTCCTTTGGTGCTGAGTCAGCATTTACTGGTGTACCAACAGGGTTGGCATAGAGCAGCAGAAGAGGCTGATAGTGACATAGGCGGCATTTCTCCATCATAACCAACCAATCAGAACCAATCTGAAGTAAAACGTTCAGTCTCAATTACCTACCCCTCCTCTAACACAACAACAGTCAACTGATAACGAGTTAGGTTAATGTTGGGTTAGGGAAGGGTAGGTATGCAGTTGCTCAGATACTGACATTGGTCCCAGGTTCACATTGTTGCTCTCTCAAATAAATTCAAACTTGAAAAATTCAAACCCTGTCATTTAAAAACCACTTTGAATTCATGAAATGGTCACTTTTCAGTTTTGAAAAAATTACAATTTGTAATCTCACGACAAAGACTGCCATTCCCATTTCCCTCACTTCTCCAAGCATGCTTTCTTTTTGAAAAAGATTGTGGTTGTTTTTGGAAATGTTGAATCCTTAGAAATGTTCCTCCGTTCTACTAACTTGACATGGATTTTAACACAGCTTGAGGACATACATTTGTTCTGACTTCAAGCCACCTCTGAAAATATTCTCATGAATAATAAATAACAGAACAACATTCAGACTACAAATAATAGAAATTTTAAATTCTTCCAGCCCCTTTCAACAATATTACAGAGCAATAATACATAATGTCAAGTTAAAAATAAATAATTCATGGCTTCTCTTTCCAGCCAGAACACCCACCTCTTTGACTCTGGCATCATCAAAATAAATCCATGTTCGCAGCTTGCTATGAAAAAAGAATGTTGAGTAGTGTTTGCCATAGTATGTCACTATACCAACCAGCTGCAGACAGGCCTCCTTGGCTTTTTCATCATACACTTGATGATACAACTGGAAACAGATAAGAAAATTGAAGAAAAAAGTTAAAACTGCACACCATCAATTTTGTTTCCCTAGTCAGTGCAAACTGAAGTTAATTTAGGTAGCAGGTAACTCAAGGGAAAAGAGCTTTCTGGTAAACAGAGTACACTTTTAAAAGAAAGTGTTCTTACATCAGAAAGCTTCAGAGTTGTTCCAATGCATTGTAAAACATCAGCAATATGTTCTGCATCAGGACACTCAGAGTCCCAGATAAGACCAACGCTCACTGCAATTAATAAAACAGTTGATCAGTCAAATAATGAATTCATCAATCCTATAATCAATCCATCAGTCAGTTAGTCAATACTTCATTCAATTATTCAGTACATGAATCAGTCAGTAAGTCAGTCAATCAATCAATAAGTCATTCACTCATTTAGAAAGTCTGTGAAACAGTCATTTTCTTATTCAGTTTCAGTCTATCAGTAAGTCAATGAATTGGCCATTTCTGAATTACCTTTTTTTCAAAATGAGACCTGGTGCTCAACCTTTCATATGAAAATTTTCATACGAATGGTTGAGCACCAGGCCTCAATTATGAGTTCAATTTGCATGTGAATCACAACTGATAATCATATGAAAGAATGATTACCAGGACTCATTAGTAACAGGCAATTAGTTACTCACTCAGTGGATAAATACTACTTGCGATAAAAAAATCACAAGAGCAAAATTTTCTGAGACAACAGCTCATTTGCATGAATGTATATCAGTGACCCTGTATCATTTATGCCTTAGCATCTTCTTAAATCTGGTTTCTACACTGACCTGTAAATTTCATAAATACATTCAATTATTTCTTAAACTCACCAATATCAGGACAATTTAATAACAACCGCTGAACTTGGACTTTCTCATTACAGTCTGGACTCTGAAATAACAGAAAAAATTTGATTAGAATTACCAATGACACAATAGAGACTTACCTTACATATTTGTGACTTACTTGGCACTCTCTAGTGTCCTGTCCTGCTCTACGAAGCAGATATCCAAATGGATTTTCAATAGGGCGTGTGCTATCCCATCCTTTCAGTCTCCTTGCTTTAGCACTGAACACAAACAAAACAAATCCATTTTCATCCAGTAATGAAACAAGGATCATACAGTCATGTAACAAATTAGACTCAAGTCAGTGTGGCACCAGAGCAAATTCACCCTTAAACTCCCAGAAGTGACTGACATGAAACTTCTCTTTACAATATCCTTACATTATCCAGCAAAGGGCAAATGAGAATACCCAAACTTATCACGTAGAAGTTGTTGTCTTGATCTAATGCCAAATTCGCCTAACTTATTTGCCAGGAATTGTGTAAAAGCTGGTCGGAGGGGAGAATTAACAATGAGATCTTGGGGGTTTAAGTGTTAAAAAAAGAGGGTAACTTAACATACCACAGTGCAGACGCAGATACATAGTGTACCAGCTGGAAGAATGGCAGAGGTTCTGACTGCTCACCACACTCACATATTGTCTACAAAGAAAAAAAAAACATAATTTGGATCCATAAATGTAAATTGAGAATCATTGGGATCACCAACTTGTGAAACATACTCAAAATAAACATATAATCAGCTACCAAAACAAAATCCCTCAAAAAATTAAAAAAAAAAGTGATTTCACTGTTTGAGTTTACCATCTACTTCATTCATTAAATCAATATGTGGTCAAGAAGTCAATTAAGCTGAACTATGGAGTTCAACACTGTCTGCTTTTTAACCTCACCCAGCCAAATTCAAAATATACGAAATCCGTGATTATTACCTGCTCAATAACCTGCATGGCAAATTTTTGGTGTGATATACAATGTTTAGCATTACAAGCATCATCGTACTCATTCTTTGTCACAAGGGTATGCATATGACTGAGGATGTTTTCCTAGAACAAGAGAAAAAAACAGAATGATTAGCAAGCATGTGGCATCTTACCATTTAACTCCCTGTTAGGTTAAAAAAGAGAAGGAAAATTAAGAGAAAATAATCTACATGAGAAGACATGAAGCTACAAATTTGAATTTTTTAATTTACTGGGACTACATCATACACAATGGATAATTATAAGGCTTGACAAGATAACATATAAGCTATGTCCTTCCCAATCAATCAAAAATAAGTTTTTGAAAAGGAAGCCAAGACTATTAGAACCAACAAGGCACTTACAAAGCACTCTGCAGCATCATCCATGTCTCCCAGCTGAAATCTGTGCTGGTTCTGTCAAACAAAATATTACTTCACATTACTAATAGTTCTATCTTTTAGGTATCTATCAAACCCACCCTTCAGACTTTTGGCATCAATCAATTTTGTTTTAATTTAAATCAAATCATTGCAAAACTACCGGAGCTCTGATACATTAGTAACAGACACAAACAAAGATCTCTACAAGTTGTAAGTTGCTCTGATGCAGTAGTTAACTCACCACATCTTTGGATTGACCTTTAATTTTTTAAGTGATGACTAGGAAGATCCATTATTGTTCCAATATTGAACCCATCCATATTATGTGGTAGTCTGGATCAACACAAAAATAACCCTCTAACCTCCTCACATTTTCCAATCAAAGGAATTCTCCCTTGTTTTTGTGATTTGACATGGCTTGATCCATGCTCAGCTTCTTCTTTATGAGGAGCCTAACTAAATTTGCTACATAGCATTCTCTCCCACAAAAAAAACTTATTCTACATGTACATCACCAACCTTAAATGCAGCAGCTAAAGCAACTCGCAGTCCATCTGGTGGCAAGGCATCATTACTGCTGTACTGGAATTGTTTGAATATCAAGTCCAGTGCACAGAATATACATGACTCTCCCATACAGTAATGGCCTTTAATCTCTCTAAAACTTCTTCTGAACACATCCAGGTGCCAGAGAACCTACAGAAAAATACTTTTTGAGAATCAATGAATCAAAACTACCTTACAAGCAATATTAAACTATTTTTAACCCTTTAACCCCTGGGAGTGACTAGCATCTAATTTCTCTCTACAATGTCACTACTGAATAACACATTAATGTCATGAGAATAAAGGAAATGATCACCAGCTAAAGAAACTCTTGATTGTTAGACAAATTCTCCTTGTCAGCACCTTAGTAAATGTACAGAGGACAGTATGGAGAATATGAATACTGATGTTAGGGTGTTAAGGGTTAAGGGAAAGCTCAGAGACAGTCTGTCTTAGTAGCTAGTGTGCTAAGGTTACAAGTCAAATTATTTATAGATCTGTTGACTCCTTCATTCCAACAATCAAACTACATGTATCAACTCTATACACAGATTGCCACACATTTCTCATTATTTTAGTTCTGAGAATTTGCCATCAAATCAAAACAGAGCCCCCCAAAAGAAACAGAATGATGACCAGATTTCGGGGTTCCCATTATAACAATTGGTAGCTGGAGGATATTTTTAGGTAACAGGAAAACATTTCCCACGTCTGATAGCTCAGACCACCAAAATCTAGGTACAGAGTTCTGAATAGCAGCTAGAAAATTCTTCCATCTTCCATGCCTAATCAAAACAGCAAATTTGTAAACAAATACGAAAACTGTATGATGGAAATGCAATGATGCTTAGCTGCAAGCCTTTGAATAGTACAAAGTCATTGAACAACTCGTTACTTCTCCATCTCATTATTCACATTTTTTTGGAGAGATGTTTGCAAATATCACAGGATTTTCATAATTATGTTAATAAGTGTTGCACAATTTGTAAACCTGACCTGAAAGGTTTTAAAATATTCACTAGTCTTAGCTGGCTGAACAGCCATAATATGTCATAATCAGATGAAAGATATTGCACAGAGCAAATTTTATTGAACATGGAGAAGACTAAAGCATAAAACAATAAGAAATTACTCTCAACAAAAGCTTAAATTATTACAAAAATAACTCCTATGAATTGAAATGCAAGTTTCAATTATCCTATATCTTTCAAAGTTGAGTGATCATCTATAAACAATTTCCTGTGACCACACTGCTATGGAGAATGATAATTTTTGATAAAGATATTGTTTTCAGTAGAAAAAGTGATATTGGTTAAAAATCACTAAGGCAGCCTTTCTTCCAGTAGTAAAAATAACAACTCAAAGAAGCTCAAAATCTTTTGATGCCTCTGTTTGCATTATAATGTTTTCAAGGTAATGAATTTTTTTCAATTTTATGTCTCTCCACACTATGGTTTGGATATGATGTGTGAAGTTCAAAGTACTTTGACAAAGTAAGCTTAACAGTCATGAATTGCATTCATTTCAGAAAGCTCTTTTCAATAAGTTAAAGCCAATTCTTTTTTCTTTTTTTTTTTGCTGTTTTGCCATTAACGTTCACTTAAGCATGACCTCTAGGATAAGATTCTAAAAACACAAATGCAAATGAATAAATTATCTGAAGATCAATCATAGAGAGCAACTTTTGATATTGATAGCTAAACAACGATAAAAGATCTTTAGCCAGCATCTACACCCTATTTCCTAGCACACACTTTAATACCCTACAGCAACAGAATATCTCTGGAATCTGTGCGAAATAACTTTAAAAATTTCTTATTAATTGGGTTATGACGGCATGCATACGCTTGGCGTAAGGTCTGGAATTAAGGCTTTTCAGATTCTATTGTGTTTGGTCAAAAATAATTTCAATCATCCACAAAGCACGCTTTAGCATTTTGACAAAACACTTTCACGCATCATTGAAAGCTTTATTTGAAATGAAAACGCGATTCCTTGAATGGCATCCCATGTCACTAGGTGATTAACTTCTTAAATCAAAGCGTACTTCTTGTGCAACATTTCATGTCGGCAGAGCCTTACGTAATCACACATCCAATAGATATTAACTTGTTTCAATAATCGAATCCTCCAGATTTTTTAACCCACGTCTTTAAAAACAAAAGCAATACGTGCTTCTGATCTAAAATTCGTCTATGAAACGGAAATAGTGCGTTTTAAATCTTGATAACTTAAGAACTCTTTTAAGTTTGAGAAAAACCTTTATATCACATCACCGCTACAGAGATCCTACTGTGCGGACATTTAGCGGTCATATCGGTCATCGTACAAGTTTTCAACACTGTTTTTAATGTGATAAAAATAACACAAACTACCATTATGTGTAACGTTGTATTGTCCGTATAATTTTGCGTACTCACGTTCCTTCTAAATGAAAAAGCTTCAACTAGCTACTCCCCCTCACAAAACAGAAAATAGAATAGATCTTCTCTAAAGAGATCGCTTAACTATATATCATTTACTCAGAAAACAAACGTTTTTCTAACCTGAACTGCCGAGTTCAGAAAACAATTATTTTCACCAGGGTTATTCAGCAATCCCTTGTTGTTGGCCATAGACGCTGTCCTTTCTAGTCGCTCTTGCCGGTCCATTTTTTCCAATTAACTTGACCAGTCGATTTTATTTCCACTAATCTTCTTTGACATGCGTTCCTTCAAGCATAGATGCTACGCATCCTCTTGACGACAATCTAATGTTGATGGAAGCTCTCAGTGGAAACTTTCGCTTGATAATTCTAACGTCTCGTGAAAAACAAAGAATTATTCCCAAGATTGTCACATTCTCCAGCACAATCACGTCTTTGCCTGGCACCTATGAAGCCTCTTACATTCTTAAAATATCTTTCCGGGCTCTCAAAGCCGTCGTAAATGCTATAAAAAGCTAAAATCTTAACTTATAACACAGACCCGTCGCCATCTTTGCGTGAAGTGTTTTTCATGGTATGACGTCATGAGCTAAGTGGGAAATTCCTGGGGAGGAGAGAAGTCATATTGGGTGAGTTTTCCTCGCTCGTAAACCATGGAGGAAGTCACTTTCTTGTATGAGGAAATCATGCAAAATACTTCCGATTCGGTAGAGCTTTGTTAAATAGCTTTCCGCTTTAATTGAAAGCTATTTTTTAATTGTGTAATTCTTTTCATTCCCGTCGTTCTGTTCTACGTTCAAAAATTTTACTTCTGGTTGTTTCGCTTATATTTCGCATATGAAAATTGCGTGGAACAAAAAATAAGAACAGTTTCCTTTCTTCTCATGAAATTTCTTATTGAGACAAATATTATTGGTGAGATTTTAATCATATATGGAGAATACACCCAGAGTTAGAATTTCGTTGGATACATATTTTTAAAAAACAATCGACCAAACTGCACTAGGTATTTCAAAATGACTTTACTTTTCTGCTGGGGAGTATGATAAATTATATTTCTTGTCTCAAAAACTTGTATACCAATCGAAACTCTAAATATCACATGTGATCGTAAAACATTTGTATACAAAACCACTATACTTTGCATTATCAGAAGTTAAGTTCTTTCTAAATTTACACTGTCTCGTGCAAATCCGTTACTGCATATTGCTCCTAGCTGCTTTGATCCTATTTTAAGGATCAAGTTAAAAGCATCCATATTGTATCCGGGAGGCGAGGGTCGAATCACGTCGAAGCCTGAGTTTTTTTCTTTTTTTTTTTGGCTTCTTCTCTGCTCACCTGCAAGGATAATAGCTTTTTTTGTCATTTTTCATCATTTTTGATCCCAATGAGAATCTTGTTTTCACCAGGTTGAAGCTCATGCCGCTGAAGATTGTATATTAGTCGAGTAAGACCCGTGGACATGAACTTTTCCTATGCCTTGTCATCAAGGAAAATATCGAGGAACTAACGATTATGTGTTCCAATGACGTCACAAAACAATTATAATTCTCATTTGTCCGTGAGTGTACTCATTTAATCAAGTTAAAGAATACTGCATTCTGATTGGTCAATAACTGTTTACCAAATTTCGCGTCTACCCGCGGCGACGCTCTAGCCGTGCGGGTTTAAATCACAGGTTTCTCTGGACCCGGTTTGATCTGACGTCGACCTCTACTGTTTTGCCTACCTTTTCTCGCTAGGATTTTCAAATAAGCGCAAAAGTACAATGCCTCGTAAGGCTATGAAAGTTGTGGTGGAGTTAGATATTCACACGGTAAGTGTTGTTGGCGAAATGTCGAAGGAATTTCAACTGATTCCTTCGCCGTTGCTAACGACGCCAGACTGCATGCTGCAAGGAAGGTCTTGCATGCGATCGATCCTTCGAAGGTTTTGTTGGAACGAATTTCATAAATCTTTCTGTTTCCATTCGCTTTTCAGGTGACATGCCCTGGTACTTTTCTCCGAGATTATGGCTATGTTTATTTGAAAGTAAATTGCATGGGTTTGGAAGTTAATACCAAGTCTGTAGCTCCTACCTTTCCATTGTTCTTTCATGAACGTCTGCGATTCGAACGGGTGAGTTTTAGTTTCGTAACCTGCTTTGTGTATTTGTTCTCGTCACGTTCGGACGATCGTGTGGATTTTAGCCTTGTTATTGTGCCTTGCTTTCTTTTCTTAGGTATTCAAAAGCTGTCAGGACCCAGCATACGTAACAGTTCACTTAAAAGGTAAGCTACATTCACTGGATCACGATCGAAGAATTCCGCCATATTTGATGGTATGGAAACCGGATACGAAAGTTAACATCGTGTTTGTTTGAATTTCTCAAGGTGAAGATGTTCTGGTAGAGCTAAGGCAGCACGATGACTACATTTCAGGTGAGAATACTTTTAATTTTGTAAATTTGCTCTAAATCCCTCGCTTACCAACGCTGCAAAGGGATTAACTTTCACGTAACCTAAGATTATTCGTGAGCGCTTAATTCTTTACTACCACCAGTGACGTTACTAATAATCAGCTGAAAGCATTCGACCCTGAACTTTTTTTCAAGAGAGGTGGGAAAATTATGTTTACATTATTACAGTAGCCACAACATTTGCAAAGAAATTAGTATTGAAATCTTCGCTTGTAATCTCCAACCAATCAGAAACAGACATGAAAGATATCAAGTTTGTTGTTTGATATATCGGAATTTGCGTTTTTAGCGCTTTCCGTTCCATTGGAAGCTGTATATTTGACTAAATCAGTGCCCCCGTACCTTGTTATAGTAGCCATAGTTAGAATACTTCGGTTACAAACTTTAATTAGTTTTTGTTTCGTTCGAAAACCGCACAAATTTGAGTTCAGATTGTCACATGCTAATCACATAATACTTATTACAAAAACTCAGTTTTTCAACGCAACTTTATCAACTTTTTTCTGGTTTTCTTTAAATATTCTTTCTACATTTATTGACCTTAATTCAAATTAAAGTTTGTCTCATTAAGACGTCAATGGTTGTAGTGACAATACAAAAATTCTACATACAATTAAAAGTGATTCTTTTGTGGTTTAGACAGTTAGTCCACAGGCATTGTACCGTGTTTGTGGTTGTCTACGTCATTTGTAAATTGATGGCAAAGTTTGTTTTGTAGATTGGTTATACACTCTTCTGACTACATGTTCAATTTATAAAAAGGTGTAAGACAATTACCTGTGTTAGAAAGCTTTCATTTTTGTAAATATTCTCAAAATATTACAGATTCTTGCAAAAAAAAAATTAACCTGAATTTGTGTCTATTTAAAAAAGAAAAACTTCTGGTGAGGACGTCTGAATAATTTACAATTAACACTAAGTTTCAAATTTAGAATGTGTGTCTATTTGAAAGAAAATGTATTTAGTTGTCCTTAAAAACAGTAACTCCTTAAAACTAACAAGAGAAAATGAAAAACAACTTTGAAATTTGGATGAACAGTCTGTAAGTTTTATGTTCTTCAAAAAAATTCAGGGATAGTACCAAATTATTTCAAGTGAGGTGTGCTTGATTGAACAATAATGGTTTGTCAAGTTAGTCATCCAAAATTTTGTGTAACTATGCATGGAATCAATCTTGACACAGTCATGCATTGATAAAAGCATTACAGGTCTTTTTAAGTAAACACTGATCGCCCAAACACAGTAGTAGCTGATTGAAATAATTAAATAAATGTCAAGTTAATTATTTGACAAACCATGTTGTAGTGGAGAATGCCAGATGAAGGACAATCAACATCTTACCTTCTAGAGTAGGAGAGGGTCATTAATTAGTGAAATGATCCTTTTAAAGTAATCATTAATCCTTTAACTCTCAGAATTGATTAACATACATGTTTAATTTCTCTGTACAATATCCATACATTATCTACCACACAGTCCATGAGAAATATTACTCGTACTTATCTGTAGAAGTTGTTATTTTGATCTATTACCAAATTCTTGTGACTAAATTATAATAAATTGTGCAGCAGCTAGAAGGGAGAATTAACAATCAGATTTTGGGAGTTAGAGTGTTAAATACCTTAGAGTGTTAAATACCTATCTTTAAGATGGATTCAATAATACAAACAAACTATGTGATATCCTTAACATAATTTTTATGATGTAACTGTTTTTAATAATGTCACGATACTTGTTTGCAGAGGGCTATGTTATTGGTCACTTTGCCAACAATGCAAGAGACTTTTTGTATCCTGCTGTTCCGCCATATCCAGGATCAGGTCGTGAAGTGACCCTCTTCAAAACATCTCTTTTTAACCCCATAAGAATTACAGTAAGTTAAACAGTGGAATATAGTTATGGTACTTGTTAGATACACATTCAAGTTTGAATTTTCAAGTAATGGCATTGGATGTAAATTTGAGTCAATCCTGTGCATCAAACATAGTAAAGAAACTAGCACAGCCATCTTGTAACAATTAAATTGTGTTATTCTGCAGGGCCAGCCTCTGAGGTTAGAATTTTCTACCAAGACCACCATCAAGGAAGTCCCAGATCCTACAGATTACCTATCATCTGTAAGTATGATCTAAAGTTCCTTACACTGGTCTTTTTGCTATAAAATAATAATAAAATCACTGTGAACCAAGTCTTAAAAGCCCAATGGATCAATACAGTTGGAGTTTACTCAGATTTCCATGCAAACATGATCAAGAGGCAAGGAGATATTGAAAGGATTGCATGGAAATTAATTTAAGATCTTGGTAACCCTCAAAAAACAATCAAACTCTCCTTATTTTTCACAAGGGAGTATAACAGAATTAAGAGTGAAAATGTAATATGTTTGAGGTTACAAAGGGCTTTTTATCCATGCATCCCTTCAAATTTCATTCTTGGGAATGGAATGCTAGCCCATCACAGGCAACTGCAAGAAATCTTTTAAGTTTTCCTGAATGCTTGGTACTCAAGAGTGGTAAGAGGCACTGTGAATGTGTAATGTCCTGCCCATGGACACAATTCAAAGACCCCTTTCAGTGTCTCCAAATCTGGTCCTGTTGACCCACTGTTCAGTGCTTTAATTTCCTGTACACTCCTCATCTTGCATGTTGTACAAAAGAAATAAAAACTCTTTGAACCAGCAATGAAATCACAGGTTCTACATGTTTAGAGTCACTTGCTTAGAATTACACCTAAAACTTGTACAAAGTCTATTGCACTTTAATTGTGAAATGCCTGTAATAATCACTTTTTCCCTTAATGGATATACATTTTTTAAAAACTCTTTACACCTGTAAATATTTTCTTAAATTACTGATGGTCAGGGAGAAGACCGTGGCACACTTTCACTCTTAAGCACCTCCATTAGAATCACTTGTGCAAATTTGTGGAGCCTTTGATCTGCTAGAAAATGCAGAGGATCAACTCTTGTTTCTTTGTGCTGTTTCAATCACTTTTACTTTCATCCTGAATGGCTGTTTGAAATCAAACTTTGTGTGAGCCATATTTTTTTCATTGTTTATGGAGGAGTTGAGGCAATAAAAGAGGGTCATAATTTGGCTGTTTAGTACCTGTCACTTGATCATGTCAGTCGACAAAATATGAGTTTTGAACAAAAAGAAAAAATGGAAAGAGAGCAGTAAAATTTGGAGAATTTCCAAGTTTGAGGCAACTTAGTTGAAATGTCAAGGTTTTAACACTTTACACTCTAACATCAGTATGTATATTCTCCATACTGTTCTCTAGACGTTTCCTAATGTGCTGGCAAAGAGAATTTGTTTAACAGTCAAGAGGTTCTCCAGTTGATTATCATTTCCTTTATTCTCATGACTGTAATGTTTGATTCAGGGGTGATTTTGAAAGGAGAAATTAGATGCAAGTCACTCTCAGGGATTAAAAGATTAAGGCTGTAAAGGTTGACTTGCAAATGGAAAATATGTGCAGATAGAAAGCTATTTATCTTTCAAAACTGTTAAAAAAATTTATTTCAGTGAAATGTCTGTGGCCTCAAAATTGGAAATCTTTCTTTGGTAATTTTACTGGCTCTCTATGATTCTGGGATTCTTTTCATTTCACATGTAGCTGTTGTGACTGATGAGGTTGGGATGTGAACTGTCTGCAGTGTATTTTACAACAGCCATTCTTGATTTAAAGTCCCACTTAAAAATTGCATTCCCAAGAGATAGGGAAAGGAAAAAATAAAAAGAAACAAACTAAAAAAGAACCTGTTATTCCAGGACTCTGGTGTCGATGATCTTCTGACAAACAGCACATTTAGTACCAGTCGGCGGTCAGTCAGTCCCACAGGCTCTAAGCAAGTGCCACGGTCTCCCTCTCCTTCACGCCGTAAACTCACCAGTACACCACTACCTAGACCTGACGATACTCTTGCGAATCACAATAAACCATTTCTTGTTCGTCATAAAGACAATGGTTTGTTGGAAAATCGTGACTTTAGTTCTTTTACTCGTCCTAAGCCTCGTCGATCCAAGTCACCCACCAGGAGGCCACGCTCAAGCTCCCCATCCCGTCTTGGGATGTCAAGTGTACAACCATTACCAGGTACATTCAGGAACTGATTTGTAATAAAGATATATAGCCCCATAACTCCCATGAGTGACCAAGATAAAATTTCTCCTTACAATATCAATACAATATCAAGTATGCAAGTGATGAAAATAAAGAAAAATAATAGTAAAGGGATTATTCATTGATCCAACACCAAATTCTCTGAACTAACATCACCAGAACTGTTTGGCAAACAGTAAGGGGAATTACTTATGAGATCTCGGGAGTGAAAGGGTTAAAGTTCACAAGGTAACCAGGTGGACAATCAGACATGGCTTGATGCTACTCTTTTTTAAAGATATAATGAATGTTACCAAGAAGTTATGGATCAATATCAGTATCTGGGCAACTGGCCACCTACCCCTCCCCTAACCCAACATTAACCTTAAATTGTTGTCAATTGACTGTTGTTGAGTTAGGGGAGGGGTAGGTGGGCAGTTGCCCAGATACTGATATTGATCCGAAGTTACAATCTATAGACCAAACTTTTCGGTTACATTCATTAAATCTTTAAACCAGATTAGCATCAAACCATGTCTGATTTGTGATTATTGTTTCTGGGGTCAAACTTTGTACTGAAATTGTAAGGTGAAGATAATTAAGCAACAGAGCACACTTTCTTTTGAATTTCTTGCCCCAGAGTCCAACAGGCTAATTATTAGGCCATTGTGTCTCCAACTACCTGTCAAGGAAACCTGAAAAAAAAAAATTTTTTTTCTTTTTTTTTTTTGGGGGGGGGGGTGGGTGGGAGGGGGGTGGGGGTGGGGTTAACTTTGCAATGGACTGGCTCAGTATTCTTGGGGGGGGGGGGGCAGGAGGGGAGGAGTGGGTTGTTTTAATACCCCCAATCCCCTGATGGCACTTGTTTGTAAGCTGACTTAACCATCCTTCTCTGACAGTATCATTCTAAAATTCCAATTTTATTAGTAACACATGTGTTATTCTATTCCCCAGCATGGAAGTACTCAGAAGATTTCCCTTCTACTTCAGTTTCTCGACACAGGGCTCATACACGCTCAGTGACAGCACCTATGTCTTTGTCTCGCTCCTACCGTCCGTCTAGTCCTTCTCGTAGCCTCAGTTATGCATTGGATGATCTTGACATCTCAACCAACTCTTGGAAAAACTTCAGCGACCCAGTGCTACGATTCAAGAGTAGGAACTCACCTAACTTGAAGGCAGCTCTAGGGGCATCTGATCGCATTCAACAGCGTGTGGAAAGAGTGATTGAGGGGAAGAGCCCCAGGAAGTTTGTAAGTTTTCCATTCAATATGGAACTAACCACTTTGACAATGTGACGCTTTTCTGTATTTTCCTTCCAACTGCAAACAAACCTAAAAAACAAAACAAACAAACATCTGTCATCTGCTCGATTGACTTTCCTGAAATAAGACATGGTTTGATACTACTCTGGTTTAAAGATTTAATAAATGTAACCAAGAAGATACAATTTTTTTTTCATTGGATCTCTTGCTGCAACGATTAGATGGCCCCTGGTGAAAGCACTGGACTGGAGTGTCAAAACATTGGGCCAATGAATTGTAACTTCTTGGTTACATTCATTAAATCTTTAAACCAGAGTAGCATCAAACCATGTCTGATTGTCCACCTGGTTGCTTTGTGAACCCTAATATATTCCTTGAAATTAGTAATCTGTAAAGTTCCATGAAAGTCAATTGCAAACTCATGAAAATATGGGTTCCCAAATTTGCCACTTTCTACAAAGAAGTTATTGCTATGAAAAAACCGATGAGTGCATGTTCCATCCCTTCACAAATTGCAATAGATTAGACTTCACTTTAGGAAGAGATTAATACTTGTAACTTTGACTGTGGCTGATCATTCCTTTGCTTTGCTTTGCTTTACTTACAGTCTGAAGATTCAGATAATGAAAGTGTAGACTCACTGGATATTCTCAGGTAAGAGATGATTGCATGTACAAGTTGCAAGTTCATTTTCTGTTGTCAGTGTTGTACTGATATAATGCTAACTAATAACCTGAGCTTGTTGCTTCATCAGGATGCTCAGAGCCCACTTCTCAGGACTATTGCTAGTGCTCATATATATGATTTTAATTTACTGTGAGTTTACTCCTGCACTACAGTAGGTTCTCCTAAACAGATTTCTGGTACTCATTCATGCCTGAAGGTAATTTTTTCATATTCTTAGCAAGACATGTTATTTCTTACACACTGTGTGAGATATGACAACATTTCTTGCTAAGAACATACAGAAATTACCTTGACCAGGGTATGATCTCAGCACTCATAATGTGTTATCCTGAGTTATAGAAGTATGCATAAATTTTCTTGCTTTTAATTGTTTCAATCTTTTTTGTGGTACAGAGAATCCCTGCGAGAGGAAAGAAGAGCACTGAGTGATGCCATAAGGGAGGCAGACAGAGCGTAAGCGCACTTTTTTGTTTTCATCTTCATGGGAAAAGAAGTGTTGTTGTTCTAATTTTTAATGACAAAACACTCTTGATTTGTTGGGAAAAAAGGCAATCTAAACTTTCTATGTAGTTCAAGACTTAAGCTCAAGTGAATTTGAGGCCTAGCAAGAGGGAACCTAGTAATGAAGGCATATGTTTTGTTAAATGCCTTCTGACACAGAATTCTCTATTCCATCCAACAACTTCTTAATAGAAAATAACCCTTTAACCCCTTAGAGCGACTAGCATCTAATTTCTCCTCACAATATCCCTCCTGAATCACACAGTAATAATCTCCAAACTAAAGGAGCTTTTGATTGTGAAAACAAATTTTCCTTGTCAGCACCTCAGGAAATGTATAGAGAACATGCATACTGATGTCAAGTTGTAAAGGGTCAAGATAAGATCTTCGAACAAAAGTGACTTGAATCTTCTGTGAAGGGTGTTACTCTCCTTAGATGGGATGCAAATTCTTTGAGAGTTACCTCCCTCCCGTCCCAATCATTTATTAACAATTTTGTGTTACCCGTTTTTACTCCTGACTGGAGAGGCTTTGTGGGAGGAGGGTTAGTTACCAAGGATCGTGGTACAGGGAACCCAGCCAGGCCTACAACTGTAATATTGAGAGTCCTGCTTACCTTACCATTTGGTTGTCGTCTCTCCAGCTTAGTGTTTGTGGTGCTGATAGCAATTTTTTTGGTTTGTTTTCAGTGCATATTACAAATCCCTGGGAATCGAATTATGATGCAGTGGTCCTCATAAAGTATTTCGTGACACAGGTTTGTGCTTCCAAAAAAAATTTGTAACAAAAATACAGTAGGCTTCCAATAACTTGAACCTTCAAGAGAACTTGGGAAAGGTTCTTGGGATTTAAGACAAATGACCGGGTATTTAAAGAGGTATTTGACGTATTTCACATAGTTTACATCACACTAAAATTTCTTGACATAGTGTACACTACGTGGAGTCGCCCTTTTTCGGTGTATTCCGTCGCACGAATCAAAAGAACAATCAGTTGGAAAAAAAAAAAAAAAAAAAGAAGACGTTAGCGCGCTGCGTGGAACTCTGGGAGCGAGGCGCTACTTTTCGTGCGCCTCCAGAGTTCCGCGCAGTACGCCAAAAAATTTTTTTTCGCCGAGTTTTTTTTCCTTGTGCGACCGACTTCGCCAAAAAAGGGTGACTTCTTGCAGTCTAGACAAACTGAAAACGGAACGCAGGAAAAAAGTGTAAAAGAAAAAGCAGCGATTCAAACAGCTAAACAACTGGTAGAAGTCCCGGCAAAATTCAAATGGGACTGACCCACGTAGTGAAGTGCAGAAATAATGAAAAGACAGAGAATTAGATAGAATTAGAAAAACAGTTAATTTTGAACCCGATAATGAAAGTAAAGAGACATGTTTTTTTTGTCTTGTTATGGGAAAAGACGCCAGTGAAAGACAAGAGAAATATTCCTTTGTGTTATTTCTGAGCCAAAACAAATTATAGCTTTGCTTACCCTGGAGTTTTCTGTTACTCAGAGGCAGGGCGTCGGAGCGCGGAACCCAAAGAACGTAGGTTCTGTCTATCACGGGGCCCTACATTTATTTTAATTGTCCTGCGCTTAGGAAACGACGAAAAAAAATGTCACTACTTCAAAATCGCTCATTTTTTTATCTTTTTCGATTTATCGAGAGTAAGATTGCTTAGAAAATAGTATTGAGGGAACGAAAGCTGCCCTAAGTTAGCGTGAGGGGAAAACTAAAATAAATGTGACGGAAATCGATTTTAAACTAAGGTAGTGGGAGTTACAAGTTTTTGGGAGTCGACTTTAGAGCGTAATGAGCTTTTATTTTTAAAGATAATAATAATGGTAAGAAAATATTATAATAATATTAAACCTCAAAGTTGATTTTTCATTTCAGGTTTTTCTATGAAGAAAACCTTTTGGGGAAGTGTGTGCATAGCATCGGAGTTTGGCTGACAGTCTTTTTATAATTTATTGTACATTATAATATTCGTGAGATTTATCAAGAGTTTTATATCTTCAGTAATACTGCTATCATGATCAATGACTAACTCGGTTTACATTTTAGAATAAGCCTTGAAATCAGAGCACGCTTTAGGTTTTAACTTATATATTCGTTCTTGAATCGCAAATCTACAGTTTTATGTATTTATTTTGTCAGAGTATGTGGTCAGAATACGTGGTGTTGTTGATCTGAAGATGCATGATGTAATTAAAGATTTTAGGGTGGTTCGGAAATCAGACTTTCATTTATATCCTGTAACACATGCCAAATGGATGTTCTATATAAAAAGAGTTGTGTACATTAATAAAGCTATGCATGCAAATAAATGGATATGAATTTTTAAAAAAATACATATCTGATTGGATTTGGATTTGGATAAAACATGCCCACAATGTTACAAGATTAACACGTAAGTTCATGCCTTGTCAGAACTCAGGTAGGAGGGGAACACCCTTTGGTTTGAGGGTGGTTGAACAGTAGGCTTGGGAGGGGATGCAAAAACCTGAGGGCCATGTTTCGCTATGAGGCGGGCATACCATGGAAAGGGGTTGATTCGATTCACTCATTGCGATACATCGAAGAAAACTCACTCGTTCGTTTTCTTGATGTATCGCAACTCGTAAATCAAAATCGTTCGTGCACACCTTCTATCGTTCCACCCCCGGCGCCCTGATAAGTCTTAATAGTCCCTTTTAGGGTCACTCGGAACATCCGCTGACTAAGACCGTGAAGGCTCACGCTGGTGCACGAAAGTGAGGCTTATCCTGAGTCGCATCTCGTCTGTTCACCACACAATCGCTAATATAATCGAAAATGGAGCACAAAACTACTAGAAAGAAGCAAGCGAGACGAGGAAAGGAGTGTGCGGCCTCTGAATGTACGAATACAGAATATTTACGCACTGGAAAATCGTCTGGCTTGCGATTTTTTCACTTCCCGAAAAAGCGTTCATTAATACAGCGATGGTGCAACCTTATCAAGAGACACAACGGTCGAGATGGGTTCGTAGTTACTTCAAATACTGTTATTTGCGAACAGCATTTTCCTGCTAGTGACATCTTCAAACGTCCAGGAGGAAGTAGAAGTAGATTACGTGATGGTAAGAGTTTATATAAGTTGATTCAGCTAAGTTGTAGCTGCTTTACGTAAACGAGTCCATTCTCAAATTATAAACACAATGAACTGATAAAATATATTCATTTCAGGAGCTGAACCATCGATATTTCGGTGGACGTCTGGTATCTGTAAACAGAAAAGAGCGTCACCAAAACTACGAATCCCAATTTCAGTCAATTCGACAGACACCACAACTTCAAAAGTGACAACAACCGAACCAACAACCACCACAACTTCAAAAGGGACAACAACCGAACCAACAACCACCACATCAACATGTAATACGACTGTAAATATGGGCTACGAAACCTTTCAGAATTCGAATAAACCGGAGGACCAGGAAGTGTTTCATGTTGAAGCAATTCATTCAGAATGCTTGCCTTCACTTATGGTAACATAAACCATAATTAATTAACCATAGTTAATTATGCATAAACCTTAGAAAGTTGTCCTAAAATAACCATAAAGCTTGCATCTTTGTGCTGCAATGTTCTTTAATGTACATGGCAAACAACCTACGTTATCACATGAAAAAGCTAGTTTGTGTAAATAGGTTGAAACCAGTTTAATTTTGATTTCATATTTTTTTTAGTGTGATGTGTCAACCCAAACTGATATCTCATGGCCTCTGCTGTCCAACTGTGCACCTATTTCTCATGACCATAACTATGCATTTGAACTGAATAAGTCACCAAACAACAGCACTGAGTACATATTGACTATGGAAGAAAGGTTACAAGTACAGACTGAGATGGTTGATAATCTACAAAAGAAAGTTGGCAACCTACAACAAGAACTAGAGGAGTACAAAGATCGTGAATTTAAACTGGATAATTTTAAAGATGACAATGATGCAATTACATTTTACACTGGCTTTCCAAGCTATGAGACTTTAATAGGATTTTATGAATATTTCAAAGAAAAACTTGCAAAGCTGCAATACTGGAATAAATGCAATGCACCAGATTCATATGCGTATCAAGAAGAGGGAAGAAGAAAGCCTGGGCCAAAGCGAAAACTTTCACCACTTACTGAATTTTTTATGGTTTTGGTAAGATTGAAAGTTGGTCTCTTTGTTAAGGATATTGCAAGTAGGTTTGGAATATCTCCTGGACAATTTTCCAGAATATTTTGTACCTGGGTGAACTTTCTAAAGCTAGAATTGCAGTTGGTATTTCCCTTTCCTTCACAGTATCTTGTAAGGAAGAACATGCCTGATCAGTTTAGATTGTATCCAACTACTCGTATCATTCTTGATTGCACTGAGCTTTATGTTGAAGTTCCATCTTCAATGCTTGCACAGTCACAGACATGGTCCAACTACAAGCATCATAACACTTTCAAAGTATTAGTAGGAATATCACCAAATGGTCAAGTGACATTTGTGTCAAAGCTATGGGGTGGCCGTGTTTCTGACAAGGAAATCACACAACAATCAGGAGTGATGCACTTATTAGAACCTGGGGACAATGTAATGGCTGACAGAGGATTTGATATTGGTGGTATTTTGCCACCAGGCTGTCACCTGAATATCCCACCTTTTAAGGGCATCAGAGACCAGCTGACAGCTGATGAAGTCCAGGAAACAGCCCGCATTGCATCAGTGAGGATACATGTTGAGCGTGCTATTGGTCGCATAAAGAACTATCATATTCTAGAAGGTACTTTACCTTTGAGTTTAGCACACGTAGCCGATCAAATATTTTTTGTATGTGCTTATCTTACTAACTTTTTAACTCCTCTTCTTGAGCCTCAAATGTGAAGTTGATTTACATCTACTGTCAAAAATATACAATATATGCTTATGCAAATGATTAATTGAATTAAATGATGTCATCAATGACAACTGAATACTGAAATAATAAACATGTGAGGCAATAACATTTACAATGATACTGTTACTACTACTTTGCAGTTAATAATATTCCAATTTGAAGTTGTGTTAACTAACTCCAGCATAAAAGAAATAGTTTTTTTAAATTCTCTTGGTTAATGCAATATTGTAGTTGTGTACATTTTTACATACCATGAACTGTGATAAAGAATATATTACATAATACTGAGGCTGAAGTTGCTGTCAATGGAACTGTAAAATGGAATGTCCCCCTGATTATGAAAATCCATCTGTCCAATAATAGTTTGAAAGGTTATATCACAAGCATGTCTGATACACTCCAATAACTTAATATTCTAACACAACAGTAGAATTGATTCAAGAAGTAAACTCAAACAAAAAGCATGCTAAGCTATTAATATTTTACTTTTACTCTCAGTTTTTATGGTAGAGGCACTTGAACTTGCCATTAAGCAAAAACTACAAAGTACAAACTAATAACAAACCTATGCCACTTGTGGATTCTTGGTATATGGCTTTGACATAACTTATGATCTATGTCTATTCCTTTTTGTTGCATACAAAATGTCTGTCCTGGTGCAGGGAAAGTATCTAGGAACCCACAGTACCTATTCATTCTTAGTTAATATAAAATGAAGAAGACTAAGAACTTCTTGTCGTGTAAGGCTGCCACCCTCCATGGTTATAAAGACGGACCCCTCTTTTAACCCTTCTTGTCAGAACTTCGGGTAAAAATGCCCGACGATAGAAGTAATCCAGCTTTGGTAGAGCTTCCTTGTGCCACCACTGTTTGTCAAATACTATCCTTTGTATGTAGAGGTTGTCTGCTCCAAACCATACAACAAAATCTACCCATTGCAAACATGAAACATACATCTGCCCTTGGACTTGATAGTAATACTGGTGTCCTATCTTCAATGTAGGCATCCCAGGCTTCAAAGTCATACAAAAATTCTTGTCTTGACAAGCCTCTTCAATTGTCATACCTTGTTTAGAGTATGGACATTTGATTTCGAGGCCACCTTTCTTACAGTGTGCCAAAGGATCATAAACCATTCTGTCCAAGCTAGCCCCCAATCCTGGTCTAATCTTTGATATGTAAGTCCCAACTTTCCAAACTGTCAAGCCTGTGTTTCCTTGAGAGTGTTTGTATTTAATATAATCATTGATAGCATTATCTTCATGCATGTGACCATACTGTAATGCTGAAACATTAGTGGTTTCTTCAATTTTGTACATGATTTGCTTTAAAAGTTTATCAGGTTCAACTTTTCTCTTAGCAGCAGCTTTGAAATTTGACGCAGTTAGTTTCTCCTGTTTTAGTTCCCTCCAAAAAGTATTGTCCTGGCCCCGTGACAACCTTTCTATTCTTTCAACATCATTGTCAGTTATTCTCTCTTCATATATATCAATCATTGACTTGAATTTCTTTGTTGCAATGTCATAATCGTCATTGAATGGCAAGTCCATGTCATCATGTTCTGAGGTAAGTTCTACCATTTCTATACAATTAAGTGGTACACATTCACATGTACTGTCAACAATAACATTTTGACTGTCCAGGCTTGGCTTGATATCATGAAATAGAAAAAGAGAGCTACTTGGTAAGTGCTGGCTAAGTTTCACAAGCATAGAGTTTAATTTTGCTTTATTGAGCACTCTATCACATGGGGCTCTTGGATCATACACACTTGATTTAACAGAAGTTCTGTTGTCCTTTCCATATCTGTACTTCACAATGTTGATGTCATCAACAGGTTTTGCAGCCACTTTACTATTTCTTGGCACATTCCATGCACACAGCCTTGAAGTACATGTAACTGGTTCACTGCGATTTTGTAGTCCCTGTCTGTTGAAGTCTTCGATGGCAAAGAGAATACCACCAACATGGTTGCATTGGCCATGGCCACCAGAACCTAACCTGTCAAAAAATACATTAATAATAAAAATAATGAAGTGGTATTTGAGACAAGACATGAAATTACAGGTTCGATAAAATAATATAAACATGCTAAAAGACCTTTATATTCATTGAATTACATTGATTCAATATTTTACCGTCTACAATCGGATTCACACATTCATACATCACTGTATGGAAAGAGGTTTGCATAGTTTTGCACTATTATTTCTACTCGTAAACATGTACAGTAGGTATAAACAATTCATAAAATAAGCAACTGAAAATATATCATATAATCTTACCCTGCAGGGCACTTACAAGCAGCCCTCAGTACTTCGCCTTTGTTTGAAAATACTATTGCGACTGAGTATTTTGTTTGCTTCATAGAAGCCAAAACTTCTCCTTTGATGTAGACAAGTCCTCCAACTTCTGCAAGCTCCAAATCTTTGATATGACCTTCGGCAAAAAACTGGAAAGCTTTCAATTTCTTATAGCCACTAGTCTTCAGAGCGATGTGATCATACTTGTTTGTTTGTATGACCAAGTAGTCGTATAGACGGACAAAGTCAAACGCTGGCAAATTTCTCAAGTCCTTCTGCCACAGATTGTTCCCTTTGACATCTCTAATTAGAGTATCATAGCTTAAGTCATTGTCTTTGCTCTTGTGTGGAGCAGATAGTTCTAAAAACTGCGCTTCTGCTGTCTTTGAAGTCGATGGAGTGTCACATGTGCTCGACGCCAAGACGCCACAAATTCTTTCTACCAGATCGCTCTTTTTCCCGCTAACTTTTTGACCAGACTGTTTCAGAATTTCCTTCAGCTCATATAAAGTTTTCTTTTGAAGTTCCTGTCGATTAATATCTCCCAATGTGAAGTGTTCGCTTGAATTTTCGCGGTCTTCTGCCATTACGAACTTGGCAACATTAGCCGATTCAGGATAAGCCTCAATTCCATGTTATCGCGCGACTGCGATAATTAGAGTCAGCCGCGATTCTAAATAACTCCCAACTGGACTATTCCCATCTCTTCCCAGCCTTAACCTAAGCGTTTCACTGACTGAAACCTTGAGAAGCGCAAGCAGGTGAAAAGTCCTTGAGGGGTCTGGCACTGATAATCTGTGCCAGACCTCCGGGAAACCTCTCCCTGACTTGTCTCAAACCTTCCCGCGGGGGGGAAAACCGCGCGTCCTGCAGGGGCTTTTAGTGAGGACCGGCAGGCACGCCTCTTTGGTATCAGCAGTCAATTGACTAGGTCGAGTCGCGCTACAATGTTGTGGAGTGAATTTTGTTGGAATTACAGTCAACAAAGACTCCTATGCTCGCAGTCACTAACACTGAAAGGCTGGGTGGAGTGAATATGCTGACGTCTACTCGTTCCCTTCTAAATTGGTAATTCTTTTTCTGTCTGTGAGGCCAGTGTTCATAAAGGAGCGGGAAATTTAATGTGAGAACCAAGGAGATATGGTACCTATACACCGACATGCTTACTCAAATTCCCCCCACTCTCCTCCCCACTTTGTGCACCAGTCAACCCCCCCTCCGCCGCAATCAGCTGATAAGGGGAGGAAGGGGATGGCAACGAAATGAAGTGGACTATTTCCCTGCGAGCAAACTCTCATTAACCCTTAAACTCTCAGAAGTGATCAACATGAAATGTCTCCCCATAATATCGTTACATTATCAAGCAAATAGGTAATGAGAATACTCAAACGTATCAGGTACCAAATTCTCATTACTTATTTACAAGGAAATGTGTAGCCGCTAGAGGGGCGAATTAACAATCAGATCTTGAGAGCCAAAGGGTTAATTAGCACTGCGACATAAGCAACGAGGCCGCTCTTTACGAGTTAGACCTCTTTTACGATCGAAACGCGAGTGGTTTACCGCTTGTGTCTGCTCTTTACGAGGTGTAAATACATACCTTTTTGATGGTTTACTTTCGACAGACGAACAGAAAACCAAAAAGCTCAAGAGTATTGTCGCGAAAAAATGACAGGATGTTGTCACTTTGGGTAATCAGCACAAGGATCTAGGAGTTGTTTTTTTTAAAGGTCCTACAGGGTTTAACTAACAAACTGAAACTGAAATCAATCTAGACTGATTGTAAATACTGTTTTAACTTTGTGGCTCAAAATTGCGAGAAAGGTTCCCGAAAGGTATTTTGAGTAGTTTTTAAAGCACAGCCACATGCACGACCTCATCGCTCACTTTGGATGCGTTTTTCTCGCATTATCCCCATATTTTGGGCGCGGTTTTCTCGCACTTTTCCTATACTAACCTTGCATTTTTCCTTCATTCAGTGGACACTTACACCCCATTTTTTTCGCACTTTTAACGCAGTCATATCCTAAAGCTGTATAGATGTGAGGTCCCTGTTACAAATAGTTTGAAAAACCCTGAATTCAGCAATCGTTTATTTTTTTTAAAGAAAAAGAAACATCAAGAGACACGACTGAGGTAGAATGTATCTTTTATTTTAAATATAATCGAGGTTACTGCAATACACCTTGATCATGCTGCAGCCATTTTGATTCCACTGAAAAGTTTTGTTCTTGCACGTCTTAGGTCATTTCACTGATAGGCTACATGCGCAGGAACAAAACTTTTCATCCACAGGGAAACACCACAGCTGCCAATAACGGCCCAAGCGTTTTGACTTGAGTAATACTTGTTCGAAGACTAAATGTATCGTCAAATCTTTAAAAAATCTTTTTTTTACAGTTTCCAGTCGAACCAAACAAGGTACTTCACTGCATATCTTGACTCGAGTCGTGCTGAAAAAAAAAAAAAAAAAAAAAAAAAATCAATTTGAGAGCTGAATGCATCGGCAACGGATACGAGGATGTGGCAAAGCAAAATATCTAATAAGCCAGACCAACCTCGTTCACATGGCCTTTTCCCTTACTTGGGGGTGAGGCGCCCCACCCCCAGGTAAGGGAAAGGCCATGGGAACGAGGTTGGAGCGAAAAAACAGTTCAGCGCGTGCGTTTTTAACTTTGTACATTTCTCATTTAGTCGTCTTCCGCAAAACAACAACGTGAAATCACCAAGAAAGTGGCAGATCTACAGGAGGAGCCCGCCCGGGTGCTTACCATGTCAGAATAAACCGGTTTTTCCAAAATCAGCAAACCAGCCGAACGAGATGGTGCTTACCATTTGCAATTGTTCTCGGCTGATGAGACTGGAAACTGGAAAATTTAGCAAATGGTAAGGAAATTTCCGCTGACTACCTCTGGAGCTAGTCTACAATTTTCCTTACTATTTGCTAAGCTTTCTAGTTTCCAGTCTTTCAGCAGCCGAAAACAATTGCGGGAAATTGAATTGCAAATGGTAAGCGCCATCTCGTTCGTTTAGTTTGCTGATTTTGGAGAAACCTTTACCTTTACCATTATCCAACGGTTCGAGACGTGATGAAGGCTTTCGTTAGATTCTGTGCCTTCGCCCGGATTTAAGTCAGACAAGCAACCCTTCCTTATGTGTCGACGTAAATGGTCGATTTCA